CATTGAGGAGACAGTGAATATTGGATGAGGAATGACGAAAACCAGTCTGGTCTGTCGAGATTATTTCACTAATGACTGTCTCCATCCGTGAAGCTAATATTTTCGGTTTTAGGATAAGAGAAATTGATGCTTCTGTGAGTGTTTGAGGTAGGAGGCCCTTTCCAAGAGAGTCAGTGCACATTTTCAGCAGGAGTGGAGCTAGTTTATTAGAAAACATTTTATAAAATTCAACTGTATAGCCATCTGGGCCAGGAGCTTTCCCATTTTGCATTGCCAAAATTGAGTCTTCAATCTCCTTCAAGCTTAAAGGCTGTTCTAGAGTCTCATGTTTTTCAGCGTGAAGAATCGGAAACTGGAGGTCCCCAAGGAAGCTCATTATATCAGAAATGTCCACAGGGAACCGAGTAGTATACAGATTGGAATAAAAGGTTTTAAAAGTATTATTAATTTCTGTCGGAATAACTGTACATAAGCCATCTGAGTTCTTAATTTGTGGAATGTTTCTTGCAGCACTCTCTTTCTTGAGTTGATGGGATAGTAATCGGCCTGCCTTCTCACCGTGTTCATACGTGAGGCCCCTTGAGCGCATTAGCATATTCTCTGTTTTCTCTGTAGTAAGCAAATCATACTGCATCTGTAAACTTAGCCTCTCTTTGTATGTTTCAGGGGAAGGTGATACTGTGTAATCATTATCCAATCTTTTAATACCTTCAATTAACTGATCTTGTTGTTTTTTCTTTAATTTATTCTTTTTGGAGCAATATGATATAATGTCCCCCCTGATTACAGCCTTTAGGGTTTCCCAAAGTAAAGATGGTGAGACAGAATCAGAGTTATTGTTTGAGAGGAATTCATCAATTTTATTGGCAATAAATGTGCTAAAATTAGGGTTGTTTAATAATATGGAATTTAGTCTCCAAGGTGGACGGGTTTTGTTTTGATTTGAAAAATCAAAGTCAAGCAGTAAGGGGGCGTGGTCTGAACCTACGATAGCTGAGTAGTCAACGAATTTAACTGAGGGTAAGAAAAATTTATTGATGAATAAGTAGTCAATTCTAGTGAACGTTTTATGTACTTTAGAGAAAAAAGAAAAGATTTTCTTGTCAGGAAACTTAAAACGCCAAACGTCCACACAACCTACTTGACTCATAAATGAAGATCCAGGGCTCTATTTTCGTGCCTCGCCGGAGACGTGCCACAGGCGCGGCGTAAGTCAGGTCCGCCGCACCGACAAGGCGATCCCAAGCACATTTTGGTATTCTGGTGAGCAGCGCAGCATGGCGTAAGTATCCCTCCTCCCTAACTCAGCTCCTCCCAGCGGCGTAAGTTGTAGCGAGGGAGGAGAAAGGGCGTGGGGTGGCTTTAACACAGCCGAGACCTGTTTTCACCAATCACATCAGCTCCTCTCCTTGCCTTAAAATCCGCCACAGGCGAGGCGTATTACCATTTTCGTGAAGTAGTCAAAGAGATCAAGAGATGTCTGAAGACTGTAATGCCACAAGATGGCGACAGAAGGCAGCTCCTCAACAAGTGTCACTGTAAGCGCTGCATTGGGCGTCCTCCACACTCTCTTATGAGCACAGATGGATTTGGTGTGTGTAATGTTGGACCCACTGGTAAGACAAACACCCTTTTCCACAAATAAAGACACACACATAAAGTTGCATATATTCAAACCTCATGTGACAAAGGTGGGTTGAGCGCACAGATCACAACATTAACTCCAAAAATGGTATTAAAGTCGGAACCATCTGTGCGTAAATGACGCATCGCTCCGTGGCCCGGCTCTTTCTTTCATAGATGTTGGCATATAAAATAAATTTGCCTCACAAAACTGAATATTATAATATCCGTATGTCGGCTTAAAGTAGATAACGCATCTGATCACTAAAACAAATCATCTGTTCAGCCGCCGCAGCAGCAGGACGGAGAGAGGACACGGAGACGTGTCCAGGTCGAGCTGTGCGAGAAATAAGAGGAAGAGGAAGAAAGAAAAGGAGGGAGACGAATTACATATCTTGATAACTTCATCATGTGTGTTTATTTACTAGATATTTAATTTTATTTAATGCGGTTTCAGCTGTGTTGATTCGGTCAGGTTGTGTGTCCAAACGCGTGCAAGACGCGCTCATCAGATCAGATATAGATCAGAATATATAGATATTGATCTAAATGTATGTGCTGACTCAGATTAATAGTTGTTGATGATTATTTATTGCACTGAAATGTGCCTGACACTGTGGAAACCTGCCGGTGAGGCATCGGTGACGTATGCCGATACGCCGCCGGTCTACCAAAATACTACTAGACCAGCTGCGCTCCGCCTGCGCTGAAAGCTGACCAGGGGCCTGTTCTACGAAGCAAGTTCAACTTAGCGAGGTAGCCTTGGAGCTACCTCGCTCAACTTAGCGCGGTAGCCAGCGGTCTCGCTAAGCGGTTTTACGACGCTGGTTATCAACCTCATAAGTAGATCCAGCTTTGCTATGAGCGCATGCACACATATAAGGCGGAGCTCGCCACATCTGACCAATCGCGAACATGGATCAGTCTGGAGTGTCTGAGCAGCAGGCTGGAGAGTGAAGGACCGCGGACTTTACAAACGAGGAACAGGAGACGATCATGAGAAAGTATGAAGAATTCAAAGCTATCACAAACCTCAAAAGCAACACCGTCGCCGCTGCAAAAGCACGGGGGGAATGCTGGCAGAAAAGTAATTTTTGATGCCATTATCACCCTGAAATAGCACTGTTCAACATGCGCTTTTAACTGATGTGACAGTCCCCGAATTGGATGATCTGTCCCTGGCTAAAGCTGTCCCCGAAAATCTCCCTGATTTAAGCGTTTCATGAATGAGAACAAAAATGTTGCATGTGGGCTAGAACAACGGTTATTACAGTGGGTAGGAAGCACAAAGTAAGCAGTCCTGAACAACAGTATTTACGGGGGTTATTATAAGGGGCGTGCGCTGCTACTAAATAGTACCGAGATGTTGTCTGTGATTGCGCAGCCCATGCCCATTCATTCCCAAGATGAATCATTCATTTGTTCATTCCTATCGTGTTTACATGTTTTGTGTGATATGTCGGCCATATGAGCCTTTCATAAAGGTGGTCATCCGGAGAAAACTCTCCCTGAAAACTCTCGCGAGCCGGAGTGCTCCTCGGACAATGCGAGCACCGAGGTCTACAGGATCCTCCAAGAACGGACAAGCCGTTTTTCGAGAGAGCTCATTGGTCAGTGGGTGGGGTTTTTATGCTCGGTGAGTTCAATCTGGAACTTAACCTGCCCCGGAGCAGGTTAGCCGTTCAGCGCATGTTGCTATGGAGACTCGCCTCGGTAAGAAGTGAACCCGCGTTGTAGAACAGGAAACCCCGAACTTACCCTCGAAGTTACCTCGCTAAGCAGTAATCCTGCTTCGTAGAACAGGCCCCAGGTTTGAATCGGCGAGCTTTCAGCGCACTTTAAACGCCACTGGCGAGCACGAAAATGTCACTGCGCCCGCTGATTCTGTCGACACCTCCCCCTACCACGCCACCACGCCCAGCTTGGCGGATCTCGGCTCGCCTCCGTGCGCCTCAGTCCACGAAAATACCAAACTGGCTGTACGCCGGGCTCCGCCAGATGAAAATACAACTGCGCGGGCTCCGCCACCCTCCGTCGCCTCACCAGCGTACACGAAAATAGAGCCCATAGCCTTAGCCATCTTGGAAATAGCTTTTTTCTTTGTACTTGATCGATCTAAGACTTGGTCCATGGTGCAATTTGTATCACCTCTAAAAATCAAATGGTAGGAGTTCAGATCAGGCAGGAGGGAGATGATCTTCATCATCCCAGTTTGGGGCATAAATGTTTACCTGAACCCTAAGGCTGAACCCTCTTTCTGAGTGAGGGTCCCTGAACATAGGTTATTAAATGTACAATGTAAAGTAACAATCCAAAATTCCCAAAAGAGTGACTTATTTCAAGTCTGGCCGCGCATACAGTAAAACACCATGTAAATGCATGACGTATGCTGTAGGTGCATAAGTGTGTGTGTGTGTGTGCGTGTGTGTGTGTATGCATATCTCATCTCTATGAGCGCAACAGTTGTTCTGTACCTCGCCGTCCAGTGAGCCGCGCGCAGAGGACAGGCCGGCCCACGAGTCCGCAGCGAGACGAGAGCGCGCGCCGCACTCGTGTCTCCCTACTGGCCCGCGAGTCGACCATCATCCCCAGCGCGCAGACCACTGCACACCGAGGCACAGCTGAACCATATTATGTAAATCACACATATTATCTCAAGTCCTAACTATGAATGAATGAACAGCAAGTCAAAGCCACCATATCAGAGGGAATATCCCTAATTCAATACCACCGAAGTACCTCAGTTACGAGGCGTTATGTGATGTGCATGATATGAAAACTTCAATAGTGAAAATTACAATAGCCTACTGCAATAGCATAAACTAAGAAATAGATTGACTAATAAGAGAAAAAAAAGAGAAGAAGAAAAAAAGCAGTTTAACGCAGTGGAGTTTTAGAGAAACAGTAGATGAAATACAAAAATAATAATCATAACTAACAGCAATAAATACAATTTGCGTGTTCAGGGTGGTGATTGGACCTTCTTCACAAGTCAGAATTACCGCTTTAAGATGCACTAGAGGTTCATATGTATTCAGATAGAAATATTGCCTAAATAATAAGTCTCTCATGAATTCTAAAAGCCAAGTTGGTCTTACCTCAGCACGTCAGTGCATGAGTCAAAGCTGAAGGTGAAGTAAACAGGTCCTTAAGAGCAGAAAGGGGATAAGCTATAGGCTAATTTTGTCCAAGTTGAAGATCAACGGTGATGTACAGTAGGGGCTTTAAGCGACAGTCCCTCGGGTGTCTCGGGCAGCACGTTTATCCTCTGGTCATAAAAAGTCTTGGCCTCCTCGGGGGAGTGAAAAGTCACGGTTTCATCATGGAATGTTATCTGCAAGCGTGCGACGCTTACTATACGGGTACGGATTCCCTTATCATACAGGGATTTCTTGATCGGTTTGTAAGCAGCGCATCGTTTCGCCAAAGCCACAGTTGTGCGTGTAGAATCGCAGCTGGGTATCTCGGAACCAGCATTCATGTTTGTGGGACCATTTCGCCACTCTCTCCCTCTCCTGCATGTAGTGGAAACAGACAACCGTGGTTCTGGGTCTCACTTGGTTCTTCTGGTTCGTCTTTCTTCCAGAATGGTACACATAGTCCAGTGTTGGGGGAGTAGGGAAAACGTCAGGTATGCCGACTACTCTCAGCATGGACTTGTTGGCATTGTTCTCCAAACTTTCCACCCGGTCCAGCAGCTCCTTGTTCTGTGTTTGGAGAAGCTCCACCTGGGTCTCGGCTAGCGCGAGTTTGGCGAAGTTGTCCCCCACCAATGTCTCTGTTTTAGTTAGCCGGCCATCGAAGGACTGTAGTTGTTGTCCCAGGGATTCCACCAAGGCTTTCAAAGAGTCGGCTGACTTCTTTATCAGGGTAGCCACGTCCAGTTTAAAGGTTTCACGCTACTTGTCTAGCAGCAACTCCGGGTCGGACCTGGTAAGTGGGTCGCCGTGATTGCATTGTTCTGTCCCAGGTGTGGACGCCGTGGGGGATATTTTGTCTTTGTTTCTTTGCCGATTTCCCCTCAAGCCGCTCATTTTGTGTATGGAGCAAGCTGTCCAAATGGTGAAAAATGAGTTAAAAAGGTTGCTTAAACAGAAAGCACTTTTGGGGAAAAAAAAGATAGCCTAGTTCAGGAGACCCGACGTGCGTGAGCTCCTCACAGCAGCATCACCAGAAGTCTCGTGGATCCTGGAATTCATTTTGATGCAATTTCATGACATCCAAAATCAAACAAAACCATCCTTGACAAGACTGACAATATTTATGTCATGATTTTAATGCCAGAAACTGGTGCAAGAGGATAGGTGACAGTCAAGCAGCTAAAGATACAACTGAATGTTGTATCAGTCAGCAGGATTGGGTGTTTATTATTTTTTTTAAAGTAACTACTCAAGGGGGTATTCCAGCGTAAAATTAAGTTAGGGTTAGTCTCTTTCCTAAAGAAACCAGGTAAAGCTAAAAAGATGTTAGATGGCTAGTACTATGACTTGGACCCTATATGTACTGTTGATGAAGTTAGGTGCTGTTCTAAGCATTATTTGTTGCTTTAGATTGGCTTTTTGGTTGAGGTTTGTGTGTGGACCCATAGACCACTGTGTTTTGCTATTGTGCGGTCGTTACCAAAGTTTGTAAAAATAGAGAAGCAAGCAGACGGCAACATTCGTCTCTAGAGGGGGTGTCTAACTCAGTGTTACGGTGTGTTTGACCCTAACAGAATTTTATGCCAGGATATCCCTTTATGATATTTATGCATGAAAAGGGACAAGTTAATCAATGACTGCTTTGTCCACAGGGGGCACCAAAATTGACAAACCAAAAATCCCGTACAGGAACTTTAAGCTTTCTGTTTATGTATATCTTGTCTCTTTATTCTGGTTTTCAAATTGCAGTATGTGGGGCTTCATTTGGGCTTGTTACTATTATTGTTAGCTATATGGCAAGGCATAATGCTCCATTGTGTAATCATGATTTCATTACTCTTGTGAATTTTGGTTTTTTTTTAAATGACATACACCAATAAAAGAGTTATGAGATGTTTAATCGGAGAGACAGAGAGACAGAGAAAGACAGGTAAAAGTTGATTTTGGCATCAAAGACTTTCCTTGATTGTCAAATGTGCAATGTCTTTGGGGATTTAACTTGCATTGAGAGGTCTTCATACCTTCAGAGGGATAACATAGCTGATGACAGGATAGGATAACCTCCCCTAATGAAGCCAAGATACTCTTGGTGAAGGAGGGATGCAGGATTTGGAAGTAAACTTGGACACTGATGATACAAAATGGAGGTGACTGAGTTGGAGGCAGGTTGTAACAATCCACGATTTAGGGGCAAGCTGAAGAAGCAAAGAAAAGAGCAGATTGATAGTTTGGCAGCAGCAGGATGATTGGTTGGGTGATTTGTGGGTATTTAAGGATTACATGCCCACAATTAAAGGCATGGTTGATGATTGGAGAGATTGGTAATATTATGAACCTCGTTTATATGGCGATCATGGTCCCATAGTGCGATCTCCACAAAGTGAAGAGAAAAAAGAATGGAAAAAAATCTGTTCACCCTAGCAGGTGCAGGGGCTGCAAAAACATTGACCAATGGGAGCCATCTGCCCTGGACAGCTCCTATTGGTCAATCTCCTGCTCCACCTCTCCATCCAATCACCTCGCTGTATTCCACACACCCTCTCCCGTGTTTCCGACTCGTCCCCTCCCGCTCTCTCAGCCCTCCTCGGTGCTCTGAGTGGCTAAAAGTAGCGTATCCGCTTAGCTACAGGAGCTGTGATAGAGAAGGACAGAAAAAAAACCCACTTCTGTTTGCCCCACTGCCAAATTGGGAAGAAAACACAAGCCGACAGAAGAAAGGGCAGAGACAAAGAGGAAATGTGACCAAGCGAGGAAGCTAACTTCTTGGAGAAAGCTCCGCCAGGATTTGGGCCTGAAAACAACGCCGAGACAGCAGAGTTTTTGTTGAACAGGTAACTTTTGCCTTTTATCGTGGCACGTTACATAAATAACTCTTATTAGTCACTGCAATGTCAACACGGTAGCTGTCCAGGCAGCTGCAGACGGTGCTTGCTAGCAGAGCTGGCGTTTATTGCCACTGGTCACTAGCAATCCGACATGGTGAATCCTATTTGAAGCTAGTGTAGGATCTTCTGCCGGCCGGCTTCTTGTTCTGTCACAGGGGTTGTGTCGTGGGGAGGGTGATACAGGTTTGGAGGGGAGTTATTGTGGAGCACAGAGGGGAGAGGTTTGTGTGTGGGGTTTGGGATGCTTTTTTCAAATCTGCCTCGACAGCTCAATTTTTTTTCAAGTGCTTCTCAGATCACCAACCATGCCTTTCAGTGATGGGAAGAGCAGAAAGAGACAGACTGGATGGCAGAGAAAAGCACCATGATATAAATGGAGGAGCAAAGTCTCCTTGCTCCCTTGCTTCTGCAATATGGCCACTAGCTGCAACAGGCTGTTCGACTGTCTCACAAGAAAGTAAAAGGATTGCGTTTTTGTAAGAAGATGACTCATAACATACAGGTCAATCCCATTACCCTTCTGCCCCATGTTACAGCACTTTTTACCCCTTATTAATGAAGGACACCATTATAAGGAAAGTGAATGGCTTTGCTCTACCAAGGATTAGTGAAGAGATTCAACAAAGTAAAACAAGGGAGTTGACTGAAGACATGCAATTACATACAGGAATTTCAGGGAGTACCAGGAATCTTTGTCTTTATTTACTTAAGTTCTCAACGTTTTTAAGAGGAGTCTGTCCTTAAGTCAAAATGCATATTTGCCTTTAACCTACAGATTAAATCTGAACATTTAACCCTGTGATGTGCTGTTATGCAACATTAAATGCAATTTTGATGATGTAAATTGTTTGACTAAGAGCTTGCATCTGTTACTGAAATATTATATAACAAAGATTTGTCAAGTATGTTTGTGTTTGCTGTCATCAGTAACACTCACGAACAATTGAAAATGGCAGTTGCTTACACTGTGTCAAAACTCAGGCCAACTCCTGTCCACCGCAGAGTTATTTCTGATGGCTATATTTTGATAACACTATCAAAACTGATTCATGAACAATGAATCGAACTAATCCAAAGTTTCCCAGCTAATGCTGACTTGGCTCATGCTGTATCACGCATTCAAGTCATGTCTTGGCTTTCACGCTATTTTGCAAGATTGTCATCGAAACTGAAGCCCTCGAGGTAAAATTGACTAAATTAATAACAACACTCACCAAAACAATGAGGGAGCTTTATTAATGATTAAAAAAAGGCCTTCATAAAACACAGCACAGAGGCTGGCAGTACAGAATAAATAGTAGTTGCATCATGGTGTGGATCCTGCAGCACTACCAACATCTGTTGACACAAAAATCCAGCATGTATTGTCTTACTGATCAAGAGTAAAACACTGAGTACCCACTTCAGAGCCCCTAATGCATGAGACCCCTTGTGTTTGATGGCTTTGGTTAAGCTTTTTATGTCTCTTTTATTCTCATTGTTCTTTTTAGTGACTGACCCTATGAGATCATCACTATCATTACCAATAGGATAGCTTCATTTTTGATGTGGATGGCTTTGAACTGGGAAGATTCATAGTGCTCTGATAGTTATCCAACCATACAGGCCTTTATTCAAAAAGTCCTACTTTTTTAAAGTACATACATTATTAGAAAATTCTAAGTGGCTTCAGTTATTGTTATATTATAGTGGTCACTACAGTGGACAGCTATTCAAAAGGTGCTCTTTTGTATATGCATGGATTTTGTTGTTGTAGATGCATATCAACCAACACAGTGGACTCTGGCTGTGTCCGAAATGGCATACTACTCCTACTACTCCTACTAACCCCGCCTCTGAATTGAGTAGGCAGTGCGTTCACACTGTACAGTATGCAAATTTTGTGTATGCGAGAAATGCCCGGATGTATACTCAATCGGCTTCAATTTCTGAGTGTGGAACGGAGCTTGCTTCACGTACTGCTTCTGCCCCACAATGCATTGCGCACCTCAGCTGGTAATATGGCCCTCTTTCCCGAGGCTGAAAAGAAATAGATGGCATGTGATTGCAATAATAATTATATATGTATAAATAGATAAACAATATTTAGTCAGTATACATTACACAATTTTTATCATTTTATCATATTTTGATCTTTTTACCAGATTTATTTGTATTTTAAATTAGGATTATAGGTAATGTTTTTAACTATTCAGATGAATTGACTTTATTTATTTGTCTATTAAAGATGTATTTATTATATCAACTTTGAGCATCTTCTCATCTCTGAATGCATCATCAAAGTGGTCACTCATATTAAGCACAGACCTCTGATTAATAAAAATTATTATTGGTAGAGAGCACATGGTTCAGAATATACAAACGGGGGAGTTTCCAGTTGACAATGTATGTGAGCTTTACTAATTCTTACTTGTGGTTGAAAATCTGATGGTTTCTGAAATTATCATTGTACATGAAAAGAATGTAGTAGGGAAATGATGTATATACCAAGGAATAACCGAACAAGGTCATAATAATTATGTTGTGTGTTGGTCATTTTGCAGCCCTCTGCTGCTCATCACACGCCTAGCAGGTGGTGTATAGCATTATCACCATGGATACACAGATGTTTGTGTGATTTTTTTCATCCACTGCCGCTCGGTTTGTGTCGTGTAGATGTTGATTATGAAAACACTTCGCAATAATTTGGAAACGTGAAGGGGGAGCTGCTGTTGCCTGGTGTTTACGGTAAATAGATGCAAATACCCACCAAGCGGACGCTTCGGTCTCCGAAAACGCCGAGACAAATTTACAAACAGCCACTATTTCAAACAACTGGGCTCATAATCGTGATGTAAACACTTACTTTCTCGCTAGAAAAAATATTATTATTGAATGAATTTATATAATTTGTCCGGAATGCAGTCGTTCTGTGTAGCTTGTGGAAGGACTATTTAAATTTTCCCGGCGCTGCGTCCGGCCGGCACGAAATGCATTCTGGGGTGTTTAGTATGCATCTGTTTGTAAACGCTCGGGCAGCCGCGGCATACTCTAATCATCTTTGAGTAGTCAGTATGCAGTAGGTACTGCTTGAGTAGGTAAGTAGATAGTAGGCAGTATGCCATTTCCGACACAGCCACTGTGTTGGTTGAAATCAAGAAGGCTGACAGTGAGCCAGAAAGGCCAAGCACTTTAGGAATTATGTGTAAATCCCTCTATAGCAGGGCACCACTTAAGGCAAAAAATATGCTGGCATTCAGTAATATCTAAGAATCAATATTATTGTTAAAGTTTCTGGATATTTATTTTGTACTGTGAGAAATCTGTAGTTAATCATGTGTCTACTAAATTGGACGCCATGTGTCACAGGCAATAACTTGAATACAATTCAGGCCAGTACTGCAACTTTGCTTTTCTTGATAAATTTGATCTCCAATGACATTTTTTTGTGTAAAACTATTAATATTTGTCAACAGAATGTAGTAAAATGATTTAAAATAATACTAGTAATAATAATAATAATAATATTTGCATTCTATCTTCATAAAGTGAACAACAATTAGTATCTTCATATTTTGTTGAGCTCAAAAGAAGCATGTGATAAGAAGGCCTTCAGAATAGTTGAGCAAATACCATCTGAGTCAAGTGAAGATGATGCCAGTGACAGTGACGATGAATGGCTGCCAGAAAAGTAACGCCTAGGATCAGTTGATGATAACAGGAGCAGTGGATTTGAGAGTGAAGAAAATTCTGCGAGTGGTTGGGTAGTTGAAGATGCTAGGGGTAGCTGAGGATGTCCCACCAGACAAAGCCCAGGGACACAGAAAAATCAGCAAAGTTTGAAAAACCAAAGATAACCAGGGTGACCTGCCTCAATTTGTAAGTGAGTGGAGGTGAGAGTTGAGGGAAATTCTTACTGAAGCAAAAAAAAAATGTAATTGATGCAAATAAGTTTTCTGGTTTGAGCCCTGTCTGTTTGCCATATCTTTGGAGTTAGAGTCAGACTGAACAGAGGTAGTAAAAAAATGAAAATATTGAAGACTGTGTCGCTTTATCAGAGAGTGTCTGGAAGGTTATGGACAACATTTTTAGTCTTTTTGTAGAAAAACTTAAGAAATCTGCAGTTCATTAGTTCGGAGCTAAGTTCAACATTTTGCATTGCTTTGAATATGTGTTAGAATGTGTTAAAATCTAATCAGACATACAATTGGCTACATTAAAAAGGTTTTGACTTCACAGTTTGCATGGTGTCCAGCTGAATGGAAATTTTTGTAACACAATGTAACTAAATTTCAATAGCATCATTTTTTATATTCCTGAAGAGGAATAAAAACACAGGAAAAAAATCTTATCTGAAGATCTCATAATTCATGCATGAAAGGGCTTGTCTACAAATACGTAGAGAAGCATCCTTGACCAAAATGGCAATAAATAGGCTGAATTAAAAAAAGACTAAGTAGCATCAAGAGACAGAGTTCTCTTACAAAAGTTAGAGAACTCTGTACACTTAACCTAAGCTTCATGCTCCTGGTCAGTCAGTCTGAACCTAACCACAAGCAGGACTAGATTATCCCTCTTTTTTTTACAGAGCTTCTAAGATGTTTCTTGTTTTAGCTTCTCAGGGGAGTTCTTTGTTGGTTATAAGACAGCCTGAAAGTAATAAAGGATGCCTTTGATTAAAGATTAAAGATGTTTGCACATGTGCAAGAGAAAGTCAGTAGAATTAGAGTTTCTGCCTTGTTTACAGGGGTGTCACAATTGGCAAAAGAAAGTTCTTCACAGGAGCTTTACACAGTCATAAAAAGTCCTAAGGGTGACAGGCAGTATTGATTTCAATCTGTTTCACAACCAGCTAAAAACTTCTTACAGGAGCTTTGAGGCAACGAAATCCAGAATATAAATAATTGTCTCTTCTCCATCACCCGCTCCCTCCATTTCTTCTGATGATGAGTGTGAAAGATTTCTTTCCTTTTTTGTCAGCAAGATCAATAACATCCAAGCACAAATCAGTCCATTTCCTTCTTCTGATGTTCCCTGCCCTGTCCCCTGTTCCCTGGTAACATTCTCCCCAGTCTCCCTTCAAGAACTAAAGAATCTAGTAAGATCTATGAAAACTTCCTGTAGCCCCCTTTACATAGTGCCCACTCATCTACTAAAATTTGTGATAGATTTCATTGGCCCATGCATTATCTCAGTTGTCAATAAATCTAATGAATCTGGTCATGTTACGTCATCTTTAAAACATGCTGCCATTCAACCACTTCTAAAAAAACAAAAACCAAATCCAGACCCTCTTCTGCCTCAAAACTATAGGCCTATTTCAAAACTACCCTTAATTGCTAAAATTCAAAGAAAGTGGTTGCAAAACAACTTACAGCTGTCCTGGACACCCATTACATCCTGGACAAGTTCCAGTCTGGTTTTCTTCAGTCCCATTCAACAGAATCAGCACTTCTTAGAGTTTTTAATGACCTTTTGCTTAGCAGTGATGAATGAAAATGTTCTGTGATGGTTTCACTAGATCTTAGCACAGCTTTTGACACTGTGGACTCTATTTTCGTGTATGCCCATGAGGCGGCGGAGGGCGGCGAGCCGCGCTCAGTTGTATTTTCGTCTGGCGCAGCCCGGCGTACAGCCAGTTTGGTATTTTCGTGGACTGAGGCGCGCGGAGGCGAACCGAGATCCGCCAAGCTGGGGGTGGTGGCGTGGCAGGGGGAGGTGTCGATAGAATCAGCGGGCACAGTGACATTTTCGTGCTCGCCACCGGCGTGTAAAGTGTGCTTAAAGCTCGCCGATTCGGCATATCGGCATACGTCACCAATGTCTCACAGGCAGGTTTCCACAGTGTAAGGCACATTTCAGTGCAATAAATTATCATCAACAACTAATAATCTGAGTCAGCACATACATTTAGATCTATATAGGTATATTCTGATCTATATCTGATCTGATGAGCGCGTTTGGCACGCATTTGGACACACAACCTGACCGAATCAACACAGCTGAAACCGCGTTAAATTAAATTAAATATCTAGTAAATAAACACACATGATGAAGTTAACAAGATATGTTATTCGTCTCCCTCCTTTTCTTTCTTCCTCTTCTTATTTCTCGCGCAGCTCGACCTGGACACGTCTCCGTGTCCTCTCTCCGTCCTGCTGCAGCAGCGGCTGAACAGATGACTTGTTTCAGTGCTCAGATGCGTTATCTACTTTAAGCCGACATACGGATATTATAATATTCAGTTTTGTGAGGCAAATTTATTTTATATGCCAACATCTATGAAAGAAAGAGCCGGGCCACGGAGCGATGCGTCATTTACGCACAGATGGTTCCGATTTTAATGCCATTTTTGGAGTTAATGTTGTGATCTGTGCGCACAACCCACCTTTGTCACGTGAGGTTTGAATATATGCAACTTTATGTGAGTGTCTTTATTTGTGGAAAAGGGTGTTTGTCTTACCAGTGGGTCCAACATTACACACACCAAATCCATCTGTGCTCATATGAGAGAGTGTGGAGGACACCCAATGCAGCGCTTACAGTGACACTTGTTGAGGAGCTGCCTTCTGTCGCCATGTAATTGGTGAAAACAGGTCTCGGCTGTGTTAAACCCACTCCACGCCCTCTCTCCTCCCTCGCTATGATTTACGCCGCTGGGAGGAGCTGAGTTAGGGAGGGGGGATACTTACGCCGGGCTGCGCTGCTCACCAAAATACCAAATTGTGCTTGGGAACGCCTTGTCGGCGCGGCGGACCTCACTTACGCTGCGCCTGCGGCACGTCTCCGGCGGGGCACGAAAATAGAGCCCTGTGAATCCTTGTATTTTAGCTAAGATGTGGATGACATTCTGTTACATATATCTTTAACACCTTAAAATTACACTAATGTGTCAGTTCTTGTTTTGATGCCATAAAAGTTTGGATGGAATATAATTTTCTACAGCTTAATGCGAACAAAACAGAGGCCCTTGTCTCAGCCCAGATGGCTTGGTGCCAGGAATTTTGGAGAAACTTAGTACCCTGTCCACTAGAGTTAAACCGGTTCCCCATTATCTCAGTGTTTCATTTAGCCACTCCTTGTCTTTAGACCAACATGTCAATGAACTGGTTCCTTCTTGCTTTTTTCCAACTCAGACATATCATTCAATTAAGACACTTGGTTCCTATGTAGATGATCATTCATGCATTCATTTCCTCCCATTTAGACAACTGTAATTCACTTTTCACCTGTCTAAGTAAAACATCTACTTACCAAGTCTTCAAAAAGGTCACACATTAATCCAACACTGTTTTATCTCCGCTGGCTACCCATACATGTCAGAATATATTTTAAGACTCAAATGTTTACTTTTAGAGCACTTCATGGTCAAGCAACCGGCCTACATTTCAGAACTGTTAAAACCTTACAATCCCAATAGGAGTCTTCAGTCCTCTGATCAGGGTCTGCTGGCTGTTCCACACTCGGGACTTAAAACCAAAGGAGACTGTGCTTTCATGATCATAGCTCAAACTCTCTGGAACTTTCTTCCATTGGGTTTAGGATCAGTAGACACTGTTGATTCCTTTAAAAAGCAACTAAAGATGCCCTTGTTTGGTCTGGCCTTTCCTTAACCTGTTTTTGTGTACTGTGTTCTTCTCCGATTGTAGCCTTTGCATCATTGCATGTGTTGTTATTTTTTATTGTATTTCTTTTAATTTTTTATTATCTCTTTGTAAAGCACTTTGTTACCTTGCTGTTCTTGAAAGATACTGTATAAATAAACATCATCATCATTATTATTATTATTATTAGTAGTAGTAGTAGTAGTAGTAGTAGTAGCAGTAGTAGTAGTAGTATCATTACAGGAAAAGAGTGCTCATGCATGACTATATTCCCTGTCTCGAGGTAGATACACTGAGTATAAAAAACACCAGCAGATCAAGTATTCTTGCCTCTTAAGATCCTAATCTCACTCAGAATCTCAACAGCTTTTATTTTTTAGCTGTTTATACTTGTCCAAAGTTTTATCTGGCAGATTTGTCCAAAGATTTTCAGATAAGAACTTAGGCATTATGGGATTTTGAAAGCTTGTGCATATTGTTTAGTTTGGAAGATGCAGTGACTGCAGTATCCACCAAATGTTCCAAAGGAAACATGAACATCGAAGTCTGGTTTATGGTTTCGTTGATGTTTCATCAAACTTCTTACAATGGAGAGACAGAGACACAAAATGAACAGCCACTGAGGTTTCTGTGGTTAGAACTGTCATGACAATTAACTATGATGCTGGTGCTACAATTCACACAGTCATTTCAAGTTCTTTATCTCACATGCTTTGAAAAAGGAGAACATGATCTGGTTTAAAACATTGACTGATACTACAAGTTAAATTCAAACAGCCGTATTTGACAAAAGGTGATAATTCTTGTTTTTTAAATGCAGCTTGTTGCGTGGAAGGATTACTAAATGATGAAAATACCCTGGAGTAAAGACAACAAAAATTTCCCTGCCTTTACAACTTTACGATGTTGGATGGTTGTAACTGTGACTGACATCAGGGGTGTATCCAGTGGGGCTGCCAGGAATGGTATGCACTCAACCCATCCACATTTATGACTAACAACCCCAAATCTCACACTTTAATCATCTATTTGTCATGTCAGAGGTGGTGAGACTTTAGCTAAACTAATTTGGCTATATTGCAAACTGTCTTTTAAAGCCTTATAGTTGCTTTTTTGCATTTAAACAAACTCAAAAAAGGGTACCAGAAGTATTTAGTTACAAGATTTGTTAAGGAGATCATGGTTTGGATTTCAGTATTGTTCTTATGCTAATAAGTGACCCGAGGTTGTTGGTAACTTTACACAAAGCTGAAAGCCAATGTTCACTTTTGGTTTAATACAGAATTTGACCTCAGTCCCCTGGATAAAACTGTGTTTTTGTGTTTCTTCTAGCTTTCTATACAGCAGCACTCAACTTCTGCATTTTCCTTCAGTCATGACTAATGCACCAGACTTTTGACACACTTGTACAATTGTTCCTTACTTTCTCTCTCTTTAGGAAAAAAAAAAAAGTTGATGACAGCTTATAATTATGGTAAATAAGGCAGAATAGTTCATGATAGGTTTTTGAAAGTACTTCAAAAAGGGTCCAGGTTTTCCCTGTTTTCCCTTGGTCTCATTGTTGATCATGTTATCTCTTGAGAAGACATAAAAACTCAACTTTGTTCACTGTAATTCCCACTTGTACAAGCCCAAGGAAATGTCCCCTTAATTATTGATGAACAGGTTAAAAAGAGGAAGTACACAAACATTTAACTTCAGGAAGTTGGGTAAATGCAGTTATGAGAATATGAATAATGCAATGTAAGAAAGAAATAAAAAATTCATTACCTGAAACAAATAAAACACTGGTGTTACAACTTTGCTTTCCACATTCAGACTGTAGTGTTGTGGTCTTTTATTAAGTTGATGAATTTTTTTGTGCAACAAGATATTAAATCATGTGAGATAAATTTATTTTCAAAACGTATTTAAAATCAGCTCACAAAAACAATCAAATTTTTGCTGGTTTCCTGACAGCTACACAGAACTGACAAGACAGGGTCACCAAAACAGGTCAAGTAGAGCTGCCTCCTAAATGACAGGATACATCTCATTTAGGTCTTCTTTGCTTGTGTGCACACATTTGGAGTGTCTTCTTGGGTGAGCAGCGACTAGAAACAACATTTTCATACAGAGAAGGGATTAAAACACTATCAAGAGTGATGCGTTGGATGTTTTCAAAACTGCCAACTTTTGAAGACATATTTGTAAAACTTTTATTAACAATGACCTAAAAGTCTCTCTTTTTTCAGGAGGTCGAAGTGCAGAGAAAAAAAAAATCTTTTTAAAAAAGTATCCACATGTCTGGACAGGACCTAAATTTACGGACTTTGGTCAGCCCTTGCTGCCTATGAAAGCTGCAGTGGGACTGTGACCATTGAAAATACTGAGTATGACTAAGCAAAAATGTGTTTCATTTGTTGTAAATCAAACTCTTTATGTGTAGGATGAAAATAATTTTGATCAGAAATCAGAAAAAATGAGGTCAGACATCTGAGCAATTGGGTGTGAGCACTTTCAGCCTTATAGCCACAAGTATTTGCTCACCCATAAAAAGTCTCCTTGTTTGTTTTGACACTCAGCTACTGTGGTGACATGCCTCCTTTCAGCTTGTTCCTACCATGTCATCTCTGACCTAGTACATACCAAAATAATTGTCAAAGGCGTTAACAGAATGTGCATTGAACAAAGAAAACACTTTTACCTTTACAGCTCTGTACCTATTGTACATATAAAACTACATTTCCATTTCTTTTGAGTCCTGTTATTGTCTGTCAAGGTTTTGATTACTGCCCAGCATCTAAGCCTACCGTGCAAACTCTGGAGCATGCATAGAACAGCTGGTCAGTTTCAGTCAGCTTGAGCTGTAGATAGTACACATTCAGTTGGACTGATGGGTTCATATGCTTTTCAAAGGTCCAGTTTTAGTTAGACTAATGAAATAACTTTATTTTGAACACCATGTAAGGGAACTGAGTGTTTCTTCCAAATTTGACAGGCAAAATTCTTCAGTGGCCAAGCAAGCTCGATTAAGTTCAGGCTTACAAGGGAAAGGCTTGTTTCTCCCAAGATTGAAAAAGGGTGTTAAATGTTTTTATGTTTTTATGATATTGTGTCTTGATTATTATGATTCTTTGTATTTGTAATAGCTGCACGTAGCCCGTGCAACAACTCACTACCCCAAAGAAGATCTGCCTTTATTATTGAATGTTTAAAATCATTATTGAACACCTGTCTTCTTTTCTTAGGCCCTCCCTTTGCCATGAAAGCAGTAAGGTCCATCCCTGTTTTAGATTTTACATTTAAGATAACTTTCTTTTCCTTTTCTAAGATTTCTTCTCCAGTTAGTTTGTTCTTTGAGTCTGTTTCCTCCCTCTCTGATGCAAGTGTAGTCATTCAGTATCAGAAGATCAGAGGCCCAGGCAAGAGAAGACATAAGACAGGAAGGAAGAAGACATTGTCACATCACAAAGACAAACCATCTTTCTGTCCGTGCCTGAAGCTGCAAAAACTTATTTATTTTATATAAATAATACATTTATATTATTGCCTTAACAATAAACATGCAAAGATCTGATGGATGCATGTCCTCTTGCAGATAAAAAGAAGCCCTGAAGTGAGAGGAGAGATCTGGACAGACAGAGCTGATGGGAGATTAAGTTACATGAATTATTGCAGGAAACTTAGAGCCTCAAAAACTTCTGCCATGACTCTTCTGATTGCTCTTGTTTCAGAGATAAATAGGGCACATTTATTTTAATGACCAATAAATTAGGCAGTAAAATAAGCTCATTGAGAAGTTAATGGGAGAGGGAGTTTTATAGTACAATTGATTTTACGGCTAATGGTTGCTCCAGTATGACTTAACTTAACTTGTGTAGTATTTGGAGGAACAAGCGACTGAGTTCAATGAAATCTTTTGCAAACTTAATTATTTAAATGTGTTGAGAAAAAACATCATGAGGTTTATTCCAGATGTTTCAATTTTCTGAGCAGTGAAAGATCTTCATTTAGTCAGTGTCTAGAGTAGCTACAGTGAAGAGATCCAAGTATTTTCTGTTTACAGTGTCAAAAAGTGAACTTAAAAATCTAGTCACTACATGTGTTGATTTAAAATACAAAATGCTTTGAGAGTAAATTGTGGAGGGATCAAAATCTTAAAATGGTGAAAATTATGCAGCAGTCTGTTTGATACGTGTCAGTTTTACTGTAAATAGTTTTAACAAGGCTTCATCTTGACTCAACACAGAGACTTGTTTGTTCTTGATGTTGTCTTGACTAAAAAATTGGATAACACAATCTCTTATTGGCTTGTTTGAGACTTAAGGTCCTTTCACACCGGGAGCGTTTTTTTTTTTGTGCGATTATTTCAGATGTCAATATTTTTTTCTAACCTGTATCCTGTCAATACAAGTGTTCAAATCAGCGATGTTTTCCTGTCCTGTGATATTGCGGCATTTATTTTTTCGTTTCGCTGTCGATTTTTCTCAAGTTTTGTATACTGTGTGTCCACTTCTGACCAATCAGATTGCGTGTTGTTGCGACGTCAGATTCACCGCTATATCCAACATGGCCGACTGGCTGATTGTTTACTTGTCGGAGAACAGAGTGCTTTTTGATAAAAGACACAAATATTACAAAGATAACGGCCTGAAGGACATCTTGTGGAGAGTTATAGTGTTGGATTTCTCATATCACGATGGTTTGTGTGCTTTAACAGTTTGCTAAACGTCTTTGTTTTAACTTTCATCTGTGCTAAAGTAAATTTAGCTCGTAAACTAACCTGTTCAGATACAATATACCATATGTATTTTCACTGTCTCAAACTCAATCACAGCATTGCTGTCACAGCACCATTAGGTCTCGGTTGTTACCTTACGTTTATGGATTATAGTTTAATGTGCTTATCTGGTACTGGCCCTGACTCATTACATGCTATCATGACAGACAGCTATCTCAACACTAGTGTCTCATCAGAACTGAAAAACTGTCAGTCTGGTGTTGTGTCAGCCTTCTCACCTCCACCCGGGAGGCGTTTTTTTTGTCCCCCCGGAAAGTCACAAAATGGCATTGCGCTTGACATGTATAGTCAGACGCGTCAAAATTTGCCTCCGAATATTTCGTAATTTCATGTCGTATATTTGCGTTGTTCCCGGTGTGTAAGGACCTTAAGCCTGCTGATATGATTGGTCATCCCTACTTGCTTGACTAATATACTACAAATAGAAACCAGACATCACTACAAAGTATGTTTCCATGCTGTACAATAATCAATTTATTATATTCAACTGTAGTGCAGTGTGGTAATGTGGACTGAGATTACACAATGCTAACTCTTTTTCAGCTGGAACCCATTTCAGTACAGAAAATACTACCTTCAAGTATTAATTATACATACAGGTTATAGTACAGGTGGACAAAATACATGTGGACTGAAATCCATAGTGTAAAGGCTGCTGTGTTTACTAGCAGAGGTCATAGAGACATCATACAGTCTGCTCATACCCAGTTTTACATATCTGAGACACAAGGATGATGCATGTTCTGGTTGTTCAGCATCCATCTCTGCAATCATGTCTTTGTTCTATGTCCGAGTCATCACACATCGTCATGGGTCTCATAGTACCATTACAATGGCTTTGGTTTATCTCATTAGCTATGACGTCATTGCTGCTACATTCATTCGTCTGAATTTGAAAAGAAGGTTATGGTGATCCCTCTACCACAAATTGTATTACCTTTGAAATCATATTATAGCATTTGCGTGGATAAAACATAAAACCAATATTTCTCTGTGACTCACAGACAAAGAACATCAGATGTAATTTAAGATCCTCAGACTAGGGCTGACATGCAATTTATCAGCGGTGTGGTCTTGTTGCTTGTGTGGGGTTAATGAATGAGTTTGGTGAAGAGGGAGACAGTGACTCACTGCAACACATTTTCTTTGATGACAAAAAGAAAAGCCTGGGTATTTTCTGTCTGGCCTTTGAGGTCGCAACATCCCTGCCTCGTCCTCCTTTCATCTCCGTCTCCAGCTGGTGAACACCCTTTGTCCAATTAGGAGGTGTTGTAGGTTATGCAAACAGCAATAAACCACAAGACTTTGTCGTGTAGTGGGAAATTACCCAAGTGACAGGGACAACTTTGCAGGGGAAATATCAGGAAGGGAAAGTCTCCCCATCTGAGACGGAAACCTCTGCAAACATGGCTGCTGACGCAAGCGTCTGCACAGGAGAGGGCAAAAACTCTGACAGAAACCTGTTAATTTTTTATCATTTGGTACCTGGAATTTGAACAGAGCAGACTGGAACAATTTTAGGTTATGGGGGAATAGAGGACAGACAGGAAAAAAAAAAAGTTCTCTCACCTTTTTAAAGCCTCTGGTGAATTTTCTAATGGCGATCCTCTCTGTGCCCCGACATTCCCCAGACATGTGGGTGTAATCCTCCACTCAAGTGTCTCCTTCTAGTGATGGACTGGTAAACTGGACAAAGTTTAAGCCTGGCCTGTTCTTGAATAAATTTAGCTAAGTTGAGAGAAAAGATAATAAACAGCCTGATTGGGAAAGATTGAGATGAATTCTAGGATTAAGTGTTTCCAATCCTAGATGGATTTTTAAATGTCTTTTTTTTTCAGTACAGCCAAGGCAAAGAAATCTTAAAAACAAACAAAACATCTGAAAGGCATAGTTAGGCAATTTGGAAAGTGCACCCAAGAGTTTTATCAAGATTACTTGATTCTGACATGCCAAACTGATAATGTGAAATAGCAATGTCAAAACTAAAAAATTCGATTTAAAAAAGACATGAAGAGTTTGTGAGGAGATTAAAGCTGCTGTGAGGCATTTTATCTTGTTATAAAGCAGGCTAAATTGAATACTGCTGCCTTTCTATGACAGCAAGAGGACCATAAGCAAGAAAAGAATGACTGATTATTTATAGGGAGTAAGGGCCTGTTCACTCCACCTTTTCTTTGACACTGAACTTAAATTTCAGGGCACTTCTTACCAGCACTTATTGTTGCCATGTCAGAAAAGTTGTTGGCACTATCACCCTCAGTAGTGGCTCTTGAGTCTGTTTTACTATTTGACATATTTGCTTCTATTTAGTGGAATTTAATTGAGAAAATGTTAAAACAATGAACCTAAGTCATGTTGTTGCATCAGCAACACAATTGGTTGGTGAGAAGTAACAGTATTAAGAGTGTCTGTGTTCTACAAGTTAAACTGTGAGCACAAAATCAGTTGATGCTAAAGGTATCGATGAGCTTGGGATCCTAAACAATGAAAATGCTGGACTGCGTTGTCTAAAAATTGTGTTTATGGACACAGGCCCTCACTGCCAAGGTCTTTAGCTGTTGCCACCCATAATAGCCTTAGACGGGGCAATCAGCAACACCCTGCCAAGATGTTGCTTTGTTTGATGATTATGGCAGCAGGATTAGTTTCATTACAGACTTTTACTCATGTGTGGTCAGAAGAAGACCTGTAAAGAGATAAGTCATGCAGCTCTGTACACAGGGGCACCAAAAATTAGGCATAGCTGTGGTTCAGGCAGGACCTGAGAGTTTATTTATCTTGTTTGTTACATTTTGATTCTAGATCCCACGTGAAACAGTTACACAAGGATGAAATTACCCTTTAAATTACAGCTACTCGGAGAGATAATGATTGCAGACACATGCTCAGCTGATGCAGACCTCATAACTCCTCATAGTGTCCCACTCCTGTCATTCCTGTTTAGAGTGGGTCATCCCTGTGAGCTTCCTGTGAGCTTTCCCTGGTGATCGGCGGGGGGTGTTCACCTCAAATTCAGAAGATTCAGGGCAACACTGACAGAGCAGTGGATGGAAAAGCACAGTGCATGACTCTTTTATGTGCAGGAGCAGAGCTGGTGTCCAACAGCGCCTGCCTGCAGTGAGGAGAAGTCGTGTTGAGGAGTAGCATCCTGCTCTGATCGTGTTTTCTGTGAATGGCCAATCAAGGAGGGAGTACATGTTGAGAGATGTGGCAGAAAAAAACAAACAAACTGACAAGGTAAGGAAAGAGAGAGAGCAGGAGGAAGATACAGGAAATTGTTTTATGTCTACAAGTTTACATGTGTAGAACGAGAGCATCACACGTTTCCATCCTGAATATAATATTTATGATTTGGAAGAGTCTGTAATCTGGGGCTTTTAGATATGTCCTATTTCAATCTAAACTGAAATTAAAACATCTTGGAGGTTGTTCCCTTTTTAAAGCTCCCATGAGGAACTTTCCATTCGTGATTACTTCGAGCCCCCTGCTCCCCTTTTGACAGTGAAGTGTGCTGCACGGCTGACACCTACACCCTCACATCAATTTCAGGCATTAAAAACTACAATATTAAAATTGTCAGTCTTGTTACTGGTGGTCTTGTTTGCTTTTGTGTATCAAAAAGTTGTCCGTGTAAATTTCCGTTGATTTCATAAACATCAGAAAACTCCTCACAGGAGCTTTATTTGATTTTTCTCCTTGTGAGTTATGAAAAAGCATTTCATGTTGTTGAGTATTGCTTTAATTCATTTGTCATTGGTCAGATATGTCATGTTGTACAGCCAGATCTTGAACATAAACTCTACATATATTGAAATGGATGCTGGAAAGTGTTCATGGACTGAGAAACCAAAACACTTGGAGCTTCCCCTCTCAACTGGCTGCAACCTCAGTCATAAACTCTGCCTCCTTTTTCATATTAACAGACAGAACATGGGTCCAACTGTGAAATCAAAACACATGCCAAATGCTACTCTGACAAACACATCCTCTGTCATTAAAGTTCTTAAAATGCAGATTCATGTCAGCTCTGTTAAATGCACTGGTCCTGGATCAGAGCTGCCTGTCAGATGTTCCGTGCATGTTTTTGTTGGATGGGGGACTGCAGCCCATCTGACAGCTATAATGACAGCTATATCCACCTCAAACTCTCCCTGCGGCACCCTTGCTTTTAAATTCAGTATCACAGATTGCTAATTTTTGCACAGTATTGAAAGACAGTTTTTTTTAATGAGCTGCTGAAAGAAAAGAAGTGTTAAGTGTTAAATTTAAATAAGCCTGCATGAACCACAGAGTTCATCTTCAAAAGACAGAAACAATGACGAGGTTTGCTGGTCAGAGCCTCAACAAGTGAAACGTGAATCCAAGGCATGTGCCGAGATGATGAAGATGACCCATTAGTTGGGACAGATTGGGGAGATTTTTCTCAGTAAAAAAGTCAAAGAACAAAGATTTGTGCTATTTAGGGGTTGTGTACTTTAATAGAAAAATAGACTCAGTCTGACCCAGCATCAGCATCATCCTCCATGCTACCCTCCCCTTTTTCATCCTTAGTTTTCCTCAACCAGATGTTAAACTTTAAAACACAGTCACCCACCCGAAGAACTTTAATCTTTCTCCATGTTCAGTATGTTGCTGGAAACCTATTTGTTCTTTGGCTTGGCTTGCTGGTAATGGTTATTTAATGGTATTTGAGTGATGAAAGCACAACACTTTATACACAAAAATAAACACCTCAACGCTTCTCTGTCAAACATTGGCTTAGATATAAACAATGACAAATGCTAGATTATTATCTAAGTTTGAAACAAAGGTGACCATCTGCCTATTAGCAGTCCAAAAGTGTGTTCACACACTGACTGATACTTCCATCAGTGTCTAAATGACTAAGACATTTCCAAATTAATTGAGCTACATATGGCAGCCTTCCAGTCCGATTCTCATCCCTGCTTGTCTCTTTCTCATCAAAAGTCAGCCATGTGATAAAGTAGCAGAGAAAAGGCAACACAAAGTGTGGGGGTCTTAAATCATAAACAAATTGATATAAAGTATTAATGAATGTCATCCTTTTATTCATTCCTGTGGCATGTGTTAGGATTGGTTTTCTTGATGAACCCAAAAACAGGTAGCGGACATAGAGGAAGCTTTAAGTGATTTTATTACAATGAAGGGTGTGGGCTGGTGTGAGGCCTGGGATCCAAGGAGTGGAGGGGATCCATTATGAGGGAGTGAGGCAGTGTGTGAGCTGAAGGATACAGCAGGTGAGTGGTTCAGGATTGAGAGTGTGGCAGTTGAGGCAAAGGTTGGGCAGACGCTGGTGGCCTGAGGAGGCACTGGTGGAGAGAGGAGGAGAGCAGGGATTAGTGACAGGCAAAACATACACTAGAGCACTCTTAAACTCGTCCTGCTCACCCACTGCACCAGACTGTGGGGGGCTTTAAGCAGACTGTGGGGGCTTTAAGCAGTTCCTTCAGCAGCAGCAGACTGAGACTCCCACCTTGCAAGACGGAGCGCTACCGCAGGTCATTCCTCCCTTCTGCAATAAGACTTTACAATGAACTGTGTGGAGGTGTAGAAGGAGCCAGTGCTGATGAGGAGCTGCCTAACCTCTGTAAAAAGAAGGGGGGAAAACTCCACACAAGTAACACTCCACAGAGCTATTGAGTGTCCAAACCGGTGAAATCATGACAGGCATGAACAAATGTCAAACTAAACTTTTCAATTAAATGTCAAGTTCAAACTCCTGTGAGGCACTTTCAGTTTGTGTCAACTTTGAAGCTGAATGATAAATTAATACAACATAGTTTAATGTAGAAAGTAGATATAATTAGAAAGTCAGTTATGGCAAATAAAGGATACTTGTCTGTGAGTGCGTGTAAACATACTTTGCATCCCTGCATAAGTCAGTGCCCCTGTTGGCCCAGCTGATTAAGTCTGGACATGCCCCAACAGAATGGATATGGCTCTATTGGAAAAAATCACATCTAGCAAGAATATGAATGTGCAAAATGTTATGCAGTTACATATTTGTGTATCATCTATTTATTTATTTACACAAAATACAAATAGTAGGAGAATCGAGGAAATATAATAGTATATGGTAGTAAGTCATGTGGGTGTGGTAGAAGCCTGTAAATGGCTAGTGTATGATTCACTACACTTAAAAAAGAATAGGAGTTATGTGTGCACATGAACACACAACCTCAGGGTCTTTTGCATGACAAACCACCCACTGAGCTACTGAAACATCCCACTGGGCCTAATGAGGACATACTGCACTAATCAAGAGCATCCCTCCTCTCTCTCTCGTTCTGTAAATACAATGTAATTGAAGCACAAACAGAGAGTTAGACCGTCATTAAGCCAAAAGTATGCATCACTGCATAGGCAAGGCAGATGTGTCTCTTCTGTCCTACAACAGAAACCTTTGAAGCTGTTACACGTCATCTGTATGATTCAAACAAAAGGCTGGCTGGGGGTTTTTGTAAAGTGATGAGCTCAACCTGTGTTTTGGTATTCTTTGCGGGTCTTTAGGCGCACAACGAATATGATGCATCTTGCTCTAAGTGACGAATTTCTAAAACTCATCACAATAATGGGCTATGATTCATGCATTTCAGATAGAAGCTTCAAATTGGCATAAGTGACGATGGAGACACTGTCCCTGGAGTGTACACATTGTCCAGACAGACAGATATGTGTGTGAGAATGGACATTAATAAGCTTATTTCATTCAGCAGATCCTCCATCCATGGCTCAATTTTTTATTCATTCACCATTCAGGTTCTCCTTTAGCGTTTGAAAGGACTGCATGTAAAGTTCAATGTCCTCAATTTTTCCTCATAATAATAATAATAATAATAATAATACATTTTATTTGTATAGTTCTTTTACAGGAGCTCAAAGACACTTTACAAAAACATAAAAATACAGTGAGGCAAAGATTAATAGTAACAAGCTAAAAATAAGGTAAAAACGAATAAAAAGAATTAAAGGAATAAAAGAATAAAAGAATACAAGTGGGAGGGGCGGGAGTGGGTGGGATAATGGTGAGTGAGGGGGGGGTCAGGTGATAAAAGAAAGTGTGAAAAGATGGGTTTTGAGGGCAGATTTGAAACTGATGAGGTCTGGGCATTCACGGATGTGTTTAGGGAGGGCGTTCCAGAGGGTGGGGGCAAAGACGCTGAAGGCCCGGTCCCCCAGGGTACGGTGCTTGATTTTAGCTGGGGGTGAGAGGAGGTTTGCGTCAGCTGAGCGGAGGGGGCGGTTCGGGGTGTGGCGGACAATGAGGTCAGACAGGTGGGAGGGGCAAGGTCGTGGAGGGACTTAAAGGTGAGGAGGAGGATCTTGAATTGAATTCTGTGGGCAACCAGAAGCCAGTGGAGTTGACAGAGGACGGGGGTGATGTGGTCGTATGGGCAGGTGTGGGTGAGAAGGGAGTGGTAGATGGAATTGACTTTATCTTGGAAGTATTTGAGGAAGGTGTTGCATTTGCTGGTGGTGAATGATGAGGAGATATGATCCTGGGGTTTGAGCAGACGGTTGACTGTGGATAATAGGGATCTTGGATTTCTGGAGCCGGTGTGGATGATGTTGGAGTAGTGCGAGGTCCGGGCGGTGTTTAGGGCGTTGTTGTATTTGTGGATGCAGTCAGTGAGGGCGTGGAGGTGGACAGTGAGACCAGTTTTCTTGTGGAGGCGTTCTTGATGAGGTCGCCAGTATTGGCAGGAAGAGGGGGAGGGGAGGTGGGGATGGAGTTTACCAGCTGAAGTACAAACTGTGCTGAGGACAGGGGGTGAGTTTGCGAAATGTAATAGTCCTTGAGGTAGTTGGGCTTGGTTGAGGGAAGTGGATGTCCAGGGTGATTGCGAGGTGGTCTGAGATGTGGAGGTTGTAGCTGGAGATGTTGGAGATGGTTATGTTGGTGGAGCAGACAGGATCAAGGATATGGCCATGCTTGTGGGTGGGGAAGTTAATGTGTTGGGTGAAATTGCACAAATTGTTTCTGGATGTCTTGTTTGAGGTTGGTGATGGTTGCGTTGGCTTTTTCCAGTTCCATGTCGTTTTAACCAGAGGAGCTGTGCCCGGTCCTGTTAAGCGGTGTAAATGTTGTCGAACCTTGGTTGGGGTCTTGATGCTCTTGGAGAAACAGTGGAGTCAACGTCTTCATCTCTCTATGAGTCCTCTAGATGATCAGTGTGAAGAAACCGAGGCTATGCTGTCAAGTTGAGAAACACTCCTGTTCTTCGACGAAAGTGTATTAGTAATGGTCAGTGTCATGAGATATTTGGTGTTAATGTTAGGATTTTTGTATGTTTTCAGCAATAGATTAATGAACTCATGTTGGGAGTTTAACACACTCAGCAGAAACTCTTTGCATGAACACTTAACCACATGAAAAAGGTTTTGTTTTACTGTTGCTCTCTCTATTTCAACAGTACAGTCATAAGAAACACATCATTACTTCCAGTTGTCTCTGACACTCAACCTCTATTTCCTCAACACTCATGGTTCTTTTTTTTTGCCAGACTTGTGTTTTCGTCCTCAGCACCTCTGTTTTTTTTTTTTTTTTTTTTTTTGAAGGATGGTTAAAGTTTGGGGCTCTGGGACAAAAACTGTTTCTTCAGAAGGACCATTAAATCAAAATCTTCCAGCAAAAGATACAGCACTTTGGTTGTGTAACTTCTGGCAGACAGGACTATAAAAAGGAAGCAAGACAAGTCTATGTTATCGGGTATGCTGATGTTCAGACAGACAGCATGGGTGTGGATATCTCAGGAAATGTCAGTTATTTCAGCAATGTCCAAAAATGTTTGTCGAACAAACTATGTTGTTTGGAACCAAAATACAAAAAAAAAAAAAGAGTGTTCTTGTGTCAACATTGTTTTCACAAGGATGGGAGGTCTGGAATGCAGGACTGTGAATATTCAGGATACTCTTGGTAGTCATCTCTCAACACCAACCCTACTCTCACTTCTACAGTCAAATACAAATATAGGCAAAGCATGGGGGATGAAGCCTTGATTAGAAGTCCTGGTAACATACAGAAGCAAGTGTCAACCTTTGATGTAATAATATGAAGCTAATGCTCCGGTGGTAAAAACTGCAGTTCCCCAAGTGTCCACTCATGACTTGCTCCACTTGAGTGAGTCAGACCCTATGCCAACCTCTGTTAAAAGGCATGTTTTCAGCAAAAATAAATACATTTACTTCCTGGTATGAAAAAGGCTGTTTCAGACTTAATAGCCAATTTCTCTAATCAAATGAACTTTGCAGCGAAGGAATGAATTGAAAACACTGAGGCTCCGAGTTGTGCATAGATTGACTTAATTCAGGATGTGGTTGACTTGACTAACTGTAACTCACATTCAGTTGTGTACTTGATGTCTAAAAAATCAATTTATTGCTTGAGCCCCACTGAAAATTGACTTTTATGATTCATGTTAACACATTGCACACTCATAGTCAGATCAATATACTTAGATAATGCTCAGGGATCAATTTTCCCTTGTATGTATGTGTGCCTCAGTCTTGAAATGGCCTAAGCATTCTGTGCATGCTCCACAATTCACACTCTGGTCTAAACACCCTGTGGTGCCAAACAGCGCAAACATGGAGAAGAAGATGGGATATATAAAAAAAGAAAAGACGAAGCCACCATTTTCCAGTTACTGAACTTACACAGCTTTAAAGTTTTCCATATTTGCACAGTTTGGCAGACCACCCATTGACATCTTGTTTGTCTGACATAGTTTATTATTAGTTAATAATTTCTTTTCCCTGTTCTGTTTGCCGGGGCAAAGACAGTAGTGCAGTTAAATTGTTTGCCAGGAGACTTAGGGCTTGCCTCAACTTTTTTTCTTTTCCTCTAGATAGACAGAAAGTTAACCTGAATTAGTATTTCCAACATATGGACTCCCATCTTTGAGCTTCTAAGTTCATCTTCATGGATGTCACTGACTCCAAGTTTTAAAATCTTTGACAAGAAGCCTTGAAAAATTGGTCCTCGTGGAGGCTACATTGTTTTCAGAGGATAGTTGGTGGGTTTTAAAAATCAGGAGAAAAAAAAAGAAGGGATTTTTGGAAGTATTTTGGTTGCCTGTAAGTAAACAGTATGTTTGGAGAGCAAAAGAGGCTGTCTGCAACCCTGCAACATATCGCCTATCACCAAAGACAATTTGTGTTTATTAAATTCTTACAGATTAACATCTGTATAGAGATGCAATTCCTTGACTTTCATAATGTTCGCACTCTTAACATTGCCAGTCCAACCACAAACACAGCACACAGAAGAGGACATTTTGGCTAGGATATCCCTTGGCTTTACAAAAGCCTTGAAATATTAGCTGTTACCCCCAAGACTTATTCTTCCTCAGGCAATAGCCAAGCACTTCAAAGACTTACATTTAAATTATATGGTGTTGGGACGGGCAAATTTGGAGAAAAAGAGGCCCAGACTTTGAAATTGTTCCATAATAGTAACGCAAAGGGCACTCCCCTTACAGCTGTATATTTGATCGGTTTGAGTGAAACCGATCAAATATACTGCATATATTCTACTCCCAGCATGTGACTTATAGAGTTGTGAAACAGTCTGAAAAGGACATTAACAAATACAACCAAGCCAAAAAAGTACTACTGTACCATCTTAAATTGTATATATCTCATATATCTATATAAGAAAGACACTTAAGGAAAAGTATTAAAAGGCCTATGCAGGCTGTTTCTGTGCACAGCAGGTCAACATGCAATAATGTGAGATTTGTCTACAGGCAAGTATTCAACATAAATATAATTTCCAATAAAGAAAGAAAAATGAACTGCTATTCACATGGGCTTTAATAGAGCTTGTTATTCAAACAAATTACTGCTCCCTAATTTGTGGTACTGAATTAAACTGGTCATTCCAGGAAACCCCCTGGCAAATAATTATGAAATCCCAGGCACCCATCTGGCTGAAAGTCCAAGCAGCATTTGCAGATGCAAGTCATCCGGCTCTGTTACTATAAACACTATGATGGCTGAAGGTCATCAGAGTAATGACATGGCTCATTGTGATCTCATTGTTATTGTTGTCTGTAATTTCACAGTAGATCTCTGCATCAGAGAGAAGCTGCCTGCTCTGGTGATGTAAGAAAATATTCAAGGACAACAGAGGAAAACCTGAGGAAGAGTTCTTAATATTTAATCTGCAGCTTCCCACAGACACCCACTGGGTATTGGTGACAGTGTGGAGCCTGTCACTGTAGGAATGCCGGTATGTGCTCCTGGTGAGTAAGTCCTGGTGTGACTCAGAGGATTTGGGTGCTGGTTAGGATTTCACCTGGCTCACAAATCTGACAGCATAAATTGATAATAAATGACTGTTTTGCTTTTCTACATCTGGACTCTTGGAAAATGTGGAGCAGTGGTGTAATGAGTGTTCTCCAAAACAAGTACGCACATCTGTTTTAAGGAATATTTGATGATCAAAGTTACAAAACAGAAATCTGAATCTAGGAAGTAACTTTGACACTATAAAACCTTTTGAATCTACACTTAAAAATCTACTAGTACTATTTCAGTTCAAATGAGTCAGTCCTTGTTCAATTATGTATTAATTGTAGGTATTTGTGAATTTTAAGACCCCAAATGGTTGAAATAAAACCAGTTTTATGCTTGTCTCTCACACTGTTTTGTGATGTGCTCTGTTCCCACATGAACTATTATGTGTCAACCTGAAGATGTTCTCTTTTTAGACTGTCCATTTTTTTTGTTTTTGTTTGTTTGTTAAGTATTTCACATCCAAAGTTAGAGTCTTGCACAAAAGAACCCAGTGATACCGTAAAATCAGTATAAATAATAATGAAGACCAAGGTTTTTCTGTGGTAAAACATTAAAATTTATAATCCCTGTTGCCATGGTGTAATGTAGGTACTTACAGCAGATGTTTTCAGAACTTACACTAAAAGATAATGATGATGTGGAAGGAGATCACTATCTATTTTGGCCACCCTGCAGTAACTGATACAGGTTGATTGATGACTCATTGAAGGAGAGTATTACTGAGTCTCTAAAATGACCCTGTTTACCCTAGAGACATGCTGTATTTGATCAAGAATACAACCCATTGATGAATGTTAATTTCATATTTATTGGGATGAATTTCTTTTTGTATAAATAAAAAATTAGTATACCTTATTGATGGATTCTTTGATCTCATTCCAGACCAGACAGCACCAAACTCAATCCTCAGCAGATAGCAGAATGTATCTAATAAAAGACATCTATGTAATCATGTATATCACAGTGAGTCATTCACAAGCACATACTCAGTGAGTCATCAGTCACTCTCACTTACTCCACTTCTCCATCTCTCCACCTCTCCTCATCTCTTATTTGCCATACAGAACATGCCCAGTCACATGGTGACTCAACAAGCTCAGGCGCTCAGATGCTACAGGACGCCACCACCAGGTTGAAGCGTGTTGCGTTTGATTATCAAAGAAACATGACAGCAAACTCCTCCCCCTTAATAAGCATTTCTGGTACAAACAATAACTATGGGATTAAAGGAAACTGAGGCTTTCAGCAAGAACCTTTTGCTTCTTGATGTCTTGTATAAAACGCCCCATTAAATTTTGTATTTTGGTTAATGAATCCAAAGCACAGCAGATTTACAGTTTCATCATTACTCATTAAGATAGAGATATGTTGAGTTAATAAGCTGGGTTACAGCTTTGTAAAGCTGTTATATAAAATGATCACAGGTGATTTGAGGGGTGCCAGGGATAATATTTACCAAACGTTCTTTGATATTGAGCAATACCCTCCTGCCAATAAAGTTCACTTTTCAGAAACAGTGGAGCAATAAGCAATTTAAGAGTGGTGAAGTTTTTCCATTTCGAGTCTGAATACATTATTGTTGCCATAAGTGGCGTGTGGTGGGGAAAATTCTTGAGGAGCCATGTGAGACAGGGCCTTGCATTGATGAACATTTTAGGGGGGCTTCACAGAGAATATGTTGCTGCTTGAACAGCCATTTTACACCACAAGATGGCCTTTTATAGATCCTGTTGAACTTTGTAAGGTACTAACTTGCCACAAATGCTTTTTCTAGTTTTACATTCACATCACACAAAGGCTATTCATGCAGGCTATCAAACACACCAGCCCTGACTTACCAGCCCCATTGTTAGTACTTGATGTTAAAGTTTATCATTTATCATTTAGTTTATTCATTATGTAATTTATTTTTAATCATTTATTTTTTTTACCACTTTCTCCTGGCTTCCTCAGGGACGCGAGCAAAGCAAGTTAATCTTCGGCCACCATATCTCACTCATTGTAAAATGGGAAATGGAGAAGGTGGCAGATAAAAGCAACAGCAAATAAGAGTCACCAGAGAGAGTGATGTCTTAATCTGATATTCACAGCCCGAAAAAAACAAAAAACAGCAGAAGCCCAGCCTCTCAATGAAAACATACATTTTTAATCATCCAACTGCTCTTTTAAACAGCCAGAGTCTTTATGATTGTGAGTGTTGTGTGGTGGTGGTCGGAGAGGCCGTAGGCGCAGAATGGCAGCCACGTCTCCACCACCACCAAAGTGTGACTGTGTGAGCGAATGAATGATGTATCCAATGTAAAGCGCTTTGAGGGTCTCTGATAAAGCGCTATATGAAATCTGATGCATTATTATTATTATTATTATTATTACTCATATGTTCACAGCCTTTATATTTGTCTAAAGCCACATCACACTGTGCATTTCAAACCACTTATGTATAGCCATATACTACTTTTGCATCCTAAAAGCACCTTCAAAAATAAAGTGCTACCAGGTGCAAATTGCACCACGTAGTTAACTTTCATGGGTTGGGTTGCGTATGTGTGGGAGAGTAGAGAGCCTTAGGTTAATCTGTATTTGAGCTCAGCTGCCATGCAGGAATGTAAATTCACCAGCAGTACAAGATTTATGGTCAGTGGTTAAAACTGTTCTTAATTAGCATAACATTGTAATAAACACTGAGTCCCGATCAAACATCCAACACGTCAATTATACAACCGCAGATGTTGGGAAGCAGAGCAGGAGCCAACATAAACCCTACAGCAGCGGATAGAAGGAGCACAGTAACAAACAACACAAACTCTGTCATCATTTAGGCCCATTTCCTTTCTGTGCTTGAGATATAAACTTAAATCACTCATGGCTTACTTTTGACTCATAAAAAACATCAACTCGTTCACATTAGACCACGTGCAGTAAAGAATGCACTCCAGGATTAGCTGGTTGGCCTGACTTGCAACATGATCAAAAACATCCTCTTGAAGTCAGTAAAAAGTTTTAAGTTTTAATGTGTGGGATTTATCTACTTTTGAGCCTAATGGAGAAGCTTCCTGCATTGCTTCCTGCTCTTTCATTAACTGGAGAGCTAGGCCAGACAGTTGTGAACAGTGAGGGGGGCTTACAGGAGATGGCTGCTGAACATGTGAACAACATGTACTGAGTGTTAAAATATTGGTACTTTTTACTTGTACCATCTAAGTGGTGCTTCTGAAGGAAAAATACTTGTCTGTGGGAAACGTAGGCAGGGCAGTAACTCCAACTTACAAAAAAAGAAGACTTTGACTGTCTTGTGATAGTACTAAGAGTACAAGTTGAGATATTTAGCATTTTTTACCCTTGTGGCACCCATTCATCATGTAAAGAGGTAACACTATGAGTCATATACATATCTCTGAAAGGACCACTCAGTTGGTCTGAAGTGGGTATGAGGTACTTGTCAAAAGTGAATGCATTGCCCACAGTGGCCAGTTCATCCCCTCTTTTGAGGAACCAGGCATGTGGGGATGTGCTGAAACAAACTGGAGTTCAGACTACAAAGCACTGACCATCCTTCAAACATGCATACCTTTAAATGGGGAGGGGTTACATTTTTGGCAGGTATGTTTCTCAAAGTCTTTGTATGGTATACTGACATGCATTTTATCATCCTTGCTAAACATATCAGTTTGCGTGTGTTAATTTCTGATGCTAGAAGCATGTAATATCTTCCAATAACAAGTCCCTGTTTGCTACGCACATTGGCGTATCAATATATTTATCAACATGGGCTACACTTTACAACCGTCTTCCGTAATTTTCTGTCAAGCAAACTATTTACCGACCTATAAATCTGTCAAACTGGTGTGTTTTTTTTCTCTTAGATTTAAGTGTTTTTACCCACAGGACCGCAGCTGAATGGATGTTGTGCAACAAACAGTTGAGCGTGAGGAGATATATGAACTGGTGAATTTGGCCGCAGCTCTCACACCAATCAGACCAGCAGATTGAGACAGAAGATAGTGTCCACCCTTGACAGAGAAAAATAGACTTCTTACATCTGTCAGGCTGCTTTTATCTGAACCATCAATCTCTCATTTAGACATGACTCAGCTATCTGGAAAGGTTGCACTGGTTGCACTCTACCAAAAGAATGAATTTGTGTGACACCAACGCCTTCTTCACTAAAGACAAATCAGCACAGCCCTTAATATTTCACTTACCCAGGAGAGCACTTCACCTCTGTTTCCTTTTAGATAACCTACGCTGATGTCTGCAGTCGAATCACTCATCCTGTCCACACTTAATACACCCAGACAGACAGACAGATGAATGCAGCATACCCACATACATCAAACACATGTGGTAAAACAAATAGTGATGTAAATGAAATAAACACAGCAGATAGGACGAGTTAAGACATCCTGACAGCTCTGCAGAGATACAAAGTGAAAAATGGAGTGTGAGTTGAGTAAGATATCTCCATATGAAGAGATATCCTTTGTACAGTCCAGTCAGTCTGAAGGAGTTAATCCAGACTGCCCTCTAGTGGGACATCAACATCCTGAGATCTGTTTTAACAACACTTTGGAGTGCAGACCAAAATATTTCACATAGTGTCTATGTGGACTTATTTAAAAAAAATTGCTTGACTTGGCCTTTTTTTTCCTGTATATTTGAAAGAAGTCTTTAATTGTATGTAATTGTCAGTCATTTTCATTTTTTTTTTTTTTTTAACCCACTAGTTTACTTTTCTTTAATGATGATTGATATTGTGCACAAAAGGCAATAAGAGACAAGTTAATCTGTATTGAAAAGTTATCACCATGTGCTGTTGTGAAAGAAGATTCTAAATAGTTACTTTTATTGTCAACTGATCTGTTAATCAAAAAAAATGTTGCAGACATAAAATGTCACAAATAGAAGAGAGAGATAATTCATGTTACACCAGGGCCCAAGATTAATGTCTTTTAGATGACTGTGCAAGGACACTGGGAAACATGCATACCTCAGGTGCTTTAATTTAAGAATTTTGGCTATTTTCTTTTTTTTTTTAATCTACAATTTTGATGAATTTTCAAGATATGACTAAATGTATTCAATGGTTCAATAGTTAACTCTTATAGTTCTAATGGTGCATATTAGTTATTATTATATCAGTATATGGCTTAAAGCTATGAACTTGACAAAAAAATATGGTAACATGTCTGCCAGAAAAAGTTAATTTTGTTGAAACACGGTGTGTTTGACTGCATCTGGAGAGCACCTGTAGAGAAACTCTGCTGACCAAAAGCACAAGTTTGAATGATTACAAAAAAGGGGGGCTACTTGTCAAGCCATGCACCTCATGAAGCCATGCTTCAAAGCGCTCTGCTAATGGTGGATTAGGAAGGGATTAAAGCTTGATGTTGGGTGTTTGTAATTAATATAAACAAAGACTATGGTTCAAACACGCTCTCCTCTCCAGATAGCTTTTGTTGTGAACTGGAGTCATAAATAAAGATTGGCTAAATACAGATTGTTGGCTGCTATCCTTGTTTTTTTTTTTTTTTTGCCGTGTCACTCTCTGTTCTCTCTTTCCCCAGTTTCCCACTCTTCTTCCTGCCCTTTCTCTCATTTAAAAGCACAATACTCTAATAGTGCACTTAAATAACAACAATAACTATAGAGATGGCTAAATCCCTCTAAACTGTATCAATTTTAGGGTCCTGGTACTATAAATGCTGACTCATTACCAAGATCCTCTGACAGACTTGTCATTCATGTTTTTAGCAAAACAAGAGTCATTTCGTAAAACAAGAGACATTTGGACAGCCGGAAGTCTCATCTCAAGGAAAGAACTTAGCCCAGGGTCTTAAAACAGAACCCCCATCACCCCCTCCTGTAAGTATGGAGGACTGTGCCTCTGCAGCAGACACACTGACAGGTCATGAGACCTTACATCCCTCCTTCAGCCCTCTGTTCAGTGTGGGGGAGCTGTCGGACAAGTTTGACTGATTCTGTGATTCAAAGCCACTTAAGCTAGGACAGAAAGTCCTTCATTTGATGTGAGTCCAGCCCACAGTAGCCTGTCAAGGGTTTTTTGAAAACAGTTAATGCTTTGTGGCTTTCCTCTCCCCAACATCAGCATTTTTCAAGTCAGTCTGTCCGCTCTTAAGTCTGAAACAATGGATTAATGATAAACAGGCAGAGATTTATGCTTAACCCAAAGAAGTCTGCCCTACATAAAAGAGGACAATGATATGATAACAGCAAATAGTGTAAAGGTTGTTGAAATTTTTCACTGGTCTATTCAAGGGCCATTAAGTGCTCTTTTTTATTTGTAAGATAAAAACAAGACAGACAGGTGATATTCAAGTAGTATATAGGGGACCGTGAAAGTTGAAGAGGGGAGATGGACAATTCAATCAAACAAAATAAGAAAATAAATTAAACAGAAAAGAATGTACCGATATATCAAATGTACACTTGGACATCTGAGATACATTTCATATACACATTCAAATGTAGATATGAATGTGAGGGAATTAATAAATATTCTTCATCATAATAAAGAGGTTTTTCTCTTGCAGCAGAGACAGGTGGTGTGCAAACCTGTAAACTATAAAGGTTTGCACACCAGTTTGACAGATTTATAGGTCGGTAAATAGTTTGCTTGTCTTATTAAGTGCTCTTTAAACTCTTTTATCTTTCAGTACAGAAATATCCCTAAAACACAAAACGTGCTTAAAACATTTTATTTTGTTGAGTATTTTAATTAATTTTAAAATAACATTAAATACAAAACAGTAAATGTCCTTTGGTCCCTGTAAATCTCAGCACACTCTATACACCATATCCGGCAGCATCCATCTTTACTAGAAAGAGACACCCAATCCTGACAGACTTCAATGAAGAATCCTGTTACAGTCAGAGGAGAGAATCTATCTTCCCATTCCAAATTTCAGGATTAACATGACACAGACACTTCTTTTTCTTAATTCCTCCCAATGAGGCCCATCTTTGGACATAAAAAGAGAGATCAGTCATGTTTCTCTTTCTTCTCTCTGCGGGCCTTTCGTTTGAGCTGGAGTGTCTTAAGTTCACTCATAGTTGAAAAGGTCCTGTAGATCCACACCACCTGTCAAGGTAGAACACAGGGGTTCATGTAAACTGCTGTTGAGTTGTGCTTTCATCATTTAAAAAACTTTGACAAGTTGGAGGATTATCTTACCACAATAATGACCATGTTCAGCAAAAGAGGAATAGAGTAGACCAGGGATAAGAACATGCCCTTGGAGTCAAAGTACTGGAATTCAGAGAAAGACCTGCGAGGGAAAAAGGTTTAAAGAGGTTACTATGACAATATGAATCCTTTTTTGGACAAAACATCCTTCACACACTTTGTATCTCACAAATTAAATAAACAAAATAAAACACTGCAGCAATGATCTCACCTCCAGTTAATCGCTGCAAACTCATTTAGATATTCAGCACTATACACCAGAGCAGCTGTGAAAACAGGTATCGTCAGAGTCAGTGACTGATAAACAGCAAATGCAGCAGAGTAGATGTGATAATTTAGTTTACATCAACATTTCTGTTGATCCTGTTAGAGTTTTTATGATGACATGAGCACTTCAGGTTCAGAAAAGTAAAAACAAATGACTAAAATAGTGGAAGAAAGTTGGTGTGCTGATCAATCCAGCATGTCTTTTCTTGTCTGGTAATGTCACACTCTTCTGTAAATCCAGTTTGGAGCAAAACAGATCATACAAAGACCAATGGTGATCATAATGATGACTTTAATTAACCTAAGCCCATTAGTTGATTGGATTTTGATAGAAAATTACTTTTGTGGCGAACAAAAATCAAACGTGTTGTTAATGCAGTCAGGATGCAGGTTTTGACACAAAAAATACAAAGCAGTATGTCAACTGTTGACACACATCAATTAGCCAAAACATTATTCATCCCTAGGTATTTTTTTGAAGACTTAAAACAGGCAACTGGACTGTGTAGAGTTGAGAAGACGTTTCGCCTCTTAACCAAGAAGCTTCTTCAGCTCTAAAAATGCTAGTGTGAGGAGCAGATATTTATCTTGCTGGAGAAGGGGGAAGATAACAACTGGGTGGAGTTAAAAAGAATGGGTCGTAGAAACCCATCTCTGGGTGTGTCCCCCCAAGTCGTTAACCTGAAAGGGTCATTAGCGACTCCTGTCATGTGACCACATGACTAATGCCACCTGGGTCATGTGGTTCCAGGTGTGAATGTTTGTGGGGCTTCCTGGGGAGAGAGCTGAGAACAGCATTGTAAGTGCCAGAGAGAATGTGCCTGAGTCCCCCCCCTCTGTTCAGAGAAGGTTTCTCCAGCCTGGTAAAGATGGCTTCTTTAACTCCTCTTTCAAACCATCTGTCTTCTCGAGCCAACACCTGTACATTGCTGTCCTCGAAAGAGTGACCCGTATCCTTCAAGTGAAGGTGGACAGCTGAGTCCTGACCTGAGGAAGTGGCTCTCCTGTGTTGAGCCATGCGCTTGTGAAGCGGTTGTTTCGTTTCCCCAATGTACAGGTCCGAGCATTCCTCGCTGCACTGGACAGCGTACACCACATTACTCTGTTTATGTCTCGGTGTTTTGTCCTTGGGACGGACTAGCTTCTGCCTTAGTGTGTTCCCAGGCTTGAAATGAACAGGAATATGGTGTTTGCCAAAGATCCTCTTGAGTTTTTCCGACAGGCCTGCAACGTAAGGGATTACAGTGCTCTTGCGTCTCTCCTCCGTTTCGTGTTCAGTGTTATTTCTCTTTCTGTTCTTTACAAAGGCCCACTTAGGGTATCCACAGGTTGTCAGGGCATTTTTGATGTGCTTCTGTTCCTTTTCCTTACCTTCTTTCTTCGTGGGAATATTCTCAGCCCGGTGGTTGAGTGTTCTGATGACCCCCAGTTTGTGCTGTAGAGGATGGTGGGAATCAAAATCACGACCCTTTCAGGTTAACGACTTGGGGGGGGGGACACACCCAGAGATGGGTTTCTACGACCCATTCTTTTTAACTCCACCCAGTCGTTATCTTCCCCCTTCTCCAGCAAGATAAATATCTGCTCCTCACACTAGCATCTTTAGAACTGAAGAAGCTTCTTGGATAAGAGGCGAAACGTCTTCTCAACTCTACACAGTCCAGTTGCCTGTTTTAAGTCTTCAAGATAACCATGACCTGGATGAATGAGAATCTACATGGACATCCCTAGGTATTATAAGAGCTCTACCATTTATTCCAACATCTTGAAGCTACAAAACTCTTCCTTATGCTGTTATGCGTGTACGGAATGAATGTGTGAGTGCAGCAGAGTGATTGGTGCATCCCTTAGGTGACCAGCCTTGAGAGTGCCACTGATCGGTGTGGAGCACAAGTCCTGGCCAATCGAGGAGTAGTGCACTGCATTAAGAAGCTAGATCGCCATCACTCAGGAGATTTTTTTCATTCATTCTATTAGCCAACTACCTCTGTATAACTGTGTGTGTTATTTCTTTGAGTCACTCATTTAAATTGGCCCAGGGTTAGACCTGAGACTTACACATTCAAAGTTATGATTATTCTTTGTTATGCACATTAAGTTAGGGGAGCTATTCCATTTATAATTTTTGTTTTGTTAGACAAGTTAGTAGAATTTTATTTCTGTTTTTGTTTTAGAAAGAGCAGAGTCTCTGTTGACTCTAGGTTCAAGGTTCTTTTGCTTTTTCTTATCTGTTGATTTGAACAGCACTCTCCAGTCCTTTTTTGTGCCTCACTTTCTTTTCTTATGGTTAAATCGCAATGCCTTGTAAAAAAAAAAACAAACACTTTGTACCACCTACAAACTGGTTTTCTGTTACTTTCCTTTCCCCTTGACGAGTCGGGTTGTAACAACTTTACTTTGTATTTATTTTATTATTAAAAACGTTGCAGATGGTGGTGGTATATAGAAGTGTGTTAAACTTAGAGGTGTTTTTTTTTTTTTTTTTTTTTACAGTGGCCCACTTCTTTAAAGCATAATACACCACCAACACAGGCTAGAACAATTATTTTAATCATTTGTCTGACTACTAACCTGGTATACTTTCATGTAAGTTTACAGAGGTACAAAAACACAGATGTGAAGTAAACGCAGATTAAAGCTGTTAATTCAGACGGGACTAGATAAATATAACAATTTATTTTTTAAAAGGATGAGAAAATATGTCCTTGAAGTCGAATTAAAAGATGTGCAGGAGTGCAGGGCTATGCAAGATTAAAGTAAGGACAAAAAATGTGACTAAAACGATGCAGGAACAGTGCATTGACATGGATTAAACTTAAAAAACTACAACTACTGCTCCTTAATAATGCCAACATTGTTTTATTTTTTTTTAATTTATAAGACTTGCACATGAATGTACTTAATAATTCACTCACCCATTAGCACGAAGTGACATATCTGAGCTCTGTAAAACCTGCAGGTCACCACAGTCAGGAACAAACACACCACATGAAACACCAACAGGCCGGTGAGCCATGGCTCCGACCACTGCACCTGAGACCAACAGAGAGGCAAACAATCCACAGCTGTGTTTGAATTATCAAAGATCATGGTTGAATACATGAAGTGGATCTCTCAGCTATGATCGCTAACATTAGCTCGTAACGAGCTCCCATCCAAGCCAGAAGTAAAAATGAACTTACAGAAATGAGAAATGTCCATAACGATGTAATCCTTAAATTGCTAAACCCGTCGATGGGGACAGAGCTGATATTTTGAGCTTTCCCCTCCGTCATATTCATAAAATACTGGATAAATAAAGTTACAGGATGACTGTAAACAAGTCCTGTAGCTGTCCGATCCGTCCCGGAAACGGTATTTTTTTTTTGTAGGATGGTAGGGGAAAGTCCCGCCTCCTTCGCCTCTGATTGGCTAGAAAAGCTGGAAACGTCATCATACGCGCAAGCCAAACGCGGGCTGTCGGCTCAGTACATTGAACAGAACATGACTGAACATTATCGCACTTCTGAATCTCCTAACCCTAATTTTATCCTTACCCTAACCCTTACCATTACCTGACAGACGATAACGTTTCACAGCCATAAGGAATAACCAATCGGAGCCCATCACTTCTAGCCAATCAGAGGCGAAGGAGGGCGGGACCTTCCCCTACCATCCTACAAAGAATTTGGCGTCCCGGACACCCGATTTGTACTGCGCACGTACGAAACGTACGTCACTTCTTGTCCTCCTATTTCAAACACATATCTAACACATGGCATATATAAGGTGAGCATACGTCCCCGATTTCCGGGTACAGTCGCCGAATTGGATGACCTGTCCCCGAAACTGTCCCCGATTTAAGCGTTTTATGAATGAGAACAAAAATGTTGCGTAAAGTCTAGAACAACGGTTATTACAGTGGCCGAATGGGTAGGAAGCACAAGTAAGCAGTCCTGAAAAACAGTTGCTGAAAAACACATGTTGACTGTGATCACACAGCCCCCTTAATCCACTTCTTCTCTGTACTAACCATTGAAATTAATTCAAGGTAGCCTATATGAGGCCTATATAATTGCCTTCTTAGGAGAAAACAACCATAAATATGAGAGACATCATTATGAGAAATGAAGCAAAAAATAACAAAGGAAACATTTTAGAGATCACTTTAATCACATTTGATCAACACATCATACATCGTAACTTTACCATCAAATCAAACTCACACACAATAAAATACAAAAAGGTTTTAAACTTCCTCAGAAACTCACAGTCTTACATTTTAATCTGAGAATCCCCTTCAAATCAGCGGGACCAGAGAACTTCCTTATGCTATTTGTACTTTTGGCCTTTACTTACTTACTTACTTGTCTTTCTTGATAATTCAGACCACAGCTTGGTCTTTCCTGCTTGTTATTCATTTTCAGAAGCTCTGGCCTTTGATTCTTGCAGCTTCCACATTACGACAAGTCTCCCTATACACATACAAAAACCATCTTAACATGTTCTCCTGCGGAAAAGGCACAGTGGACTCTGACTTTTATGGCCATCTGTGAATACTAAAGCTTTCTAACAGTCAGAAATGTTATGACCTCACCTGTATTTGTATCTTATTTGATCACAGAGTATACACACATGTAAGGAAGTGAATAATAATAACAGTCAAATTACAGTTTGTAAAGAGGACTCATACACAAAGGCATAAATTAAGAGTAACTTTCCAATAATATTTTGATTAGTTTGCAAAAATCTATATAAAAATGCAATTTCATAAACTGTTAAAAGTCTTTGGTGTGTGTTTGTGGGGTTTCTGAAATGTTCAGTGAAGGTTGATAAAGAAACTTGAGGAGGTGCATGTTGCTGGACTCAGTTTGTGTTTCTGCCTGGGTGAAAGTCAGGAACAAACGTAGCAGCCACAGTGATCGGAGTTGAATAGCCGAGTGCAAAGTTGTAAAGACCAAGCATTAGACACTTCCAGGTGGCGCGCATTGCTTTGCCAATATTCTGAAAAAGAAGCAGAAAAATTTTAACATTTACTGTGCAACATTTAACATCTCTGAAGTGGAGGCATATTAACTTGAATCAAAGTAAATGAGATGATCTTTCTGAAAAACTCCCATTTCATCACATCATTATTGTTTTCCTCCCTTCATTCAGGTGTAGAGCTTTCTCGGTGATATGGCAGAATTAGGTCAAAATAATAGGAATTAGGTCATGCCATTATAATTCAGGTAAAATCAGATGAAAAGAAACACCTTTAAAGAGTGTTCAAAGACAGAAGCACCACAGGAGAAGCAGGGTCTGTGTTTAATCCAAAAACACAAACAAAAATGTCCTCTGAACACTATTGTCCTCCCATCCCCTTGGAACAGGAAAGGGCTGACCAGCTTAACAGGATGCAGGAAGTCAGGTGATTTGGAAAAATGAGGCAAAAACAGTCCAGCTTCCTGAATAGTGTGAGCACAAATATTTCGACTCACTGGCTTAAGCTTGTCAATAACGTTGACTTCTAATATGTATATAGAAGAATAGGGCAATAGAGCGAGTAATAAAACTAGTCAGAGACATTCTTCAGCTTGTTTTTACAGATTTACAATGTTTCTATCTTAATGTGACTAATAAGGAAACATGGTCCCCTCCAGCAATATAATTATATCAGTCATCCTGATAAATTATCAGAAAATCTTATATATATTATGTTCCATTACACTATTACTCCAAAATTAGAAATAATGAAAAGAGAGTGGTAAATAAATCTCTTTACAGCCTGTAGACGATGATGTCTTAATTAAATCTAATGCAGAATAAATTGTTAAGAACAGTTCAACTGACACAAAAAAATACATATTTTTGCCAGAATTTTTCCATCTAAATTCAACAGAGTTATGTGGATTTATTACTTGAAAGGCTTGGACTTTTCTGTGATCATTAATTATTCAAGTAATTGGACTGGTGCTAAATAATTGATTATATATTAATACAAAATCACATTTGAACTTACCCAAAGTAGTCATAGTCAAACTGAAACTTGAGGGAAAATAAAAACATGTCATTACTCATTATGAGTATCTTTATTCATACACAGTGTGTTTGCAGGTTTGAATTCGAGGAACATTTCGACTACACTTCGACCCCAAATCACACCCTCTGAGTCAACATGACTTTGATTCTTATAAACTGCATCCTTCTTCCTCATCATACTGGTGATTAATGATTTATTCCCCTAGGGTTTTCACAGACTACAAAGAATCTGTTAATGTTCAACATCAACAAGTGTGCCACCTTCCTGCTGTAAGATGGTCTTATCATTCACACGTGAGGGTAATAAAGCAATCTAGTCAGTTAGCACACAACAGATGTTGTCTAAGTAGATGACCTGGTCATGTTATCTCCACTTACTAAACCTTTTTTTAATTCCTTAATAAAATAATGTAAAGATTTGACATTTGTAAATGTGCGAATGTATAAGGAAGTCAGACCAGTTTAGCATGTCGTGACTTGGGCATTTTTTCTCAGGTCCATTTTCTGACCACTATCTTGGCAGAAGTGACAAATTTGAGTCGTTAGAGCTTTTTAGAGTAATCTCTGGCTTGTGTCTGACTGGGTTAACAACATGAACCAAGAGGTCTTGGTTCATGTTTCAGTTTCAAATGTTTGATTTCAGCCTTTAAAATACCAGATTTGTGAATAGTATGTAAAAATTTATGGCATTGACGAAGTACCATAAACAGTGAATTGCAAGTTCATTGAATGTAGAAATTAAAAGTTAAAAACAGACACCAACCTTCTTTACTTTTTTATACTTTTCTTTCTTCTTTTCCTTCTTCTCTTCTTTTGCCTTGGCTTGCGCCTCATCATCCACCAGCATGTCGTACCTCTCTGGCAGAAACCCAAAATGAATTTCCCTGTGGCACTTCTCAGTTTGTCTGCTGTTCTCTGCTACAGGCTGGCTGCTGTCAGGGTGATCCACACAGTCCACATGCCGCTGATATTTTGCTGCTCGTAGGTTCAGCGTCTCTGCTGCTGTTGAATTTATGTTGAACAACCTTGACGGGAGAGACTTGGGCTTCATGTTTTCTGCTTGTTGCTGCTCTTGGGGATGTGAGGGGAAAAGTACCTATTTCCTCAGGAGGTCAGGTTTGTTGTCAGTAGACGTTAATGTGCATGAGTGGAAATAGATTCCAGTGGACCGCCTAGTGTGCAGGATTTGGCATGGAGCCTTTAAAGGTGCAAATCCCTCCTCCTCCCAAGACTGACCTCAATAAGTACCGGAGTTTAAAGTTGAATGTCTGTAAGCAGCTCTTAGACTTTTATCTATGAATGAGTTCAACTGAGGTTAACATCAAGGTTATGTCTATACTGTGTCCTGTCATTGTGTTTTGGAAAGTCTTAATAACAACCCTAAAAAGGACAAAACAATCCTAAAACGAAGAGAAAAAAAAACAAACAAACAAAAAAAAAAACGGTGGACACTTGTATGTTTCTGGTGTAGTTTAATGAACATTAAATATTGTTTACATTTGCAGCACTAACTCTGTCAATCTTAACATCCAAGTTGTTATAAAGATATAAAAATACTTTATCATTTTATAAAAACTTAAACTTCACCTGAAATTAGAGAACAATAACACTTCAATTCCTACTCTCCCAGCATTCTTAAACCTGAAACCCATGTGCTGATTCAAGAAGAATATTGCAGCCCTTCCTTAGCATTTATTTCCAAAAGGCAGCAGTCAACATACTACATCGTCTTCCTCTCATATACATTGAGGCACTTGATGAAGAGTCCGTCTTTTTACATTATGTGTTAATAGCACTTGGAAGGACACTACTGCTCTTCCCCTTCACCTCTTTGTGTGTTGTTATTGCTCCGATCTGGATCTTTGAGTCGGAGGATGCGGATGATTTTACTCACTGGAAGAGAACTATACAATAGAAAGAAGAAAAAAAGAAAACAAATGAGTTTGAGCTCTTTCCTAAGGAAACACAGCAGCATACAAAAATCACACGGCCTTTACTCCCACACAGATTTCTTCTTCTTTTGTTTTAAATAATCAAAGCTCATTGACCAAACAAATAAAACAGTCCCTAACACGATAAATCATTTCTGGGTGGTCTAACTGTTCTGTTTCTCAGATATACACACAAACACAAGCAGTTTTGGTGATTACCCCATGCTCTGTGGTGTGAGGAAAATGAACTGTCTGTAGCGCTGACCAGCAGCCACCTTCAGCAGCATGTCCATTGATATCCTTCTGTTCACCATGTCCTGATAAAAAAAAAAAAAAATGCAGATCGTCAGGTCATAGAGTAACAACCCTGAGCATGGTCAATGTTGGAGATTGTGTGGTTATTTTGGAATACTCTGGAACATTTCCAAGCCCCCCCTCCATGGGGAACAAGGCAACTGAGTCTAATACTATTGTGACAGCATTTGCATTGACATCCATGCCATGTGCAAGACTGACTGGTGTGTAGACCTCTTCACTGTTTTGTCTTGCCTGTCAGCAATAGTCTGTGAGGGTTCAGTGGCTGGGCTTTAAGACTTTGACCTTGGCTTTTGATGTTAGTACTGCCTGAGAGTCCTCTCTCTTCCCGCCCTCCATCCCCCTCTAACAGCTTCATGCTGTGAGGGACGTGTGTAAATAAGCTTCGTTGGAACATTTTTAGGGCAGAACCTTTCAAAAGTGACTATGTGGAAGAAGTTAAAGTAAGCAAAGACTTATCCAGCTACTTTTCATTTCTTCTTTTCATGGGAATGTATCATAAGTCATATGATGAGTCATAAGTATAAGTAAGTCATAAGTATTTAAACATCAGGAAAGAGTTTCTCATTACCATGTAAACATCAAATTCGTCAAGGCAGCGAAAAGGCGCCTCAGTGATGGCCCACAGAGAAAGAACAAAGCAAACTGTGGAGAAAGAGCGCTCGCCACCAGACAGGGTGCGCATGTCACTCAAATTTGCCTGGCTTCCTTGACCAGGCTGCACCTGCAGACAAAAACAACAAATCAGCTTTGTGCAATATGCATTAGTCATTAGGGCTGGGTTTAAAGATTGATTCAATCAATTTTAACCGATTTCCATTCAAATGGTTCAAAATCAATAAATAAAATCAAAAGATTGATCTTTTAACTTTAATAGTTTTTTCTACATTGGACTTGCAGAGAAGCAGCCTGAAGTATCAACCCTGCTAGTCTAAATGCTGTGATCAGCATTTAGCGCTGCTTTCCACGGAACAAGATCTCGTGAGATGTTACTGCCAGCAGGCCTGCAAACATAGCGGAAGCGAGTCCACCTTTCAAGGCACCGCCGACAAGTTTAAAAGCTGATATTTGGATGTATATTGGATTTAACAAGTTGGAAGACGGCAACAAGAAAACAAGTAATTTGCAACGGGTAGGTAAAATTCAGTGGCAATAAAATGAATCTCCGCATTCATTTGACTAGAGATCGGAAACACAGTCAGCATGACTCAAACAAACCAGCCTGGAGCAGGTATTTGTGCAGCTGCCTTACTCCTCAACATGTTGATCAGCGTTTTTCAGTATTACATTGTATGTTAATATACAATTTACAAGACCATGCTCTAAAACCTGACTTACTGCACAATTTCAATTCCCTTACATTTATCTAGGAGTCAAAAGATAGTTGTTTGTGTTCTGATACAGTTGTGTGTCTCACAGCTACTGTGGTATTATTGCACAAAAGCTGGAAGACCTCTTTATATTATGTTTGTAGCTACTTCAATTACAGTGGCTGCCTTGTAATTTATTTTAATTTAATTTTGATTAATTTATGTTTTTGTATTGTCAGGTGGTCATGTTTGAATAATAATAAGTATATGATTAATGTAACTGGTTTGGGTTTAATTCTTGATGTAAACACAATTTTTAATTAAGTACCAGGTTGGTAACCTTGTTAAAAGTTACTTGTTAAATTTACAGCATTATTTTAACTGATATCCCTGACTGAATCGATATTGAATCAAATCGAACCGAAGCAGGACCTTGTAATCTCGAATCGAACTGATCTGGAAAATCTGAATCGATACCCAGCCCTATTAGTCATCATGCTTTATATCACCAGATTAAAAAGCTGGAACAATTATTTACAAACAATGAATACCTTTCATATTTATCAATACTTCACTGTAGATTTCTAAACTGAAAATAACGTCATATATGAGTTGACTTATCATTCAAACCTCCGTCTTACCGAGATGGAGAGGGTTTCATTCTTGTGGTCAAAGGTCATACTCCCAGTATAGCCTCTCTGGGCCAGGGTGCTATCAAAGTAGTATTTACAGCGAGCTGAAAGGAACCTTGCATACAAACAGATGCAGGAGAGAGGGATCAAATGGACAGAGAAGACAGAAGTATAAAGCAATAAGAAACAGAGCAATAAGGAATTATCCTGGTTAAGAATGGGCACGATTAATCGATGAGTGATAAATTGATCGTTAAGAATTATGTCTATCACGCAAAATTTCGATCAATCTAATGTTATTAAAAAAGGGCTGAGAGCATGCATACATCCTCCAGCTGCTTTCAAGCAAAGATCGATCTCTGCTGATCGGGAAGGATACCCTCTTTGTCCAGTCAGTGAGTGTGTGTGTTGAAGCAATGAAATGAAGTGACTATTACCATGTGGAGGGATTTTGACATTTTAACAAGGGGAGTGAAACAGCGTCAGTGGGCTTCTGTAGAAGTCGAAAATAACATGAAGAAAGCAAGATGAAGTGTGGTGTGAAACCATTTTAAGTGGAAAAATGATGAGGTTTGCTGCAAACTCTGTGATGCCGTGTACAAGTACTACATGACAATGACTCCAATGATGTACCACTTGAACCACATACATCCGACTAATGTTAATGAATCCTCCAGTGCTCTCATCTCAACCTACCATTAGCTCCTTGCTAGCAAGGAGGAACTGTAGGAGGACCAGACGTCCCCAATCTCGGGGTAAAGTCCCTGTTAAGATGACCTGTCCCTGGCGAAAGTTGTCCCTGATTTTAGCATTTCATGAATGAAAAGAAAACAATTACGGGAGCCGAGCAGGTAGGAAGTGTGAGTTAGCATGTAGCACGCGGTGCTGAACAACAGTTGGTATTTAATGAGGAAAAACGTTTTTTTTCCTGTTAAATCAATAATTGATCGTTAATTTATATTTTCATTGATCAAAGGACTGGAACATTGTCTTTGGTAACTACTGTGTTAAGAACACAGTCTACTCTAAAACTTGCCTCCTGAGCTCAGTATATGCCTGAACTCTTTGCTTCATGACACTGTCCAGACTTTTGATGAAACTGTTGAGCTGCTTCATCTGCTGGGCCATCTTGTTGTAGTTTTCCAGAGCCTCTTTATACTGCCTGGATGTGACAAAGAGAGACACAAAGGTAAGAGGCAGAAAGATAGATATGTTACTGTTGTGAGGGGTCTCAGTGCTTTAGTTTGTCAATTGAAAAAAAAAGGGACAATAATATGGAAATGAACTAAGTGTTTGTCCTCACATGACATCAACACCACAGACTAAGAATGACATTCTCATCTGAGCCAGAAGCCAAAGTACCTTACAACCTCCTCTCTGTCACCCTGTTGTTCCTGCTGTGTTGTTATCTTCACTTTAAGACGGCTGATCTCACTGTCCAGACTTTTGGGTGTCCGCCGTATCTCCAGGCGCTCTGAACAGATTTCTGTGGCCTTGGCAATGGATGTCTGAGCATCAAAGAAACATCTCATCAGTTTCTGACTGAATGCAGCAGAAATTATAACCTACAGAGCCTACAATGCTGATTTACAGTATTCTAAATCTTCAACAGAGACAGAAATTAAAAAGCTAGTGTCGCTGTCTGACTATTACAACTCCTACTCAGTTTTGATAACCTGAGTTTGGTTCTCTGATGACAGGATTTCTCTGATCTCATCTTAAAACCAGATGTGAAAAACTCAAACTACACGTCAACTCATATGAAACATATCCAGAGTTTTAGGAAAAAAGACAAACAAAAAGAGGATTAATTGTTTACCAAGTGATTTAAAGAAACATACCTGGAGCTGCTCTTCCTTGCCTCGCAGAGTGGCCTCTAGTGTCTGTATGTTGTGGAGATGGGTACTGCGCTTATCATCATAATGTTTTTTGTGGTGCTTGCTCTTCATTACCTCCTGATCAGTCCTATTCAGCTCATCCTGTGAAACCAGACAATTTTTGATTAATGCAAAATTAACCTTACACTAAAGTTCTACGAGGATATTTATTCTGTAAAGTTACTGTATATTTGTTGCAGGAATATTTAGGCTCAAAGCCTAGAGTAGTTTTCTCAACTATAAGAGCAAAAACCCACTTTAGAATACAAAATTACCCAGTGGCCCACTAAACCCCCTTACCTTGGCCTCTGTTCCCTAAATGCCCCTTTTTTCTGTCTGCCCCCTGGGTGTGGGCCCAAATGACTTACTAATGTTGCTCTTCTCAGAGCAAATGAGCTTTGTTCACACAGGGATTGTTATGACAGCTCATTATTAAAACGATCAAAATTAGTCAGTGCTAATTGACATTTACACTGCAAGACACATGGAGAGTCTGATACAACAGTGGCATTTGAGGGTCCTTCATTCAGTAAATCTTAATACACCAAGGGCCTCTTGCTGATTTCCTGCAGCATCTTCACAGCCCATTTGGGGGCAGCAACCAATTTGTGAATCACCTGCCTATAACATTGATCCGTGTTCACTTAAAATGAACATGAAGGTTTATGTCAGGTTTTTGCTGTTGTGAATTGTTTGATTAAAATATACCAAGACAGAGTGTATTCATCTAAAACTTTCTTAAATCCTGACCTGAAGACATCTGTACCCTAAGGGGTTTGTTTACACTTTTTACCTTTATCAAGTCAGCCTCCTCAGCGACTGTGTTGATCTGCTCTTTGTGTTGCTTGTACTCCTGCTCTGCTATCTCATAGGAGGCCTTAAACTCAGCCATCTGAGCCCGTGCCTTATCATATTCAGCGCACTTTGATGAGATCTTAGAAACAATCTCCTCAAGGTCCTCCTCCTGTAGGATCAAATAAAGTACAAAGATTGTAAAAATAACACAGATGTCTCCGGACTAGAGACATGAGGTTGCTGTATTACATCCATGTGTTCTGTACAAACCAGAGGTCTGAGGTCTTCTGACTGAGGTTCTTCCACATTTTTTAGGTCTGTTAGCTCCAGTTGTAGCTTTGTGGCCTTGTCCTAGAACAAAAGTGCATCCTTCATGATCAAATCCACAATGACAGAGAACAAAAACACCACAAACTTGATTAGGAAATATCTTATTCATTTAGTTTTATTCATTTATTAGAAAATTAAAAATTAAAATTTGTTGACCTGTTTTTAAAATAGTTTTGGAAAAATTTGTAAATGGTTAATACAAAAAGTGAAAACTTTTGACTTCAAATATGAGGTAACATAAAGTTTTGTTTACAGAAAGAATAAAAAACTACACCTTTGAAAAACCCATGTGTTTTCATTCTACTGATTTCATTAAACTTTTGGTTATACAGAGATCAATGTTAAACATAAAGCTAAAATTAACGACTAGCAGGCCTGACTGTAATCACATTAAATTAATTTAACATAGTCCATAATTACTTATATCCTAATCCTGTAAACTGAATTCAAATCATTTCATCATTACTTGCTCTGCAACCACAACTCTGTATGAGCTGTTGTTGTTGTTTTAATGTTGCTGCTGTCCCTTGTCTCTCTCTCTCTCTCTCTCTCTCTCACCCTCGTTCTCTCTCTCTCTCTCTCTCTCTCTCTCTCTCTCTCTCTCTCTCTCTCTCTCTCTCTCTCTCTCTCTCTCTCTCTCTCTCTCTCACCCTCTCTCTCTCTCTCTCTCTCTCTCTCTCTCTCACCCTCGTTCTCTCTCTCCCTCCCTCTCCCTTGCTTGTTCTCTCTCTCTCCTTCCTTCTCCCTTGTTCTCTTTCTCTTCCCCTGCCTATCTCTCTGTATTTCTTCTTAACACAGCAGCGGCTTGGTGGCTGTCTAGCATGAGTCTGGTCCTACCCAAGGTTTCTGCATGTTAAAAGGAAGTTTTTTCTTGTCACTGACACTCATGTTAGATGAGATGGGTAAAATCTGTCCCATCTTAAGGTTGGGTCTTGATAAAACATCAAACAATGAGAGTAGTCTAGACCGGCTCTTTTTCTTTGGAAAGTGTCTTGGGATAACGTCTGTTGTGAATTGGCGCTATATAAATAAAATTTGATTGATTGATTGATTGATTGCATGTCCTCTTATAAGAGGTGAAATTCTTACTTTGGTAGTCCTCTGCTCTACAAAAGTCCTTTTCAGTAGTGACTCATTCTGTCTGACTTCTTCATCCAACTTTCTCATCTGTTGCTCGAAGCGTTTTGCCTGTCCGTTCTGGTTTTCAGCCTCCCTCTGCAAATGCCTGTCAGAGAGAAAGATAGGAAACATGAAGGAAAAAGACATTGAAGGAGACAAAGATGATTCATTAATCAAGGCTGCAGCTTACAATTACAGTCAGTTTCCTTTTTAAATTTGTAGATTCTCATTAGTGTAAATACACCAATCAGTTCTCTTCCTAAGTCTAGTGATAATTATGATGGGAGTTGTCATTTTAACTTTGTCTGTGCACTCTCACTGACTGCTTTTTTAGGTTAAAGGTCTCACACTCACCTGATCTCCTCCTCCACATCCCCGGACAGGTAGTTTGCTCTAGTCTGCTCAGCAGTGTAACTGCGGTTTGCGAAAATCTGATCTCCATCCTTGGAAAAGGCCTGGGTGCAGTTTTGAGGAGGGTTTTTGCCCTGCATCACCCTCCTAGCCTCTGTGCGATTCTAAACATACATACAGACGCAACAAAGACCAAATAGGAGGCATGAGTTGTGTAAGCACACCATAGCATACTGTTGAAAAGTTGCACCCAAATTTCACAAGAGAGCTACACAAGGGCATGAGTGTTTTTTTGTTCAATAATTATGTATCTTTATTGTAGTACTTTAAATAGAATTATGTACAAAAGCTACCTCCGAGCTGTCCTTTCGGAGAGCTTACAGCAGATTCAAACAAGCAGTGTCATGTCTTGTGTGGTACTGATTTTTACCTTGATGAGGAGAATACTCTCTATGCTCCTCTGATCAATCAGACAATTGGCCACAACTGGATCCTCAATTTCAAGAGCTTGGAGCATGGAAGGGTATTCAGGGTGATTCACGGCCCTGACACACAAACAAGAAGAACCAAGACCACTCCTTGTTAGAAGAAATTTTGATCCAAGTATGCATGTCTGTTGTATTGACAGACTTTTTGTTTACTCAGCTCTCAATGACTAAATGCAAAAGTAAGTATGGTGAAATAAGTTGTGCAATTGAAAATCTAGAAAAATGGAGAAGTTCTACAGGTGGAAAACTAAATGGTGTACCAGCACACCATTATTCTAGAATAGCTTTCTTAGGTCTGGAGGATCACATTTCATTTTAAATCAGTGGTCTGAGTCAGGAGTACATTGTCTGGGGGATTTCATGGATATGTCTGGATTATGCGACAGTGTCCACCTGCTCAAAAATTTTGGATGCAAACTACAGAAATCCTTAAATCCAAATTACTTATTTTGACAATTACCTGTTCTTCTAAAATTATGCTTTTGAATGATGACTCTGGGCAGAATCTTACCCAAACTCAAAGACTGCTGTGGCTTTAAACATGTATTGCTGCCTTAAAAATGCCAGCAGTAAGATGGGAGCCCCCTCACCACTTCAGAAAATAGGACACAGGCCTTTGACTCTGACAGATCTGTACTGTGGTCCTCTACATTGTGGTATTTATCTTTTATACTCTCCTACTATTATTATTTTTGTCAATCAAAGCTGCCTCTATACATTCCTTTTCTTATTAATATTATTTAGATGTACTTTAGATTATTTTATGTGTATTCAAAATACAAGACTCAGGTGGGAGGGGAGAGGGCGGGAGAAGGATGGGGTTATAAAACTTCCAGGTTTGCAGGGTCTGTGCTGTCATACTTAGCGTTATTCTATTTTAATTTATTTAATGTGACAAAGAAATGGATGTATGATTTGCTGCTAAATGAATTTTCTTTGAACCATACTTGTTAAAATAAATAAAAAGTAGGTCCAAAAACCAAAAAAGTTTTTATGTCAGTATAGATCTGAAACAGTAAACTCAAAAAACTGCAAAAAGCATCCCCGCAGCATTATCAATACCTGAATGTTCAGCTTTGTGTCAGTTTGCCAAACTGACCAATGCCATGGATCTCTTAATGTTCAAAGGCCTTGGTCATAAAATCATAGATGAACCACCAACACTACAAATCATCTTGTAACAACATAGTGTTCATATGAAGACTGGGTATGACTTCACCTCTTTCTTGTATCATGGACTTGTGGGAGGAAAGTGCTGGTGATAATAGCAGGTCTACGAGCAGCTGTGAACACTTTTGCCATGAGGCCTTGCAGTACCCTCTCATCCTCATAGTTATCACAGGTGAAAGCCTGCAGCAGGCCTTTGAGACATACTTCTACAGCCAGGGCCAGCTCAGGGTCCTTTAGGCTGATAAGATAACCTGTGAAAGGGAAGAAAAAAATCATTTCAAGTGAATTTTGATCATGGATGACTCTTGGCGGGAAAGATAGATTAATGATGATTAAATCCTGTTATGACAGACTAGCAATGGACAAAACAAATGGACACCTAGACTTACCCAGAGGTCCTCGGGGTCTCTGCTTGAACTTGCCCCTTTTGTGAGCTTCCTGGATAGCACTGAGAAGTGCAGGCATGCAATCTCCAAAACGACGCAGGCGATTGGACCTACTGCTCTCCAGAGTCTGCAGATTCCTTTTGTTGGCATCAATAGACCTCCGGAGCACTTCATGCTCTTTCCTGAAGATAAAATGAAGTGAAAATTTTCACTCGATATTAGCTTAGGTTTTATGGTACGGCCCAGCAACTAAAATGAAGACACTCTTCTTTTTTACAATGAGAATTTCCTACTACCCCTGAAAAGTTTTAAAGAGATTACACTGAACTCAAAGACAAGAGAATCATTTTTCTTCTACACTAAACAGAACAGTAGAACTCAGACAAAGCTTCCCAGAATTGAATGGTTTGAGAAGGATTTTCTAGTGGCCAAAACCCCTCACACTTTTACCCAGCTCAACATGAAGACATAAACCAACTCTGTTGTCATGTATCCATGATCAATCCCTCTTCAACACCAAGGTCTGCATTTCCCTACCTCATCCTTCCTTGTTCTTCCCTGGCACGACTGCAGGCGTTTTGATACTGGTCTATCTGCTGACTCAGTGTGGAGATTTGATGACTCAGGCTCTCCAGCTCAACCTGGATCTTCTCCATGCGCTCTGTCCTGGCCTGGCTCTCTGCTCCTGTTGTCTGACTGATGCTACAAGGGTGAACAAAAAGTGTGTGAGGAATACTCAAACAAACATGTATTTAAAGATAAGACATTATATCAAGATGAGGTTGTACTTGAGCTTGAGATCATTCAGTCGAGAAGACAGCTGGACTTTGTCCTTCTCCAGGTCTCTAAGGTTAGCCTTGCATCGGTGAGCAGTTACCTAGCTTACCAAATGAAAATCAAAAACACTGGTCAGATGTGGATGAGTCACATTTATAGCAGTAGATAAAGCAGGGTCTGTTTTAAACAGAAAGTTAAAAAAAAACTGAGTCCAGCCCTAAACTCTTGGTTGCTTTACACTCAGTGTTAAAAAAATGTACAATGACAGTTCAAGGCCAGCATGAACAGAGCGCCAAAACTATAAAGCCCTGTGTCTATGGGCAACAAAAATAGGTCCACCTGCTTTACCCCTGTCTAATAAGAAATTCTCATGCCCACATACAGAATATTTCCATATTAATGAAAATAATAAATTAATAATGCTGCTACAGCAAAAGAGAGAGACGCAACGAGAGAGAAATTTGTTTCATGAGTAAGTTTGAAGGGAGTGTAATTATCTTATACTCAGTCCCACTTTAGTATGAGGCTATAGGTGAAATGTGGCGGAATGGTATTCAACCCTAAGTTTTATTCCTTGTTGAATGCAATATTAACTAAAGTGAACTTGAAAATGAGGATGAAATACCGAAAATAAACCGAAAATGAAACAGAGTCTGCTTGGTTGTAAGAGCATGTCCACGAAGGGGAATGATTAGGGCTTTATCATTAGATACACAAAAGAATGTACGGATAAATACTAATGCTCTAACATGTACTTTTTGAAAATGATAGAAACACTCAGCCGGGGTTTAAAAATCCACTCCCCATGAAATGCCCTTTATCTAGAGACTCCTTAATAAAATACTGAGTAATATTGAATGACCTCCCTTTGTGAAACAGAAAACTTAGAGCTTCCCTCCCTCACTTCATGGTTAACACATTCAGAGTTTGCACTTACCTTTCTTTCTGAATCCAGATGTCATAACTTGCACCTTCAATTTAAAGCATTAAGCTGAGCTGTAATTACTACTACCACTACAACTAGTATAATATTAGTACAAATAATTACCTCTCAAACATTGAATACGCCTGGTAAACCCTCTTCAAAAACCATAAATAACTATTTGTCACGGATACCTGATAATCCTGAGTGAGGTAACTTGGCTAAAAAGATGGACATATCTCTTCATCAAACCAAAAAAAAAAGACATTTCACACAAGTGACTGAATGGAGTATTTCTGCACTACAGTCTGAATAAAGTATAGTATGACTCTGACCTCACTGGACTTCAAACAGGTGTTTTGCTTTTGAACCTCAGCCTTCAGCTCAGCACTTTTGGGCTGCAGTTCCTGGATTTTCTGGGTTATTCCTTCCAACCGATCCTGGATCTGCTTGTGCTTCTCTTCAGCCTCTGCGACCTTTTTCTGTATTATTTTATAAAAACAGATCAAAGAAGTGCAGAAGTTACAGGGGACTGTCAACATGGACGCATACAAAGTTGTAGTGTGAGCAAACACAGTTTTTAAACAGAATGACAAAGGAAATTTAATCAAATAACCCTACAGAGAATATTTTCTTTATATTTCATGGTGAACATTTCCAAAGTATCTTACCTTCCATTCATCCACCTTCTGGTTATATTTCTCTGTATCACGTCTATCTACCTGCAGCTTATCTTTCAAGGGCTCTGACTCCTTCTCCAACTCAGCCACCTGCAGTTTTTAAGTCAAGGTCAACATTTATGATGTACATGAATCTTAGTCTCTAAGGCATTACTCCGGTTTCATCAGGACATGACAGCATAGGTAAAGTTGAAGAAAATTGAGTGAATAAATTAAATGTTCTCACCAAAGCCCACGCCATTTGCTTTTGCAACTCCTCCAGCTTGGTTTGCATTTCATCCAGCGATGCCAGGCTCTTGTAGCATTCTTCTTTCTCCAGGTACTTTCTCTTTAAGTCTTTCAAGCACTGGAATGATATGGGGTATATCATCAAGGAGGGACTCTAAACAAAGCTCCATAAAGCTGTGCAGAGATGTAAACTGGGTCCTTGTCTTGGTACAGTAAAGGGCTAACCATTTAACAATTTTTGTCAACTACAGGTTAAAGTTGTCTTAATATATACATGAGGGAATTCTTACTTCACTGTGCTGCTCAACTTTTTCCTCAGTGACATTCTTGGTGGTTTTGATGTAGATAAAGTCCTCTCTCATCTGCTCCAGCTGGGTAGCTTTCATAAAAAACTGCATTAAAATTTACAGAGAAAAGTGTGGTTATTCACCCCTGCAAAAGGATAAACAAAACAAAACCCAACACAATAAAAATTTTAAGATGTTACTCTTCAAAATGGATTTATAAATATGGAATATCTTAATGCAGTCACATAGTAACCTTGTATTTATCGCCCTCTCCTTTGGAGTGCAGGAAGTATTTGCTCATCTCTTGAGTGAGAACTGACACAGGATTGTTAACCTTGAAAAAAGTCAAAAAGTAATGAAGTCAATAATAACGCCTCTTTGCATAGTGACAAAGTTTGTTGATCATTCTACAAGAAAAAACTTAGCATCGCTAATACCTGAATGTTAAAGTTGTCCAGGATAGACAACAGCTCCTCCTTTTTGTTCGAGATTATCTGACCTGTAAGAGGAAAAACACAGAGTTATGAATTCCTGATATATTTAGAGAATTGTTCAAGGAACAACAGAAATAAGTCATTGCAATTATGTTACTGGCATATTACTCCTTTTTTCAATCTCGTCACTGAACGTTTTACTTATTTTGGTCTGTGCTCATTTTGCTTTTAAGGGTGTTTGGAAGTGTTAAAGAGTCCTGAACCATAAAAATTAGGTTGTTTTTTTCCCCTAATGAGGATTGTAGCTGTAGTATCTTATCAAAATTTAACCTGGAAGGTGAAAAAATACGCAAAACAAAAACAATAATAAAAGACAACTTAATCCACGTTTCTTTGTGGTCTTTACCTGACTTGGCTCTCAGTTTATATGTTCTTAATCCCTCTCGGGTTATTCTCTGGTCAACAATGATGGCTGAACCATATACCTCAGATTTGTATGCATCTCTTCCTTTGTTACGTAGGGTGATCGACACCTCTGCCGAGCTGAGTAAACAGACAAACACAGTTAGTTATCTTTATACAAGACAGTCACTGAAATCCTAAGTTTGAAGTACTTGTACACAGAAAAACATCTTGGTTAAAGATCTGTCTACAGAGAAGGTTAAATGCAATTTTTTCCAAATGACAGGCAGTTAAAAGAAAGCATCTTGTCTCAGACAAAATAGAAAACACAAGATCAAAACATGATGTAGTACAAAGCGTACCTTTCTCCTTGCTTCACAAAACCCTTTAGGGACAAGCCTCTATTTGTTGCATGCGCATTCCCGCCTAAGGCAACTATGAGAGCTGTCAGAATGGCACTTTTTCCACCTGTCACATAGAAAAGGTTAGAAGGGGAAAATATTTAGACAAAATAAACACAATTAACTAGGAGGATCAGTCAGAATTAATGTGATAGCACATATAGTAAATTGAACATAATAACAAAATACCTTTAAATCTACATCACAAGATATGAGATACTAATCATCTTGATTAAAAAAAATGGACATAATCCGCATGATGGCAACAGTTCACAAACACATACCATCAGCAAAGGAATACAGATACAAAAGCAGATCACACAGTAGGGCTGAACAATTTTGGGAAAAGATTGAATTGCGATTTTTCTGGCAGAAATTGCGATTTCAATTCGATTCACAATTTTCTTCAAATCAAGCTGCAGTGCAACATTCACAATGTGTATAGAAACATTTATAAATCAAAACATAAAAGGCTATTACTTTAATGCAGGAATAAAAACTAAAAGGTAAGAATTGTGGATGGGAAGCCAATCTTTACATTTAAACAAATTGAAGTCATCCCTAAAGGCGATGTGCTCAAGACACTACCCACACCACAAAGACATGGTGGTTCAACCAGAAGAGAGCAAAAATTCATAGTCCCCTGCAGCATTGATGATTCACAGCTTGGTGAATTGCAGCTGATTATGTTCTAAAGGTGCTCATGTGGTGCTATAGGCCTTGTTATAGAGAAGTGGGTTTTGAGCTTTAAAATCTTTCAATAAATGTTAAATAAGTAATTTTGTATTGAATTTGTCTAACTTTTATATAGCATTACTATTTGTAAGATAAAAATTATGTGTTTTACTTCAATAATTCATGGCCCCATTTACCCCGCACTGGGGGAAAGTTGTGCCAGAAGATCACTTATTTTTCTAAAGCTATATTTCTCAAACTGTTCTCAAACTATTCAAGATCCAAAGTGATTGTTCCCAGGGTTGCACCACATTTTAGTTGGAGATATTACTGTCCTCCCCTTGCTTTAAATCTGCTCAGTAAAAACTGGCACCACTCCCCTATTGTGTTATGGCAATCGTTATCTCCCAGTGTCTCCAGCTGCTCTCATCATACGGGCTTACACTGGAAAAGATGTTGTAATTGTCGTCTGTTTGCTCATGTTTACTAGACTTTTCACCGGACTTTTTCGCCACGCACTCCTCATGCAAGTGCCTGTGGGGTTTTTTCAAGAGCTGGTATAAGTTGATTGTGTTTCTGCTCAATGTAGCAACTTTCGCGCAACAGGTTTCTGAAGCCATTTTAAAAACAGGTTCATGTTTCAAACACAGAGAGCAGGTAAATACTGATTGGTTAATGTAACCTGTCCATAAGTAGCATATGCCGCTTCTGACTGGCGAGTTTGGCAGGACGGTGGGGAGACAGCATGTACACTACAGGCCAAAAGTTTGAAAGCAAGATCAGATTTGTACAAAAAAAGATCATAGTTTCATATATATAATTTGCAACACAATAAACATGACTATTGTGTAAAGAGTAACTTATCAGAAGACATTTTGACTATAATTATTAGGTATTTGAGTTATTGTTGCTTAGACTTTGCTTTCTTTAAAGTAACCTCCTCTGGCTTTAACAACAGCTTGGCATATACCAGGCATTCGTTCCAGTTTTTTAAGGTATGTTCCAGGGATTGCATTCCAAGCTTTCTAAAGTTCATTAAAAAGAGACTGCTTACTCAGGGGACGCGTTTTTCTGACTGATAGATCCAATTCATCCCGCACAAGCTCAACTGGAGAAAGGTCTGGAGACTGAGGGGGCCAAACCATCTTTTGAAGAACACCTTCCCCTTCTTTTTTGTCTAGGTAACACTGACAGAGCTTGGCAGAGTGCTAAGGGTCATTGTCTTGCTGCAAAACAAACTTATGAGCCACAAGTCTGAGTCCAGATGGAACAGCATGGTGCTGGAGGATGGAGTGGTACTGCTCCCTCTTCATATTACCCTTTACTTCAAACAAATCTCCTACTCCATTACCTGCAAAACATCCCCATACCATGGAACTACCACCTCCATGCTTAATTGTGGGTGTAACACATGGTGCTTTCAGACGTTCACCAGTTTGTCTGCGGACATTGACTCTGAATTTTGAACCAAACAGTTTCTAAAACTTGTTTCTCCTCATCAAAAGTCCAATTTTTGTGAGCTTTTGCCCACTCATATCTCTTTTTCTTGTTCTCTTTTGTGTGTTTTTGCAGATACACAACCCTTCAGACCAGCCTTTCTCAAACATCATTTCACGGTTGTCAGAGATACGGGTTTCGACCTTGTCATGTTGATTTCCTCCCTTATTTGTGGTGCTGTCTTTCGCTGATCTCTCTTACTGGTAACAATGCTATGTTTATCCTCTGCTTTTGGAGTAACTCTGTTTCGTCCAGGTCTTTTTGTATCATCATAACTTCCAGGTTCCTCTAGTCTCTTCAGAGTGTAGTGGACTCCTTTGTTAAACACCTTTAGGCGTTTTGCAATTTCTCTTTTTGTGTATCCTTCTTTCCTCAATGTACAAATCTGTAGTTTTGTTTCTTTACTCAGTTGCTTCTTTCTAGCCATTTTTGCTGTAGTTTCAATGCAGTTGAGATTTATAAGGATTTTTGTATGCAGACTCTCAAAAGCCAAAAAGTTGAAGTGAATAATCCAACTGTGATTTGTTTTTTTCCTTTTGCACTGAAGTTGTGACTCATGCAAATGTTTTCAACCCTAAAACTAAGCCCTTACTAGCTTTTGCTGACATATATTTAGCAATGGTCTGTTAACATCAATGTATATCTAAAGGTAAATGGAGTAAAATGGTGCATTTCCATGAAAGCAACATCTGATCATGGAGTAAATACATCCCAAAATACATAAAACTCATGCTGGATTTAAAAAAAAAGCATTGTGAACAAAAAGTTAAAGTTACTCCCAACTGTTCAGCCTGTAATGGCCTTGCTTCCAAACTTTTGGCCTGTAGTGTATGTAAAACAGTTGGCACACAACAGATCCTGAGTGAGTCAGGAGCACAGCAAAACAGACAAAAAAAAACAAACAAACAAAAAACAGCTGTGGTGATCACATGATCACGCTGTCTGAAATCGCAATTTCGATCAGAAAACTATAAACTGTTCAGCCCTATCACACAGCGTTACAGAAGAATAAAAGTCTCACAGGAATTCACAATACGTGACTCTTGCCAATACCTGACTTGTTGAGGTTTGTTAGTGGCATGCATAACCTGTCGCACAATTAATGAATCATCACATTGGCAGTATATTTTAGCAGTACATTTCTGCAAAAGTTTTGATATCTGCTGATACTAGTAATCAACTTGTTAATCTTTCTTAAGAAGCAACCTCACAGTTTGAGCACTGATACTTACTTCCATTGTTGCCCACCACAAAGTTGACATTGGAACCAAAGGCAAATGGTCCGAGGTTTGAGTGGCACATGAAGTTTTTTAAAGTGATGCTTTCCACAATCCCTGCATCACTCACAACCTCACCAGCTCCTAACATCTAAACACAGGTTATTGATATTATTTCTTGCATGAAACTGATGAGATTTACTTGTAGTAACATACCTGGTTAGTCACTCTTTCAAATAATCTCAGGTCATCACAAATCAGAGCCACAAGAAGTAAAAACTGACTACTGCGAATCACTTTTCACTTCTCGATTATTTCGATTTTTACAAAGCAGAAACCTGTTTGCTCAGAAGATCATCTTCCTCATCACTTTCACCAGCGTTTGCATCCTCCATCTCTTCATCATCTTCTTCAGATCTCACCCGCTTTTGGGGTTTGTCACTGACAGAGCTGCTTTTCCTCTTGGACATCTTTCGCACCTTCAACTTCTTCAGCAGAGAAAAGAAACTGAAAGGAAACACACAAGAATCGTGTCGGGGTTCAACTCCAGTTTTAAACAGATACACGTTCATAAATGCTAATAGTCTTTCAGGCTTTCTGGACTTTGTTAAATTTGTTCACGCTGTGCCGAAGATAAATTAAAACACTATTATGACCAAGTTACAACAGGCTAGCCCAAGTATCTCTTTTAGCTAACTTACGCTACATGCTAAACAGACATTAAAGGACTGCTTAGCCGGACGACAACTGGGTGTAATGCGAAGGTTTTGGTCTCCGTAAATCCAAGAACTGATTCTAAAGCTTAAAGCCTGACTACTCACCTTCAGTAGAAACAAACAAACGTTCAGTTCAGTTAAAGGGGACACTGCCAGACCACCCATCTAATTCGCGCCCTGTTGTCCGCTGAAATCTCGCGTGGATATGCGAGATTGTGGCGTAGCCCACTTAAAAGTGTCACATAAAGCTTTTTTTCCACAATAAACTTGAACAAAAACCCATGTTTATATGAAATAAATGATGGAGCTTAAGACTTTTGAACATTTCACTTATATTTGCTGGTTTTACACAGTAAAGTAAGCCTTAATACATACTTTAATGTGCAACAAACTGCCAAAAGCCTATTAAGCGTTTGTTAAGTGTAAAGCTCAATATGTATAAATATACAGATTTTTAATAGGAATAACAATGACTTCATTGATCCCCGAAAGATAAGTCAATTGTCTGTCATCTTATTTGTCATGTCTGTAAAAGTCATCTAATGGAAACTGCTGTCAGGCTAAGGACTTAAGAATTTATTCTATGTCTCACAAAAAGACTTGCACCTAAGTTACCAACCACACTGCCCAAGCCTGAGAGGTCATGTCCCACAACAATTGACCTTTACACTTAAATTTTCATAAATTATTTGATGCAAGATAGGAAACATTTATGGATTCACCATAAACTTGAGGTATAAATTGCTTAAGTTCAAGTAATGACAAAAAAAAAAAAAAATCTTTATTAGAGCACATACAGATCTTGAAAAAAGAAACTCTTAGAAACAATTAATTTCAAAAGACCATTTTGTTATACAGTCCTCTGAAAATACCAATGGTAAGGTTTCAAAACATTTACAGCACAGCATTGGCGCCTGGCAAGCCTCCCAAGGTCACAAACTGACTGAGTTTGAACTCAAAGTCAATGGGACATTCACTGGCAGGCCTGTAGTTTCCTCTCATTGCTGAGCTCAGGTAAGGAATAAGCGCACAGTTCTCTTCAAATACAGCCAGTTTCTTCTTGTACTTCCGGCGAGTGTAATCTGTGCTCTTGTGGTTGAAAGCTGCAAGAAATAGGGACACAATTTTTCCAACAAAAAGTAAATGTAAAATAAACAAAAACAAACACATGACAGTCATCAGGTTTTATTACCTTAACATGATAGTTTAGTTTGACCTGGGCACACAAGAAGAAAAAGGGAAATTCAACAATGACATTTTGCCAACCTTTAAGGTAGAAGGCCACATATTGAAGGGCTGATCTTTGTATACTGAGGAAAGGGTACTTTGGTTTGAGGCACCCAACAGCTGTCATGGCCTTAATGACTGCGACTGCCACACCCTAAAATACACAAAAGCCATACAGAGTTCATAAACCTTTGCACATAGAATACTGAAATAGCTGCACACAGTATTGTTTAAGATTATGGTGTTTTTTAAAGTGTGCTACAGTGACTGACCTGTTCCAGGTAGCCCAATGTGGGAAGGGAGGTTAAGGGTATGGGTTCACAAAGAGGGAGAACTTTACTGGGCAGCTTCTGGTCCCAATAGGCTTCTGGAGTCCTTGACAACAACATTAAATTTCACACATAAGTCCAATACAAATTATGTCAAAATAATGCTTGGCTCGCTTTATTAAAAGTAAAAGTAATACAAGCACTTTCAAATGCTGAAAAATATGCTTAAAAAAAAAAAAAAAAAGAAAAGCTCTGCACCTCAAAAACTTGTTCTGTTTCTGCTTTGTTTCAAAAAGGTAGATCAGTTCTCTGTATTCCACAGCATACTCCAGCTTGCCCCGAACTAGGGCTTCATATCTGCAGAAAAAAATATAAATAAAAAATATATTTTACATGTTCATTGGGTTGAGGGCAGACAGTGTTGACCTTTGACAGGGTAATCTTTTGCTGCTGACTTGGTTTTGGCTTTAGACATGTATCTTCAATGTGAGTTTTATATTTGTCAATCAGACCGTGAGTTGAAGATACTGTATATAAAGATGAAGATGTACCTTTGCTTTCCATCCAGATAAGTAACTGGGCAGAAGCCCTTCATTTCAACTTGCTGAGGGAACTTGCTCTTCACCTGGGCCTCTGTTAGTATTTGTGGCAGCAGTTCGGGCTGGGGGAGAGAGTGTGGGCAGCCAGGAGCTACAAACTGATGTGGACTGGCCAGGAATCGCTTTGGAGAAATTACAAGACATGTTATTTTTCAAAAAAAGGTAAATTTAATTCAGATGACCTTCAATGGTGTTTTATGATTTTTATCATCTATGTTCAATTGTACGAATCCACCAAACTGACCTCCAGATGGTCTTTGTCACACATCTTGTAATAGTGTTCTTTGTACTGAGCTGCATAAGTTAAGGCTGCAATGTCTGAGCAGTCCACCAGGTGTCGATGTAGGGCCAGGCAGACAGGGCAGTACTGGCCAAACTCTCCAAGACGACTCTGCAGCTCCTTGGGTGGCACGCAAAGTCTGTTGATGGAGGCGGCTTGATCTACAAAATTAAAAGGTATGGAGAGAATGAACTCAGAACTGTCTGGAACATAATTTGGAGTATGTAACTAATTGAGCAACTACTTTAACTACAAATTTTTACTTCAAACTATGGTTTTTGTTTGATCACTGCAGTTGCATTTATAAGTTTTGCAAACTGTTTTGAGGGGAAATTTGAAAGGCATTAAGATCGAATGCATCTGAGATTAAACATTTTAGTTGTTACAGATTTTAGTTATTATTTGCTGCCAAATGCTAGAAAAGCCCACAGAACTTACTGCTTTGTATCCTTTCCAAAAAGTTGTTGATACATCTCATGCTGATACTGATTTCCTTCAAAATACAGTCCCACATCCACCATTGGCTCTTTTCCCCATCCAGGAGGATCCAGTTCTGGTATTGTTGCTGGAAGTGTTGTCTCACAGGTTGCATCTCCTGCTTGTAACAGGAGTGACGAATATGGAGAATCTTGGAGCTGTCATGCATCAGATGAGGCCTGCAGAAGGAGAAGACAGCTCCTCAAATTACGGTTCCTGGGTATAAAAACATGTATTTACAGTTATTTTTATTGTATGTTCTCTGACTTATTTGGCTTCATCTTGTCCAGAAGGCCTCTTTTAAGCACTTCTACTGAGTCAAGCTCCAGCTCAACTGCAATCATAGGAATGATGCTCTTGGACCTCATCAACTCTGCTTGCTTTACCGTCTTTGGGAAGTCATCTAACACATACCTGACAAAACAAAGTACATTTCATCTTTGCATCAGGAATATACATAAAAGAAGTCATAAAGAAGTATGTTATCTTTGTCTCAAGACACTAAATCTACAGGCTGTATTTTCATGGTTAAAATTAGATTAAGTTTCTCTCATCTAACCCTCTGGAGCTGCATACTGAGCTCATGAGTGCCACCTCCAGACACTGAATGGCAAGCTCATCAGGCACAACATGTCCCAGAGCCAGATGCTTTTTCATCTGGCCGGCCAGATCAGTGTGCTCCTGGGTGTTCAGAACCATTCGGATGACGCTGCCAATGGACAGCCGGGCTAAGCCATATTTCTTGGCAAACATCTGTGCCACTGTTGAGATAAAGCAAAGTAAGGGAAATAATGGATAAAAGAAAAGAGGACATTTGAGAAAGTGTTGAATTAAAAATTTGTTTTTACCAGTGGTTTTCCCTGATTTGGGTGGTCCAAGAATAGCTATTTTTAGAGGGAGGGATTGGATAGGTTTTGGCTGCTTGAGGTATTTTAAAGGGTTCAACATGAATAGATTGTGATTTTCCTTAGTCGCAAAGAAGTAAATAAACTGATGGAATATGAGGGGATATGTCGTATTGAGTGGCCACTGCAAAGGCTGGATCAACCCTGGTTTTTTATATTGCTGCAGAGAAGGAAGAAGTGTTGGTTAAACAATGTTTTATAAAAAAAAGAACTTGCATAGAGAATTTGAAAGAGTAAATGGTAACATCCACAAATGAACCATGAGTATTTGTATTTGAACTAACTTTAAAACCTCTAAAAACACTGAAAATCCTGCCTAACATGTTGAAAGAAGACCATATCTTTATTCCTACCTCGACAGGGTCCCCAAGACCAAAAGCACTGTGGAGCTTGTAGGAGGACAGCAATAGCTTCTGTGCCAGGTTGTGAGAGATGGGTTGGCATTTTTGGAAGAGTGACTCCCTATTGGTCACCAAAGGTTGAATTTTCTGGAGCAGCTGGTACTGAACCATCCTTGTTTTGTGAGATACAGCAACTGACACTTTGGGTATGTTTTTTTCACTCAGGAGCCCCTGATGATGAAGGAATGCAAAAAAGAACATGTGTACATTCGTAGAATCCAATGCGTGCATAATCATCAAGTTGTTAATGTTGCTCAATTAATTCTCCTGACTGTCTCTGAGGTTTAATGATAATAAAAGAATTTAATGGGATGATTAAACCATTTATGCATGTCTAGCCAGGTAATCAGCTTGCTTTGTGTTTTTGTACCATCACAGTTATGAGGCCAGTTTCATCCATCACAAAACGCTCTTCTATCTCCATCTCCAGCCTTTCAGATGCTGCCACCTCAGTCTCTGCATTCCCCATGTCTTCATTATCTGCCTCTGAAGGAAACTCCGCCTCCAACATGGCCTCTATTTCATCCTCCATGTTACTCGAAGCTTCATCTTCATCATCTTCTTCATTGCTGTGATGTCTGGACTGAAGAGTTCATAAGAGGGTACGTTAAGAAGTGATGGGTAAATTGTGACTTGAAGTCATGGCAAGCTCACTTACCTTTGTTATTACTTCTGCCCTGAGCTCAGCTCTCCTGTGGGCAATCTGTTCCTCCTATGCCCCACAGAAAAAAATGTTTATATATGTATATATACTAACTTATATGTGTACTAACTTACTAACTTATATACTAACTTATATATGTTTATATATACTAACTTACTCGATTCTTTGCTCGTAGATCACAAAGAAAGTTCAGCTGACGGCGACAATCACGCCATTTCTCCAGGTATTTTGGCAACAGATGCTTTTGAACATCTGCAACATCCACTGCCAGGGTTACCACAACATCTGGTAAAAGTTGTCGCTGCAGCATATACTGCACCTCTTCAGGATTGTGAGGGAAACCCTCCAAAATGAAACCTGTAGACCTACAAGAGGAGTGTCAGGGAAGAGAATCAGGTGGGATCAGGTGAGAGCTTAAGTACATTGTGGTTATTTGTGTAAAAAAAAAAGGTATGTATTTTGAGAGATTGTGAAATGTTTTGTTATCAGTAATTTCAGTTAATTATTATATCTTTACTATTAAGGGAGAGACTAGTCCAGTCCCTGTACTAAGCTAGATTTGCTCATATAAGTAGCCTCATCCCTGATGCACTGATGTCAGACTTATGTCAATCATCTCATCTAAGCTTCTACATGACAGCATCATAAGCACATCTCCTATAATGACAACCATTTTCCCAAGAGTTAGAGAGAGGGGAGGGTAGCGTGCATTTAAAAAAAAAATCTTGGGTTCAATTACAAATATGGTTCCTGTTTCCAGAATGGTTCAATGATATTTTCCAGGATTTCTGGAGGCAGAGGCTCTCCGTCACAGAGGTAAGCTCTGATAGCCTCTTCCTCATCAGTTAGTGTCCACTCCTGCTGTACACAAACAAAAATAAATACTCAATAATACAGCACCAAAACATAAAAAACCACATCAATTTGAGGGGCAACAGTTTGAAATCGTTCCCGAGAAAATGTTATCTGAGCCTACCTCCATGTCATTTGCCCCGATATTATCCCCAGTTTCTGTCTCCTCTTCCCCCGCCTTGGCCTCCTTAATCAGTGCCTCCAAATCCTCAGGAGATTGCTCAGAGGAATTCTCCTCATCAGCATAAGGCACCCTTTTCTTTGTCTTGGCCATGATGAGCATTTGGAGTTGCTCCCTGAACTGTATATGGAAGATGCCGAGCTGCCTGGCCAGCCAATCACCATGGGTGGTCTTGCCTGATCCTCGAGGGCCAAGCAAAAGTATCCGTAGGGCAGGGGGCTTGGATAAGAAGAACAAAGGGGGATGTTCGGAATTTGTATTTCCCATACAGTGACTTTTTAAAATATCTTTTTGTGTCTGCTGATACCTTGAGAAGCTTAGTCTGTGCCACATACTCTGCCGGGTTCTGAAGGAAAGAATCTCTTGCTTCTGGACTAGAGAAGTAGAAGAATTTTTCACGGTACTTGGTTGTAATTTCATCTGTACAGGGCCACAAGGTGTTATGGTTTTTCAAGAGTACAGGGCAGAAATGCTGGGTGTCACCCAATAATCTCCAGGCTGAGGTGAGGCCCTGCTTTATAAGAAGGGTAGAGGTGCGATTACACATTTGTTTTAAGTTTTAACAAACAGTTTTAACTACACATTTTTAATCATAAATTAGATATAGGATTATAAACCTGCTATTTAGTTAAAGGGGGGGGGGGGGGCTTAGATTTAAAGCACTCTTTTTTACTGACTTCAATCTCCTCCTCCTCTTCTGCAGCAAAACTTTCACTGCTTTCTTCTGCAGTTCTCTCCAGCTCAGCTAAGGCATTCAAATCCTCTGCCTCTTCATCCTGATCGGCCTCTGACAGCTTCCAGGACTTATGTTGAAAAGGTTCTAGAAAGTGGCGGTAAACATTGCATTAGACGTTCTGTCTAATTCAAAACGGAAGGTCATTCATTAACATACTGGTGAAAAAAGGTTTGATGCGCGGTACTGATTGCGTCATATGTGCACTGCAGCACATGTCAACATGCTCAGGTGGGTGGGCCTGTTCATGACTCCTTGCAGTTTTGAAGTGTCTGTCTTTTTTTTATTTTTGTTGAAGTAGAAATGGTCATGAATGCAGTGGTTATTGTGCCATATTAATGGAAATTATCATAGTACCTTTGCTGTGAAATGACACAATTAATAAGATGCAACCTGAATTTTTATTCTGATAAAAGAAACAAAAAACAAAACTATAAGCTTTGTATAGAGGTAGCAAAAATTCTGGACAATGACAAACACTCACTCTCCATATCTAGAACCATCTCTTGAAGCAGGTCCTCTGGGCTTTTGTCCCTAATCTCCAATACTGAGTGGGCCACAGTTGAAGTGGACTTCATGTGCTCCCATGCAGTCTCAAACTCTTTCAATTGTAGTTTGTAATCATTCATCTCAGGGCCATCTGGATAACCCAGTTTCCAGTAATCAGGCAGGATCTCAGCTTTAGCAACACAAGGGTAAGGGAAGAAAATGATAAAGATAAGGACAGAGAGGAAACAACATTTTATAAGATCAGTGCTTTTGTTTAAGTTGTTGCTAGAGTCTGAATACTCATATGTAGTTTGACTCAAAATTTTAAAAATAACTTTTGTTTTGAGTATGTGAAGGTTGTAATTCTACTTCTTGAAAAGCTCACCTTCTTTTTCATTGATGTCAGAGAGTACAGGACTGGCAGTTTGAATTGGTCCAGGATTTTCTACAAAGGAAGTCAGTGTAACAAATAATGATGACTTATTTTTTTACTATCTGGGCACCACTATAAAAACAGCCTGTTTGGTTAGAAGGACTGACAGCACCTTCCATCTCTTCTGTGACTGTCTCAAGATTTGTTTGCTGTTCTTCAGCTTTGGCATCTTTATCTGATTCCTGCTCCTGCTGGTTTCTAAACAGATGGGAAAAAAATACACACCAATAAACAAAGTTTACTTTCTGAAATGAAGCTTGAAAGAATTATTGCACATTAACTCACATGGCTTTTTTCTCTTTCTCTGTTCGTTCGTCCTGCAGCCTTTTCCTGACAGCTTCATCCACTCCAGCCTTGTTCTTCTCATATAATCTCTTAAGAACTGATTAACACATTAAAATGAAACCATATAATGAACACTAGAAATATTTTCTAATTGCCACCTGTTTGTGATTTTTGATCAAATGTTTCTGTCTCGTACTCTGATTTCCATCGCTGTCCCTCAGACAAAAGAAGGTATCCGGCAGGAGTTCAGCCTGCTGTAAGTCATTCAGTTGGGAGAAGTTCTTGGGAAAGTTGTCTAGCACCCAGCCAGTTCTGAAGTCTGCATCAGTGTTGTCCTCCTCAATCTGTATTATCACCATAGATTTTAAGTTTTATATAAATAAATAAACAAGTATATATATAGACATGCACACAAATATGTAGACCATTTTAACTTACCTTTTTGATGTGATTCTCTAGTACTTCAGCATACAGGCCAGTGGGATTTGTGCTCATATGTTTGGCTTCTTCTACAGCACTGAACACCATGGCTTGTACATCAGGGTGATCTTCTGTCACTAAGAAAAGGAGAAAACATATACATGAATTAAAATTTCAGTTTGTTTGAGCTTCATGTATCTGTGTCAGTTTGTTTGGATGTATTTTTCTTTAATCAAGAAGTCATGAAAAGAGCAAAAATAAGATCTGAACATCTTACCTTCAACAGATCTGGTGTCAACTGATAAAAAACAACAACAACAAAAAAAAAAAAATTGTTCTAAGCTAAGCAGTGTAAGTCAAAAATTGTAAAAAAAAAAAAAAATGTTCCACGTGTTTCTGAATGTTATCACCACACTCAACCTACCAAAATTCTGTTCATCCTGTTGCACTCTCATCTTGATTTTCTCTATAGCAACCTTTGTCGTCTCCTCTCTGATTTTCCTGAGCCTATCCTGTTGAACCTTTTCCAGTGCTGGCTGCACCAACTCCTCCATATCAAGCACCTGCGCGTTGTAGTGTCTAGCAAGAAGTTTACACAGAGTGCTCTTCCCTGCCTGCGGAGGTCCAACAATGGACACTCTGCAAGGTGGTCTGGGCATTGGAGGGAGTAGGTACAGTCTTGGGTTTGTGGCAAACTTTTGGAAGGCCTCCTGAGATGAGAGGACGTACAGTTTGTCCTGGAAGCTGCAAAGAAATTGAAATCACATGGTTGGCATTTCTATCTAGTTTTATTTGTTACTGAATATATTCTACACTCTTCGGTGGCCTTGAAGGAATCACTCACCCTACACAGAATTCAGGTCTGCCAGGAATGACCTTGCCTTCCCTCAGAGCAACAGGGCAAGTCCGGCCCCAGCGGCTCCTTCTCCACCGGAAGCCTGGGGCCACTGCTCTGGAAGAAGACATAAGCCTTAGCAGATCCTCCTGAAAAAGAGATTTAAACATGAAGGCATTAAGGGTTAATTTAAAGTGGAGGGTATCCAGATCATCATTTGTTTTTGCATCACTTTACACCAGTTTAAAATTCTAGTTGAAATATGAATTTTTTAAACAGCAGACCGTTTCAATGTGGTCTGGTAATTCTTCTTCAGCATGGTGCAGGGGGACTGGAACTGAGACACGCTTTATTGCCATGGATCCAAGATGTGACATAACACACTGGAGACAAAGCAGTCAACAGACTTATATCATCAAACATGTATATTTAGACTCAAACACACCGTCTTAACACATTTAAACAAGCAGAGGACTAGAATTTTTCCAAAATAAAAACTGTATGGTCACAGATTCCTGTTGTTTGTTGTACTGTTTGTAATTCTGGAGCATATATATTTCCTGAAGGTTGTTTATTTATCTCAAGTGTTTATACTATAGGTATTTACGGAGTGCAACTCTTCGGGCATCAAGTTTCCATCCAGCTCCAACAGGTAGAGGGGATTATGGTTTGTCATGTAGCCCTAAAAAAAAATAAAAAATCAATAAAATTACAACAACTGACAAACAAGTGTGGTGGAAAAATGCCTTAATTTTAATGATAAAGGAACAGAACCTAAGAGTTGTTCATTAACTCACTACGTCTGCTTCTCTTTTTAACTATTGATGTAAACTTAATTTTTTCTCTGGTTGCAAAAGAAACATTTATTTATTTATATTTGAAACACAAAGCATGAGCAACTAAGTTGAACTGTACGATTTTAACTGAGGATAAAATAATGCTATCTCTACGTTTTTTTATCCTCACCTGAAATCATACAGTTTAGCTTATGTAGTAGTTGTTCTTTCTTTGTTTCAAAATTAAAAAAATAAATGTTTCTTTTGCAACAAAGAAAATTATGTTTACATCGATCTCAATGCAGGACATGCAAACAATACTGAAAATTCCTCTGCGCTTTGGTTTATAGAAAAAATATCCTTTTGTCCACAGCAAGCTTTCCAAATGTACCATGCAACTGCAATTAATAAATAAAAAAACTAAATTATGTTGTCCGAGAAATGAAATATGTTCTCACAGGACTAGCACAACTCAATGACATCATAGGTAAGAGCTCTCAGTTAGTCACCTCCAGTGGTCTAAGTATTGTGTCCTGGTACATCTTGATGCGACTGAAAACATTTTCTGGCAAATTCTCTGGTGTCCATATCATCTGGTCAGTAATATCCTTTCCGAGTTCCTCTCCCCCACCCTACATGCCCCGAAAAGTTTTGATAAGAATTAATGATTGGATAAAATATCTTAAAAAGAAGTTAAAAATAAAAAAACAAAACAAAACAGAAAAACAAAACAAAACAAACAAACAAAAACAAAACTTAATAATACAACATATGAAATGCATCAAATAACAGCATTCTCAGCAGACCATCATAGACATACTATGATATCAAAGTCAGTGACAACTGTTGTTCACCAGTAAGCTGTACCTGCTCCTCCTCCTCCTCCTCCTCCTCCTCCTCCTCTTCCTCATTGTTTTTCTCCATCTTCTTAGAGGAGATACCCTCATGCTTCCACTGGTCTCTGTAGTACAGCTGTCCTGTCTCTGGGTGCTGCTTGAGACCTGACAGCCTTTTAATGAGGTCTTTATCTGGACACTGGTGGAAAATGAAAGTGTTATATCCATTACTAAACCACCAAAGATTAAACAACTGTTAACAGTAAATGATATAAAATGCATACGCTTACAGAATTTATTCTGAAAGATGACTAAAACACTATGCATCACTGCTTTATACAAGTATAAATTTGAAGTAAATAGAGGTAACCTTGATATTGATGATGAAGTCAGGTGATAGTTTAAGGGTTTTGATCAGCTGAATCTGCTCAGGAATTGTCTTACACTCTTCTGACATGAACGGCAGGCAGCTCAGTACATACCCTGAATAAGAACACATGTACTGTAAACCAAGCCATGTTTTGAATTGTAAACTTTGCATCCATCTTACAGTGTTTTACTCAAGTTACCATAGTGCTCCACATCTGGTGAATTTAGCCTTGCAATAATAAGCTGGAGCACAAGGTCTTCTGGTAAACTTCTACCCCCAGATAAAATACTTAAGAGCTGGAATAGAAAAATAAAATAAATTGAATTAAAGAAAGAAAGAAAGAAAGAAAGAAAGAAAGAAAGAAAGAAAGGACGAAAGCAAGAAAGAAAGAAACTATGTGAAAACTACGTTGAAATGAACATTTTTGTCCTGCGGCACTGACATATGATACTTACTCCTGCCCCTTGCTCCTTTTTATTTTTGATGTGTGTATTGAGCAGATCTGTATCTGAAACAAAAGAAGCTGATGAGAAGGGATGGAATTATTTTGAAAATGAAAAGGTCAGTACTTAAGTTGGACTTACCATCAATAAGGATGCACTTCCAGGACTCTGCAAGTTTTTTTGCCAGGGTGGATTTGCCAACACCCTGCAGAAACAATGTGAAGTCAACCCTTCATTGTAGCCGGAACACTGAGAGCTCAGTGTGTGTGTGTGTATATATGTATGTATGTATGTATGTATGTATGTATGTATATATATATGTATATATATATATATATATATATATATATATATATATGTATGTATGTATGTATGTATGTATGTATGTATGTATGTATGTATGTATATATATATATATATATATATATATATATATATATATATATATATTATATATATATATATATATATATATGCAAGTTTATATATATATATATATGCAAAAATATATAAAAATACAAATACATACAAAAATACATATGAAAAAATATATAGCCGGAACACTGAGAGCTCAGTGTCTGTGTGTGTGTGTGTGTGTGTGTGTGTATAAATTTATATATAGTTTTAGTCCCTCTCTCTCTCTCTCTCTATATATATATATATATATATATATATATATATATATATATATATATATAAATAGATATATAGAGAGAGAGAGAGAGAGAGAGAGAGAGAGAGAGAGAGAGAGAGAGAGAGCACTTACCGGTTTCCCAACTACGATAAAACAAGTTGGTTTTGCGAGCAGACTCTCTTTCTCAACTTCATCTTCTAGCAGATTATCCACCAAACGGCCCTCTGAATGTGTTAAGGTGCATCCGACAGTTTAACACGAACAAAACCGAGAAATGCGTTATCAAACTGCAAGTTTCAACGTCTGAATGCTTGCTGATTTTAAACCTACTTACCCTGGCTTTGGGACATTTTATAAATCCTTAAACTTCTACTATCGTTTGTCTATTAGTGTTTACTATACTCCTTTTCCTTGCTTCTTGTATCAGCCACGGTTACCGTAGCAACAACAAACTCCAGGAAGGAACAGCTTTATACGTTACAGGCGATTTACAAATACCGTGGCTAGCTGCCGCTTTATTTCAAAAACCATATTTTGGTTAAGGGTATTATCTAAATGACGGCCAGTTGTTAGGAACATCATTTTTTAACCCAGAAAGATATAGAAACAAGGCAAAGACGAGCGTTCGGTCGTTTATTTTGAATTGCCTTTCTACTGTGGCTTTTTGACTCTGCAAGCCACCGTATCAGTTGACACGGGACCGCTAAAAGCAACATGACCGTCACATGACTAAAACAAATTCATGCTGTAGTTTATGCTAGCTGCAGGAAGTAGGAGGTCAAACCATTGTAAACAGTTATTCAAAACCGTTTACATTAGTTGTTTTAACTGGTAGACGAGATGTATGTCAACCATTGTGGTGGTTTGAGGCTTACGAGACCTGCTAGCTAAATCTGAAGTAGGTAATATTTATCAACTTGGCCAGGACCTGCTCAGTCGAAATAAACTACATTTAGTTTTCATAGGTGTGATCAGGTTAAACTTTTTGTACTGTGTGATTTTTGTGCATTGGTGTTTCATATTGTTTCATTTTCATTGCAGCTCTCCCCCCGGTGTGTTCCCTGGAGTCAGTGTTTGGAGAGGAATATTAAAGGGATAATCATGCCCCAGGCAGCAGCTCTCGTCAGTGGGATCCAGAGGATGGTTCTGTATGAAACTAGAGCTGTAAGTCTGTCATGAACTGCACTACAAAGAATTAAGAATAAGAAAACCTTTATTAATCCCCAAAGGGAAATTTAATTCAAAATTCAATATATTACTGTGTAACCCTGCCTTCAGATCCATTTGGTCGTAGCTTCAAGCATTTGCAACAGAGTGAATGAACATTTCATCTCCATCATGTGAAAATGCTCTCTGTGTTTTTATTTTTTTTTTTACACTTATGCAGATGAAGCCCAGGTTTTAGACAAGAGAAAGCCAACAGCAAAGGTCTTTATCCTCAGCAGCATCGTATTCAAACAGATCTATTTTGCTCCAGTTTGTGATGACATAAATGTGCACAAACTAGGATGTGCACAACACAACCGTTGTCTGTAATGTTGGTGCCTTCATAATGACAGTGGAGCACAAATATTATAAATTACAAACAGTACTCCGAAAAAAAAAACGTCGTGCGAATCTGCTTCATGTTGACTATATTTTCATTCGAGAACTGCTTGATTTTGCTGCCTTTTAAGCAATAGATTTCCTTATTGCACTGATTAAAACACAGATAATTTACTATTTCAAGTGACAAGATAAAGTCATTTACGTAAGTTAGGAGAAGAATAGAGCACTTTTGTAAGATTGTGATTTCTCATTACTAAACACTAGATGGCAGCAAGAGAACTTTAGTGATGGTTTCATCCTCAAATCAAGCCCTTTCCACTTTATTATTATCTTATGAATCCACTTAAGCCAGTTGCAGTGAAATGAATGGTGCGGATATGACACATATTGCTGGACCAAACAAGCTGCATATATATAATTGTCTATACTCAATATGTGTGGGATTTTTTGTTTGTTTTTTTCATGCTTTGATTATTTAATAATGTGTTCTAAACTGACACATTTTTTTGTGTAGCTTTCCATACTGTTCTCTTGCTTGTCTAATATTATGTGGAGCCAGTGTATTTTAGATTATTTTCCATGTCTTTGATAACCCTTGTAAGAATTATGCCATCATCAACAGTCACACAGATCAAGATGGCATGTTAGGGAAACTTGTGTCACACTTAAGTTATTGTTCTTTCTACTTATTCTTACTTCCTTCAACCCAATGTACTGATCAGTGGATAAAGTGACTGCTGAAATACGAAGAAGACACCATGAATACTTAAAAGTGTGGAACAGGACAATTTTTTTCTCTCTAATGGTTGCTGACTGTACCGATACATGGTGTTCCAGTTTAATGTTCTGTAGTGGACAGAAAATCTCCGGCCATTTCATGTGTGAGAGAAATAATGACTTTGGGAGGAAAAAAAAATCTTTTTTAGAAAGATGACAAGGCTTAAGATGGAACACATAAAAACGTAAGTCTTGTGATCAGAAATGTGATGTACCACATGACTCTGACCTCTAGGTACTTTAATTCAAGTATATCTCATAAAGCAGCTGTATGTGATAAGTACAGTATCTTTGTTGGATCAAGGAGTGCATCTCTTCTTAATTTCCTTGGTGGTTTATCACAAAAGGAAAAATATAGCACATTAAAGAAAGGGTTTCTCAAATAAAACTTAAACAAAGGAAATGTACTGTAAATCTGGCATCTAATAACAATTAATGCCTATGTGTAATTGAATATTAGAGAATATTCCGTTCAAGACATGTCATAGAAGAGCCATAAAATAAAATGCTAAAAAAAATAGAATAAAATGCAGTCACACAAAGGAAAGGATTATTAATGAGCAGCCTGCACATTTAGCAGAAGCAGCTATTTAGGCTACATTGCAAACACCATGCTGTAATCTTATATTCACTCCCCATGCTGTTTTTTCTTTCCAGAGGTATTTTTTGGTGGGGAGCAATCAGGCTCAGACCAAACACAGAGTCCTGAAGATTGACCGCACAGAACCCAAGGACCTGGTGATAATCGATGATAAGGCAAGTGTCGAGATCTGACCAGAGTTAGTGCAGTGCTTATGTGGCATATACTTATGTAATACAGTACAGTGCGCTTGGGGGGAAGTAGAACAATCACTCAGCCTGTCCCAAGTGTATAGTAGATGACAGCTTAGCTGATGAGTGTGGCTGAGCGCACCTCCCTTTCTTCTCCACTGCTCATTACTGGGATCTATGAGCTGGGACCTGATTTGTTTTTCCTGTTGTGGGTGATTATGACTATGATGTGTTTTTTTATTATAAGGCATCCATGATGAAAATTCATTACTCCACACTCTTGCTTTAGCAGATATTACATTCACCCTGGAAACTGTGTTTGTTTTCCTTTGATTAGCATAGTAGAGTGTTTTACAAATGGGGGGGGGGGGGGGGGGTGAATGCTTGAGACGGTGCTGAAAAGGTGAAAGTGAGCAGATTTGAAGTTGCAGAAGAAATGCAGCCTTTCCTCTCAGTTAATACATAAAGAACAGTATGGCTGTGAAGGCTGCTTCAAACCTCTTTATGTTCCAAAGATTTAATAAAGATTTTTCTGCTCAGCTGAAGGGGTCAAATAGCTGGTTATTCTCTGTCTGTGACTTATTGAATTTCACAGGATACATTTCAACCAACGGCAAAGTAATTTCCTATGTTATTACCACTGCAAGTATAATGTATTATTATATAGCTTTCCTGTTGCGCTCAATGAATAGAAATGTGAAATCTACAAGAGGGATAAGAAAGCTTCCTTTCCAGATAACCTGCATGAAGAGGCTGTTGGTTTCTGCATTCGTTTATATGTTTTTTGAAGATCCAGAGCATCATTCTCTGTATTGTAAGGTTAAAAAAAGTAGATGGTGACTATACTCATAAATAAATGACCACAAACATATATGTGAATGTTGTTTTTAGCATGTGTACAACCAGCAAGAGGTCAGAGAGTTACTTGGCCGTCTGGACCTGGGCAACCGCACTAAGATTGGCCAAAAAGGTTCCTCGGGCCTTTCCAGGGCTGTGTCGGCCTTTGGCATTGTTGGTAAGTACAGTCCCTCCAATGTTCCTCAGTGCCATGAAGCGGCAACTATCGTAGGGCACATATATGTTAGGAGTCCCCATCTCCACATCTCCCCATCGTCACAATCATATTCACATATGGTAGTACCTACCTTAAGCATTGTCCTCTTATCATATTGCTGTACCTTAGAGATGTCCTCTCATGGTTTTGCCTGTTAGAAAGAACCGTCAATCTTCATTCTGGTGAACCCTGTAGAAAGAATAGAGGAGGTACAGCTGATAATGTTCAGCCCCATAATGACCATCTGTTTTTTTTCAAGCAGGTGAAAGTAAGACACAAGACCCAGATTTTCTTTAAGATATAATTTTGGGCTTCTGTACCTTTTATTCAGAAAGTATAGGTCAATGGGTAGAACAGGAATTAGGTAGAGAGGTGAGTTACTTGCTGGAAAGAAGTAAAATTGAAAACTTGAAGACTGTAGCCTCTGTACTTGGTTACGTGACCTAACCAGTGGTTCCCCTGAAATATTCTTTTGTATCACTTATACACTGAAGTTTGCCGATTGCTAACAAAATAAGTTGCTCAGTAATAGTCGTTTATGATCAAGAGTAAGTAACAGATATTTCCCCCTAATATTTGTAATCAAATGATAAGACACCACAAAGGAAAGAGACTGACATGACTGTTATACAGTAACCCAGATTGGATGAAGCATTTTTTGTTGTTATTTCTCTATTATTAAGTATCGTTAATAAATTACCTGATAACTCGCAAATGACATATAAAAGCATTCATATTCAAGGTTGGACAGAGATTGAATGACAAGATTACAATTCCATTAAGCAGACGCTATTATCCAAAGCAATGCAAATATGAATCATGCACCAGTGGTTGACATACACTGAGAAGAAGAAGAAGAAGAAGAACTTTATTGATCCCCGAAGGGAAATTCAATTGTCTGTTGTCTCACGTAATATGTCTATAAAACTTATGTATTATTTACATAAGAGTTATAAAGCCTGATGGCTGTTGGTACAAATCTTTCTGTCCTGCAGCGAAGACAGAGGAGCTGTCCATCACCATTTGCCCTTTGGTCCATCAAGCTGTTGTGAAGTGGGTGATCCATGTTCTTGAGAATAGTCTCTACCTTCCTCAGTGTAGATCTCTCTACCACATCCTCCACTGAGTTCAGCTTGATCCTACCACAGAGCCAGCCTTTTTCACCAGTTTGTTAAGACGTCTTGCATCTTTGTGTTTGATGCTTCCTCTCCAGCAGACTGCAGCGTAGAACAGAACACTTGCCACCACAGATTGATAAAACATCTGCAGCGTCTTACTACAGACGTCTATTGATCGGAGTCTTCTCAGGCAAAAAAGGCGGCTCTGCCCCTTTCTGTAGATGTAGTGTATATTCTTAGACCAGTCCAACTTATTATCCATATGTAGACCTAGGTATTTATATGATGTCACCACTTCGATGTCCACTCTACAGGTGTTCACTGGCTGAAGAGAGGGTTTGGATCTACGGAAGTCTATGACCATCTCCTTTGTCTTTGAGGTGTTGATGAGGAGGCAGTTTTTGTGACTCCAGTCACTGAAGGCTCTTATTAGATCTCTGTATTCAGCTTCTTGTCCATTTCTGATACATGCCACAATGGCGGTGTCATCTGAGTATTTCTGGATGTGGCAGGACTCAGTACTGTATTTGAAGTCTGACGTGTACAGTGTGAACAGGAATATTGCCAGGACTGTCCCTTGTGGAGCCCCCGTACTGCTCATTAATGTCCCAGAAACACAGTTCTCCAGCCTGACAAACTGTGGCCTGTGATCCAGGAAACACAGGAAGGATCCACTCCCATCTCTGTGAGCTTGTCTTTTAGTATGGTGGGTTGGATGGTGTTGAATGCACTTGAAAAGTCGAAGAACATGATCCTCACATAAACCCCAGGTTCCTCCAGATGAGACAGGGCACAGTGAAGCATGTAGAGGACAGCATCATCCACTCCAATGTGTTCTTTGTATGCAAACTGCAGGGAATCCAGTTTGTCTTTGACCTTAGACCTCAGAAGGCATAGAATCTGCCGCTCCAGGGTTTTCATGCTGTGTGAAGTGAGGGCCACTGGTCTGTAGTCATTGAGTTCAGCAGGACATTTTGGTTTTGGTACTGGCACAATGCAGGATGTTTTCCACAGAGTAGGTACCCTCCCCAGCTGTAGACTCAGGTTGAAGATCCTGTGGAGAGGTTGACACAGTTCTGCAGCACAGTCTCTAAGCAGCCTTGGACACACACCATCTGGACCAGCTGCCTTCCCAGGACAAAGTCTTCCAAGCTCCATCCACACCCCTGTTTTGGTGACAGACAAGGACTGGTGTTCTAGGAGGGAGGTAGTTAAAGTGGTTGAGACATTTGAATGAGATGGAGGACGGGCAGAAGTTGTAGTGGAGATTTGTTGCGGAGATGAAGGTGGAGTAGTTGTGGAAGATGTCACGTTAGCAGTGTTAAATCTGTTGAAGAACAGGTTTAGTCCATCAGCTCTTTACAGATCACCCACCACTGGCTGTCTTTTCTTTTTATTGCTGTGTCCAGAGATGGTACTGATTCCTCGCCACACCTCACGGATGTTGCTGTGTTGTAGATTCTTCTCTATCTTCTTTTTGTATTCCAGCTTTGCCATCTTCAGTCTCCTCTTCAGCTCTTGTTGCACTTGTTTGAGTTGTTCTTTGTCACCATCTTTAAAAGCTTTCTTTTTCTGGTTAAGGATTGCTTTTATGTCACTTGTGATCCAGGGTTTGTTGTTAGGGAAACAGCGAACAGTCTTTGTCAGTATAACTGTGTCTCTACAGAAATTGACATATTCAGTAAAACAGTCAACCTTTTTGTCAATGTTCACATCTGTTTCCAGCAGCACATTCCAGTCAGTTGATTTAAAACAGTCCCTTAGAGCTTCACTGGCTTGAGGTGTCCATCTTCTAATTTTTACTTGGGTCACAGTCTACCTTAATACACAAGGTCTGTAACTGGTTTGTAACAGACAAAGTTATGATCTGACTTGGCCAGTGGTGGTAAGGCAGTGGCTCTGTAGGCTTCTTTGATGTTAGTTTACAGCAGATCCAGGTTTTTTTTTTTTTTTTGGGTAGGACAGTTTACAAACTGTGTGAATCCAGTCAGGTGAGAGGAGAAGGTGACATGGTTGAAGTTTCCTGATATTATTAGTGCCTCAGGGTGTTGAGTCTGTAGCCTGGCATCACTATTATGCAAAAGATTGTACGGAATTTCTTCAGTTGATTTGGGTGGGATGTAAACAGCAACTGTTATGATATGACTGAATTCTCTCGGAACATAATATGGCCGAAGAGCAACTGCTAACAGTTCAATATCTGGACAACACAACTTCTTCTTGACAGTTATGTGTGAAGGGTTACACCATCTCTGGTTGACAAATAAAGCCAGACCTCCTCCTTTCTTCTTGCCACTAGCTTGAGCATCTCTGTCTGATCTTATAAGAGTGAAGCCAGGTAGATCCACACTGGAGTCCCAGTTGTTTTGATTCAACCAGATTTCAGTAAAACACAGGAGACTGCACTCACGGTATGCTTTCTCAGTCTCACAATAACACATCCTGATGTCCTCTGGGATTGATGTTGTTGTCCAGATTTGCTTTGTCTCAATGAAAGGAGCTCTTCTCTTGAGTAAACTCTTCGCCCAGCAGAAGTATCCATCAGCAGCCAACAAAAAAACAACAGAAATATGAAAAAATGTAGCAAAAATTACATATAATACAGAGAGACCTGACTTGCAGCAACCTCTCAGTTCTAGCGCACCATTTTGATCATTTTAATGGTAAAAAACAGAGCAAGACATTTAATTACAGGTTTCTATGAAGTGGCATCTATGAACTTATGTTCGAACTTAGCATTCAAATTTAAGGAGGAAAAAGCTATTTTCTTTCATCCTACAGACCTTATTTCAGCGCAAGACATTTATAGTGTCCCTTTTTGGGCTTTATTTAACCTTAGACCTAGATCACATTGTGCCATCATTTTATCAGGTCACCTTGTTCTGTCTGTCCACTCAATATACAAAAGCAAAATGTTGCTGTCTGACATGATTGTACAACCAACCGTGTCAAGCCACCTGTGAACATTCGTCACCTGAGTTAGCACCCTTGTCGTATGTGGAACATAATTGGCGAGACTGGACACTGAGCACTGCATGACCAACTCTCATGCCTTGACCTACATTTCTGTACATTCTTCAACACATAAGAGCGGATAGGTTGAATATGGTTGGATAACTTGTCTTGATGATGTAATCAGGTCCTGTGATGAGTTCTCCTGTATGTAACAAAGATTAATAATTACAGCAGAGATGATTAGCGTGTCATAGAGGCACATCTGTAAGAAACTATATAGTTTTGTTGAGCCATGCACATCCATAGTCACATGCCAGACATTTTTCTTCTGATGTGGCATTCAGAGCCATGTCATTATGTCATATTGATGTGTTTTAGGCTGTTAAATATGCAGAGTACAGGTTTCTGACAAAGTAATTAAATCTCTCGCATAATGATAAGCGAGCAAAATGACCATTAAAAATGATATTTGATGGGATTATTTTTATTTTTCAAGAAAAATCAATATATTTTATTAGCAACTGATGTTAGTATACAACTACAAACTAAATAGCACTGTGATCGGCAAAACAGTGATTAAAAGCAGGTATTGCTGTTCTTAGTTTATAGGGTGGCCTACAGAAGAAGATCTGAATTCCTAGCTAACAATTAGCCAGTAAATAACAGGTGAACATATCTAAGTAATGTAAACTCATATCATGTTATCTACAGCAAGTACTTAAATGCTAGCATAACCATTTTTTGTTGCTGTAATATGGACCACCTGCCAGGTTTTAACTAGATTCACTCTAGATTTCCCCCGATTCCTTGATTAACTGGACATAATGAGTAATTCAACAGTTCCAAGTGTTATTGAGAAGTGATCACTATTGTGGAGTTTGGACCAATCAGAATCAAGTATTTAACACATCCTTATAATAAGTAAGAAAGTTGGGTAATATGATTACATTGGTATAATTTTTTTTAATTTCCCTAAAAAATTCTTTCAATAGTTGTTGAGAAACATCACTGCACAACTTGAGACCAACTATGGCTGCGTTTAGGTAAGAGTACAGGGCTGAATTCTATGGGGTCTTTCTTCTGGAGACAATGATTGTCTGTAAAGCAGTTCATGGCAACCCTGCACCAGTTCTTGAAAATATCCCTCTGACTTACCGATTGACTCAGAGTCCCTGACATCGTTTGCCCATGCTGCTCATGAGGACAGTTATAACTGAGCAATTATCTTTTCCCCTTTTCATTCAGTGTCTGTTTTTGTTTGTGTGTACCTGTACACTGGTCCATTTATGGAAAAAAAGATGCCAGCAAATTTTGAACTAATATTAGAAAGGGCATTCCAGGATATAATAGTTTTAAAGTGAAGGTAATTCACCTTTATTGGATTTACTCTGGGTCGGTCACTCTGACCTACACATGTTCTGACTTTGACGACTACACCATTACTTTCCACAGTGGACTGGTGCCAGCTTTGTTCATGAACTGCTTTTTGCTGATGTCCCGGTGTGATATAGATAAAAGAATGATGCTATCCACGTTGGGTACAGCATATCCTGTACCTGGCACTTTTCTTGTTACTGTTCTTTATAAATACTGTTAAATGGGGTATACACTACAGGCCAAAAGTTTGGAAGAAAGATCAGATTTGTACAAAAAAAAGACCGTAGTTTCATTAATATAATTTGCAACACAATAAACATGACTATTGTGCAAAGAGTAACTTATAAGAAGACACTTTGACTATAATTATTAGGTATTTGAGTTTTTGTTGCTTAGACTTCACTTTCTTTAAAGTAACCTCCTCTGGCTTTAACAACAGCTTGGCATATACCAGGCATTCGTTCCACAAGTTTTTTAAGGTATGTTCCAGGGATTGCATTCTAAGCTTTCTTAAGTTCATTAAAAGGAGACTGCTGATTCATGGGATGCGTTTTTCTGACTGATAGATCCAATTTTTCCCGCACAAGCTCAATTGGAGAAAGGTCTGGAGACTGAGGGGGCCAAGCCATTTTTTGAAGAACACCTTCCCCTTCTTTTTTGTCTAGGTAACCCTGACAGAGCTTGGCAGAGTGCTTAGGGTCATTGTCTTGCTGCAAAACAAACTTATGAGCCACAAGTCTGAGTCCAGATGGAGCAGCATGGTGCTGGAGGATGGAGTGGTACTGTTCCTTCTTCATGATACCCTTTACTTCAAACAAATCTCCTACTCCATCACCTGCAAAACATCCCCATACCATGGAACTACCACCTCCATGCTTAATTGTGGGTGTAACACATGGTGCTTTCAGACGTTCACCAGTTTGTCTGCAGACATAGACTCTGCGTTTTGAACCAAACAGTTAAAACTTGCTTTCATCGGTCCAGAGAACTTGTTTCTAGTCATCAAAGGTCAAATTTTTGTGAGCTTTTGCCCGCTCATATCTCTTTTTCTTATTCTGTGGACAAAGTAGTGTTTTTTTGCAGATACACAATCCTTCAGACCAGCCTTTGCTAAGCTTTGTCACTTGAAGCCTGTAAATGATGGAGCCCTTTCAAATGTTTATGACATTGTTCTGGAGTTACTTTGTGGAATATAAGAGTATAAAGTTAAATATACACTCACCGGCCACTTTATTAGGAACACCTCATTAGTACCAGGTTGGACCTCTTTTACCTTCAGATCTGCCCTAATTCTTCATGGCATACTTTCAACAAGATGTTGGAAACATTCCTCAGAGATTTTTGTCCATATCAACATGAGAGTATCACACAAGTGCTGCCGATTGATCGGTAGCTCATCCTTGATGTAAATCCCGTGTTCCACCAGATCCCAAATGTACTCTATTGAGCTGGGATCTGGTGTCTGTGGAGGCCACTGGAAATACGTGAACAGATGGTCTAATTGATAGAACTCATTGTCATGTTCAAGAAACCACTCTGAGTCATTACCTCTAGGCAAGATGGATCCACGCTTTCATGTTGTTTGCGTCACTTTCTGAATGTGGCAGCAGAAATCAAGACTCATCAGACCAAGCAACCTTTTCCTTTTGTCTATATTTTGGCAAATTGGAGCCTCAGTTTCCTGAGGGGCACCTAGTGCGGTCCTCTGCTGCTGAAGTCCATCTACTTCAGGGTTTGAGGTGTTGTGCATTCAGAGATGGTATTCTGCATACCTTGGTTGTAACGGGTGGTTATTTGACTTACTGTTGCCCTTCTACCATCTGTCTGCCCATTCTCCTCTGACCTCTAACATAAAGCATTTTCGTCCACACTACTGTAAACTCGGGAGATGGTTGTGTGGGAAAATTCCAATTCCTGAAATACTCAGACCAGCTCGTCTAGCGCCACAACCATGCCATGTTCAAAGCCACTTAAATCCCCTTTCCCCCTCGTTGTGATATTCTGTTTGAATTTCAGCTAGTCTTGACCCTGTTTATGTCCCTAAATGCATTGAACTGCTGTCATATGATTGTCTTGATTAGCTATTTGTGTTAACAAGAAACTGAAGAGGTGTACCCAATAAAGTGGTTGGTGAGTGATAGTGTAAAAAAGCAGAATATCCTAAGACATGCAATAAATATTTCTCAAGAGTGAACTAACAGCAAAGTATTATATTCTGTTTTCTGTCATGGGGATAACCATTACACATCCTGTAAAGTGCAACAGCACCCCCAGCAATTTAGTATTCAGATTGATAGCCTGTCTCTACAATCCCTTGGACATGATGTGACAGCAGCATCACAGCCTCACGCCTCAGTTAACACCCATATCTTTTAAACTCCATGAACCCAGTTTGAAATGAACTGGTGTAACTTAAACATTTATCATCTTCGAAACTGAGTTGAGCTCTGCAGCTCATTCAAGTTTGCCATATTATTGAGAGCTACATGCTAATACCATGCAGATTATTAGGCTGAATAGTTAGAAGTGTAGATAATAGAAGTGTGCTTTAGGTGTTTCAGTTTTGCATGTGACTGTTTGACTCAATTTTTAGCCCTTTTTCAGAGGAAAAAGGATCTTTCCTCAAGAAGACAGTGGGGCACTGCGATCCTAAAGGGTTAAAATGTACAAGGCCTTCTTTTGTGTGTGCAAAATGTTGTCTCCAACATTGTCTCTTTACATAATTGTTAGCAGTATTATATCAGACATGTATGTCTGAAGCAAGCAAGTTACTGGGTTTTCTCCGGTAAATATCGCTAATAGTATTCAAACCATTAAAAACAGGCAGATGTCTTCCATTTGCCTATTATGTTCTGAATGTCACTGACGGGACTGCATCTCATCAAAAGCCCAAATAATTGACTGTGCTGCATGATATTTTAAGAGTTAGATTTTGATTATGTAAGCTTGAATGGATGTGAATTTATGGGCAGTATAGTAAGTGACACACTAACATCCATGATCCACCTCCACAATTAACTGTTCAGCTGTTTAGATTATCATTATCGGAGCTAATGTGCAAGAACCATACAGATTGACCTACTTCTGAAAATAGTCAGGAGCTTAATTATCATTGTGTGAGTAAGTCAGGTTATGTCACAGGAGGAAAATATTGAAATAATGTTTGTGGTAGAAAGCTGCCTTTAATTTGTTTAAAATGTATGCATTTTTTCTTCTGAGCAGGGTTTGTTCGTTTCCTGGAGGGATACTACATTGTGTTGATCACCAAGCGCAGAAAGATGGCTGACATTGGGGGCCAGTCCATCTACAAAATTGAAGACACAAGCATGATCTACATCCCCAATGACTCAGTCAGGATTACACACCCTGACGAAGCAAGGTAAAACAAGCCTGAATACATTTTCACAACATGTGCCTGAAAATTTCCAAAATGGTCCTAAAAAGGTCCTGAAATGACAATTTTAGCTATTTACATCTTGTCCATCTAAGCAAGCATTGAATTCAGTCACAAAAATATCACAGATTCAGTCTTTGACATCTCTCCGTTTCCAACCTCATTATCTGTGCACTGATCTCAAACTGGCTCTGCACTGATTGGCTGCCTGAATGTTGTCTTAATCGAACTGAGACTAGCCCAAGTGTTCTAAACATGCTCCAGTGTTTTCATGCCAGGCTCTGAGCCAGTGGCTGAACAGCATGGATGCATTGCCTGGAAGTCAGGTAGTATCAAAACCTGGAAAGATGAAGAAAGAACGTAAAAAAGAGAAAACTTTCCCAACAAATGACACAGAGTTGTAAAATGACACACTGTTTGCCATTTTGCTAATGCATTATTTTTGTTCTGATATGTCATGTCATCTGGGAGACAACCTGATAATAACAAGCTGAAAGGGGGCATGCTGCCTCCTACTGTAGCAGAAGCAGACATGCTTTGGTCAATAATACAGTTCTGGCCCAGTCCATGCAAACTGGGACAAGGACAATTGTCCAGTTAAAAAGCCTAGTTGTGCTACGATAGAAGTGGGAAAAACCTAGAAAAACATGGCAAGTGCTCCTGAAGAATCCAGTACAGTACAATATGAATCATAATCTGACCCTGAACACATGGTAACTGGTGCATTGTTCAATTGTAAAGTTATTAAAATGTTAGGTTTAATTAGTTTAGCAGTTTAGCTGTTTAGGTGGCAAAAGAAACACAAAGAGAAAGAAGTGTGAGTAGTAAATATATATATTTTTTGTTGTAAAGTTGATCTTTTTCTAATTTTGCACTAACAAAGATTTTGATCTTGTAGATATGTTCGCATCTTCCAAAATGTGGACCTGTCCAGCAATTTCTACTTCAGGTAAGAATAAAAATACTCTCATTTATTGCTAAACACAATTATGCACAAGGTAGGTTTTAATTCCAGCCCAGAGCCCCTGCCACTCCACTCCACCCCATCCCACTTCACCCCACCTACGCACGCACGCACGCACGCACGCACGCACGCACGCACGCACGCACGCACGCACAAACTTTTGCCATTATTTTCTGCCATTATTAGGTGGCAAGAAGAACTCGCTAAAGAGTAAGTAACTGTTGAGATTAATTATTTTTCCTGTTTTCAAACATTTTTGGTGATACAGATGAAGAAAGTTTTATCTGCCTATGATTGCTGATGCCAAGCTGCACTTGGATTCTTGTTCAGATGTACTGTAGGTAAAAAAAAACACATTAGGGAGGAGAAAATAGGATTTATGTCCTTGAAGATGCCTAAAGTCCAACACATGGCTGGTGATGTGTGATGACTCTTAGTGCTCAAATAAAGCATAGAAATATCTGGAAATTGCTTTATTTACCTTGCCTCCATTTTCTTTGTTTCTGTCTCATTAGTGTACCCTTGGCTGTTCTAAAGAATATATGTTACACTGTCAATGTTTCAGTGACAGTGTATGAAAAGATTTTTGTTTTTTCATTCTTGAGGATAAAATGATGAAAAGGTTCAAATTGGCCTCTCTGGGGCTGAAGTCAAAACGTTTCCAAAAGTGTCCACTTGCCCATTAAGTCTAAAAAGTCAGTGCTTTCTGGCTACATTTGACAGTCATGTCTGAAATGAAAAACCCATGATGTCTCCAATTATACAGCATGTGATGAAAGTGTTTATGATACTTTTTTTTGTGGCAAAGTATCAGATGCATTTTTGGAGAGTGCAAGCTGTGCTTGTTTAAAATTATACTTCTGCTGTTCCCTGCAGCTACAGCTATGACCTGAGCCATTCACTGCAGTACAACCTGACTCTGCTGCAGAGGCCCTGTGAACTGTGGTCATCCCCAGCTTCCTCCGCTGAGGAGGAGGAGGAGGTGCACACACAGAGCAAGCAGGACAGCTTTGACATCTTTGAAGATGAGGGCTTGCCCACACAAGGTGAGCACAAGTAGAGGGATCAGTGGTTGTGGAACAATGGTTGCAGTTACTGCTTTCAAGAATAGCACAGACACAGAATGTGGCTTTATTTTTGCTTTGACACCAAAAGCTCAGATTTACATTGCCTAGCAAGGGCAGAGAGCCAAAACTGCAAAAGCAGAGTAATTACTTGAGAGTTGTTGAAAGTTGTAAGAGTAGCTGGCCACACTTCATAACATAACATTAAAGTCCTAAAATGAAATGCCTTTGTTGGCCCAAAATGACTGCCACAGATTTGAGCAAATAAAATCTAAGAGAACTGTACCTTTGAATTAATTCCAGACATGAGAAATTTGTGACAGACCACCATTTTGACCGTAGTTTTTCAAGAAAGTCAGTAACCAATTTTTTAGATCAGAGCTCAAACAAATAGAACATATTTCCGTTTTCTTTGTCCACATTCTCCCAACTCTTCATGATGTTTTTGTTAAATTTGATTTTATTAATGACAAGAAAAACTGAGACAGCAGCGGCTAATGTCTCCTACATACCAGGAATTAACCTGGCTCTTTAAATAAATGCTAAGGGGTTTTATCTAGAGCCTTATTAAGTTTTGTTGCTTTACCAAGAGATTTATCAAGCATATGATATTTATCAAAATTGATTTATTACATTCTCCAACCTGTAAAGTTAAATAGGGTGATTTAGCTTTTCTTTTAATTAGGCTTGCTTTGGCAGCATGGCTCACTTTGCCTTGGTAACGTGAGGTAGCTCCCTGCCTCCCTCCCTCCCTCCCTTCCTCCCTAACTGGTGTTTTGTTTTTGCTGGTGATCAATACTCCATTACATTGTTTCTAAAACTTTAAAAGCTGCTTCACTTAAAGTCCAATTTTACATGCTGTAATATGTCTTTATTATGTCATGCTATATTTTTAAAAAGAGGACAATTGTATTGAAGGTCATTTTTGACCTAAAGTACTCTTAGTTAATGTTGATTAGCCTCTCATGTAGGTAATAAACCCCTTTAACCAACAAATAACAGATATTGTTAGTTATAGTGTTTTGTTTTTTTGTTTGTTTTTGTTGTTGTCATTACCTTTCTACTGATAAAATGTAAAAAAAAAAGTCCACTTATATTAGCCATAGTCTGCAGTCTCAATTATCTAAGGAACTGTGTATTTTCTCACTTTAGTGAAGTCATTAGAATCCATTAAAACGTAATAAAAAATAACTTGACTGCTCTTGGCTCTGTTTCATAATCTCATGTTCTGTGATTATGAAAGTATATCGTAATATTAAAGCAAAATCCTGATTCAAATGTTTCCAGGAATGCTCTTGTTCCACAAACCCTGCGTCACCTCAGCTCTTATTTCATTTCTCTGTAACTAATAACTTGATCCGACACAGTGAAATAATCCAGAGGTTTTAAGTGTTCCTTCTCTTCTGCCGCAGTGGTTTACGGCCTCCAGAACGAGCCGTACTACAAGTACGTGTGGAACGCTAAGCTGCTGGAGCGAGTCAAGGACACGGTGCATCACGACTGGCTCATGTATATAATCCATGGCTTTTGTGGCCAGTCCAGTATCCTTTGAGCATTGTGAAATCAGTCAAGTGTGTATGTGTGTTACAGACGTGGTTTATATCAGTTTGTTTTTGAATTACAAACATGTACTTGCTGCTCATGGAAACTTGGGGAAAAAAAGGCCCAAAAAAATGTGCACTTCCTTTTTGGAACATTATCAGTCAGTAACAATTGAATTGTGCATAAACAATACTAAAAGACACAATCTCATCTCACACAAAGACATCCTTTCTTGGCACCCCTCTTCATCTCTCAGCCTTAGCAACTTGTTGACCTGTGCACTGACTCCAGCACAGCACATGGATTACATTTCGAGCCAGATTGTGTGATCAACTACCTAAGTACTGAAGCAATTTGTGTATGTTGTTAGAGCTTTAGTAAAAGCAGTATTACGGAAATTAAGCAGTGGTGATCAGGTATGTAAACACCGCCCCCTCCACAATCTCTCCATCTGTTATCTGCAAGAAAAATAGCAGCAACACTGTGTGCATGAAATCAGATAAAGAACACATTTTTTTCTTGGATACATGAATTGTGTTTTAGTGTGCATACTTAGTTTTTGTTGTAGTTATGATTTCTATATTACATTTTTATTGGTTTGACACATGCTGCATGCCAGGACTTTGTGTAAGGCTGTACATAAATGATTTTGAGAATCCTTTGTAGTAATGATGGATGGGTTACTGCTGCAGAGGGGCTTTGGACTTAACTAGAGCAGAGGAAACAGTCAGATTTATGATGATGAGTGTCTGCCTAGGGCTCAATTTTTAGATTTCAATCCTTCACTAGCTACATTCTTTGCATAAATTACATTAAGCTGTGTAAAATGTATTGCCTTTTTTATTTTTAATCAGTTAATTATCTGTAATTAAGGGATATGTTGTGCCATCCTTTGTGTTATTCTGTGGCAGCTAGACTTTTAAACTGAGGTGTACTTTACATCACTGTTGCTAACACTGTTGTCTCTGATCAGGCACCATGCTGCCACTGTGACTCTGAGTGGGTGCTTGAGCTTAGACGATTCCTAGAAGCAGTTTGGCCTTCAGTCCTGTTTTTCTGAGTACATGAGAGGACAGATGGGTGTAATAAGAGAAGTGTGAGTGGAGCAATTAGATGCAGAGAGAGACTCTTAGGTAAAAAGATCAAAAACGGAATGAGATTTTGTTGAACTTCTTTGTGTGGTCTTTTGTTTTCTCCATAAGCTCGTCTTGTCGTCTTAACACCATTAATACATACTTTTGATTCCTTTTTACTGATGCTCACAAATCCTTTTCAATACTCTAATACAGGGACTTCTTTTCTTTATGTATTTATGATTAATATTAGTTATCCCTGTTTGATGCTTCCAAAAGCTTATCCAAATTAACCACATATTTAATTGCATTTTAAAAATTTCATTATTTCGAGTGTAAACAGTTTAGAAGTCTGAAACAATGCTAAGCAATGTTTACCAGTGTTTTGCTCCTTGGGAAGTGCTATTAGATGCTCTTTATGATCTTGACTTTTAGATTTATGGTTAAAATTAGAGGTTGAAAACCATGATATAGAGCTTCAGGGTTTATAATGTTTTGGTCTTTACAAAATTTGTACCCCCAAACTGTGCTCTGTGAGCTTCTGCTATAAGCTAATATTAATGCTTACTATAGCTTATAAAAGTCATTATAGAGCCTTGTAGATGTACGGCTCTATAAATGTGGTTGTGGTGAATTGTAAGAGGTGGGCTTATATAAACTGTCACCAAGATTTGTTTAGGGCTTTGCTTTTGTTAGATAAGACATCTGAGATACAGGAAATGCTAGTGTGAAGGAGTGGGGTGCACTAAAGGGCAGAGGCCAAGACTGAACCTGCAGCCAATGCTTGGAGGAATTAACCTCTGTACATGGGGCGCTTGCTTTACCAGCTTAGTTAAACTGGTCGCCTCAAAAACACAGATTTTCCCTCATTAATAATAGTTTATTTACTTATGTTTTATATCATAACTGCTCTGTTTTCTCTCTGACATATACTCTTAAGTTAATTTAATTTGATTATTATAATATTAACAAAATTTTATTTATTTAGATAAATAATTTAGTGAATACTGATTTGAAAAGTAAAATTGATAATAATAAACAAATCTAAAGGAATATATGTGTGTAATACAATGTAGTTATAAAATACTGTGGTATGTATTGGTATTGTCTTTATGTTATGTTTGTTATTTATTATTCCTTTACCCTCCAACTAGAGCTTCTGATCTACGGACGGCCAGTTTACATCACCCTGATAGCCAGACGCTCCAGCAAATTTGCTGGGACTCGCTTCCTCAAGAGAGGAGCCAACTGTGAGGTACAGCGGTTGCCTGGGCAACAGTAGAGAATAGACAATGGAGGCAGGGCTGAGATAGACCAGAATGATTGAGATGACTCAGGTTGATCACAGGGGGGTTAATTTGACCCACTGCCTCTTTCTTGAGTATGCATGAGTGGTTTGTGTGGGAGTATGGTGGGAGGAGGAACAAATAGATTTCCTCTGTCTATTTGGACAGCTATCATGAGATTGGAACCCAACACAGATTTGTTTCATGCTGTTTTGTTTAGCATTAAGTGAAGCAGTCTTTTAATAAAATAAAATATCAGAGCAGAAGAAGCAGATGTGTGATAAGTGTAATTCGTAATGGCTTTGCTTGAGATGAGAGTTAAAAAAATCCTGTGGGATTTAGTGAGCTTGATAGAACACTTAGGATCTGGTTGAGTTGTTCAAAATTATCCTTATCTTTTTTTAAGCACTTTTCATTGACTTTGATAGAAAAACATCACAGAATCAAGAAAAGCTCTCAGGGAGAGACAAACTCAAAATGTAGTCTTTAATTGCATTACACTCAACAGGTGTTGCAGATATGATGCAGATGTGTGACTGCCCACAGTCTGCAGAAGACTGAGGGCACAGAAAGCACACTGCATTCTTACCTTATTTTCATGCAGACACATGAATGTGGAAAGCTTGGTGATAGATATGACCTCACAAAGGTTCTTATGGGTAATGTGTTACAGCAGCTCCTAAAGATGAGACAACCTTCAGCTGTTGTGACAGTCTGAAGTTCTAAGATTACCTGTGAGGTTTCATATCTCTCAGTGTGAACTTGATTAATATTTAGAGTTGGAAACAGGACTTAATTCAGATGATCTTTAACGACATACTCAAGTTGCCCGTTTGCCACGGACTAGCAGGTTTTTATATTTCCATTTTTCTGCTTCAAGAAATTTGGTGTATGTTTATTGAGAACAAATCAGTCCAAAAAGGAGTGTCATGTGTTTGATCATGTCTCCAAAACAGAAACGTGATGTCCTTTTATTTTTAAATTTCAGCTCTCTGAAAACTTGAGGAGTTTCTGGTCCATGATGGCTTAGGATAATATCAAGTTTATAGTTTACTGAGGGCTGCTGTAGAGCTTTTCATCACATAGAATGTAATCTATCTAGATACTGATGTGATCAAGGTTCAATATTGACAAGCTAAAAAAAGGCTATGAACTTGGAAAAATGAAAATGTTTTTATCCAAAGTTCTCTGCCCAACTTTGTCAACTCTATGTTTTTGTTTGTTTACCAGGGCGATGTGGCGAATGAGGTGGAGACAGAACAGATTGTTCATGATGCCTCAGTCATGTCCTTCACAGCGGGAAGTTACTCGTCATACGTCCAGGTGCGAGGTTCAGTGCCGCTGTACTGGTCTCAAGACATTTCCACAATGATGCCTAAGCCTCCAATACGACGTAAGATTTCTGTCTTTCTTTGTCACTGGAGGGACAATAATGATACTATATCTTGATAATATAAGAGCTATTTGTTGCTAAAGGTACACTACAGGCCAAAAGTTTGGAAGCAAGGCCATTACAGGCCGAACAGTTGGGAGTAACTTCAAGTTTTTGTTCACAATGCTTTTTTTAAAATCTTTTTTTCAAATGCACCATTTTACTCAATTTACCTTTAGATATGCATTGATGTTAACAGACCATTGCTAAATATATGTCAGCAAAAGATAATAAGGGCTTAGTTTTAGGGTCGAAAACATTTGCAAGAGTCACAACTTCAGTGCAAAAGGAAAAAAACAAATCACAGTTGGATTATTCACTTCAACTTTTTGGCTTTTGAGAGTCTGCATACAAAAATCCTAATAAATCTCAACTGCATTCAAAATACCGCAGAAATGTCTAGAAAGAAGCAACTGAGTAAAGAAAAAGTACAGATTTGTACATTGAGGAAAGAAGGATACACAGAAAGAGAAATTGCAAAACGCCTAAAGTTGTTTAACAAAGGTTTTTAACAAAAAAACACTACACTCTAAGGAGACTAGAGGAACCTGGAAGTTATGATGATAGAAAAAGACCTGGATGAAAGAGAGTTACTACAAAAGCAGAGGATAAACATAGCATTGTCACCAGTAAGAGAGATCGGTGAAAGACAGCACCACAAAAAAGGGAAGAAATCAACATGACAAGGTTGAAACCCATATCTCTGACAACAGTGAAATTACGTTTGAGAAAGGTTGGTCTGAAGGGTTGTGTATCTGCAAAAAAAAAACACTACTTCATCCACAGAACAAGAAAAAGAGATATGAGTGGGCAAAAGCTCACAAAAATTTGACCTATGATGACTAGAAACAAGTTCTCTGGACCGAAGAAGGCAAGTTTGAACTGTTTGGTTTAAAATGCAGAGTCAATGTCCACAGACAAACTAGTGAACGTCTGAAAGCACCATGTGTTTTACCCACAATTCAGCATGGAGGTGGTAGTTCCATGGTATGGGGATGTTTTGCAGGTGATGGAGTAGGAGCTTTGTTTGAAGTAAAGGGTAATATGAAGAGGGAGCAGTACCACTCCATCCTCCAGCTTGTGCGGGATGAATAAGATCGATCGGTCAGAAAGGCGCGTCCCACGAATCGGCAGTATCTTTTTAATGAACTTAAGAAAGCTTGGAATGCAATCCCTGGAACATACCTTTAAAAAACTGGTGGAACGAAAGCCTGGTATATGCCAAGCTGTTGTTAAAGCCAGAGGAGGTTACTTTAAAGAAAGCAAAGTCTAAGCAACAATAACTCAAATATCTAATAATTATAGTCAAAATGTCTTCTGATAGGTTACTCTTTACACAATAGTCATGTTTATTGTGTTGCAAAGTATATTATTGAAACTTTGAAATTAGTTTCATTAATATTAATGAAATTAATGAAATCTTTTTTTGTACAAATCTGATCTTGCTTCCAAACTTTTGGCCTGTAGTGTACCTGATGTCAGCTTTCACAATAAAAAGGTGCTGACTTCGTCACACCACCAAGCTTTAGTATGTCTTTTTTGTCATATGTATTCAGTCCACATACGCAATTATACAAATAACATGCATCCAAAAAGCGTCGCAGTGGGTCTTCATAAGATAAGAAGACATGATGTTTTCATTCTAGCTCAACCATAAATAACCTTTTAGAGACCAGAGATGAATGTCATGTGAAAACTGCATTAAAATAAGAGATAAGCTGTATGCCAGGGCCTTTCTTCTCATCCACCTGCACAGATGGAAGGATAAAATATGAAAAACTAAATAGGTGAACCTAGGACGTCTCCCTGCTTGGTTCTCATCTTTGTATCCATTCTCATCGTGGCTCATTCTGAACAGGATCAAAAACACAAAACCAGGGCCCAAAGGAGGTGATCAAGTCCCTCAGACGTTGTGGACTGCCAGTGTGTGTATTTGCGGGTGCTTGCATGTGTATAATGCCTGTATTAAATCCAAATCCCTTTTCACCCCGGTTTGCTGCTTTATTCATCCTTTGAGAGTATGTCCTGAAGATCCCTCTGCAGACTAATTCACTCCATCATTATGCTTTATCTTTGATCCTAAAAGACAGGCCTTATCCAACATTTTCCCAAATGTTCCACACTCTGAACACCTCTTAATGTTCAACTGTGTGTTCACATGTCTGTTGACACATTGCCCCCAGTATTGCCCTTAGAATCGATAAACTTGGTCAACTTACTTTGCTTTCACCAATAAAGTTTTATTTTTCGATGCTCCTTTGTTTTTCTTAATGAAATCCTTCATTGTTTTTTATGCTGTGATTGATCCCACTCAGAGGTCTTGAATGATGTATATCACTCTGACAGCTCAGCCATTTGATTCAGCATGTTTTTTTGTTTGTTTGCTAGTCTGTCTTTTTTTGGTTCATTGGTTCTTTAACTCCCACATTTATTATTATCACTGGAAAAACTGTAACAGATGGGCAAATAATAGAAAATAAGTAACCTTTTTTAAATCTTTTTATTTTACCCCTCTCCTTGAATCAACCAGTCAGTTTATCTTTAGTTTTCTTTTTACCATGATGGCATACATGTTTTTATCTAACCAGTTGAATTACAATACATGAAAATGTGTGTCCTCATGTTTAACTTCCCCTCAAGACCCATATTTATGTATATTGAGTGTCCTATCTGATCATTTATCTTTTAGTTTTCAGTACAGATTGGTGTCCCATAAGAACGGATGTTGGGTCTTCTTTCATTTGTTATTTATACCCAACTTGTGTTGCAATGTTGCTCACACAGCATATTAATTTATGTTGAAAAAAATCCTTGTGTGTCCTTTATGCATTTTCAACTGTGACAAGCGTTTACAAATTACTGAGTTTTTAAAGATTTTCAGAAAAGTCTGTGTAAATGAGGAAACATAAAAAAGCAGACCAAAAGGAACAAATTGACCATCTGTGTTTTCTCCACTGTTTGATTATTTTCATCATCAATTTACTAATATGCTAATTATGCTAAAATATTTCTGTTTTTGTTTGCTGCTTTTTTGCTTTTCCTGCAGTAACAGGTGCTGGTATGAGTATGGCGATTTTGACGCAGCTTTTATGTGGCTGCATGATGAGAGTTTGATGAGAACAGTATCATTACTCACATACTGTTAACATTTTGCCATAGAAAGTAAAAGGCCTGTCTTTTGTCTTGATTAGTAACCTTTAGACATGTAGGTGGTCAGGTGTGCTTTTTAGCCTACTTGTGTTCAGAAGACTGGGTTGGCTGTTCAGGTCTATGAGCTTAGCTGAGTGACAACTATATGGCCATGAGAGTGAAATTCATCTCATTTTACGATATCGAATTGCAGTATTCTTCCAAAAACATTTGTAAATGTCATTTTTCTTAACTTCCATGTTTTCTTTGTGTCTGCCTGTTTGTGCCCTAACCCATGCTCTGCTGCCAATTGAACAAACACAGACACATTACTCATTTACAGATGAACAGAGAGAAAAATGATAATCTTAAGACTTTCTATCAGCCTGACAAAGGCACAATAACTAAAAACACATTTAAATACCTTTGACATCATTATATTTGTCCACAGCTCCTTTGGGTATTGTGAAACTGACATAAAATCCACAGCCAGTGCAGTTGTAAAATATTTTTTATTGTTATGCGGGCTGCATAGAATGACACCTATTAGATGAATCTAGGTCAGAGACACGGCAAAGAGCCAGTTTTAAGCCCAGTGTCTGTGGATTTAGAGTACAGGACACCCGAACCATTAGATCATCCTGCTATCAAGAGCTAATGTTACATAAGAGTGTGTGAGTCTGTTTGACTGCTCTGAAGTACCCAAATGTCTCAGTTGTGAAGGAGATGACCCTAATGGAGCCATTCATCCTCTGTATCATTGTGTCACATCCTCATCATCATTACTAACATCTCCCTCTCTGTGGTGCAATAAGAATGTTATTGGCTGTTATCTCTTTATGTTGACATTAACTTAACCTGACCTCTGTAGACATAGTGGGGTTGAAATGGTTGTAAAGTGAATGTGCTTGAGGTTGTGTTTGTACTGCAAGTTTTTGATCTGTGACTTGACCCATTTCCTTTAATCTGTCTTCTGGCTGCTCTGCTCAGACAATTTGACAGAAGGCTGCAGGTGTGAGGCTCTGCTAGAGGTGGAAATGAAGGCACTAGATATGATTTAAAGTAAAGAAAAAAATGAGTAAATGGACCAAAGAAAGAAATTGGATGTGAGTGCAGGAGAAAGAGGACAATGAGCAGGATGCGATGCAGGGTCTTTGTTTGCTCAATATGTGTGGCTCTGTGACATGGATCGGACCCATAAAGACAAGTTACCTCATCAACCTACTTTTACACTCTCTTGTTATAGTGACAAAGCTTGAGTTTAGAGAGAACAGCTTTCATTTTTAAACCCTTATCCTGAAAAAAAAAACTGCTACACAAATTGGGATATGTGTATACTTCAACCCCCATTTTCTCTTGGACCAGTGAATTTACAGCTGCCCATAAGAATTTTGAATGTTTTTGTTTCTGTTTCCTACATTAAAATACCAAAAGCTGCTGTACTATAAGTAGCCACTTAAAGGCAACTCCAAAAGCAAGTTTGGCTCTATATTTACAGCTCCTGTAAGGAACTTTCTGTTTGTGTCAGGTTTGGCACATCTGTGGACATCTATGGACTTTACATCTTTGCTAGTTTTGTCCTACAGCTGTGTAAGAACTGTTTTCTGACAAAAGATGCCTTTTAACAGTTAAAACTCACTATGACAATCTTGTCTGTGATGGCCTTGTTTGCTTTTGTAAGTCAAACAAAGCCATCACTGTTGATTTTGACCTGTTTCCTAACTCCTTGCAGTGGTTTTTAGAGCCCAGCTTTTCAAAGGAATCAAACCTGCTTACAGCTTTGTCTGCAACTTTTTCAAGACAAAAAGAAATAAAAGAAAGGAAGAATTTTCATCCCACTGTGCCATTGGAATGATTAAATGATCATATTTATTTATTTATTATGCATATTTAATTAACAAAGTGGTCGGTTGCTGAAGACATGAAGGTACAATACAATATGGAAGATTGGTGGTTTTAGCTAATAGAATACAAGGAATAGCCTCCTGTGTTGAACAGTAAAGTCAATACAGAAGCATAAAATTGCTGGTTCTCAAGCTTCCTTTTTTAGGCTGGGAGTAAAATTTAAAAATCTCTTTTTTATAACACCTGCATTAAAATGGCTAGTTTTCAAGAAAAACATATTTACAGCCTGGTGCACGATTTGGTCTTGATAGCCCAGTTTTACATTCATGCTGTAGGGGGGGATTTTTAATTATTCTTTTATTTTGATTACTTGAAGACTCCTGAGTGAATGCATGTATTTCATAAAGGATGTCAGCTGATGAAAAGGTGAACATGTGGTGTTTGTCTGGGGACTTCAGGCCTGCCTACACCTTTTTTATTGCTTATTGATATTGATCCAAAGTAAAGTGAAGTTTTCCAATGTGAGAACCACCATCTTGGGCCATTGCTAGCCCTCTTTTATATTTTTTTAGTTTGTATAAATACTATAAAAAAGCTTTAACAGCCATTGAAATTCTCTTTCAGTGGATCAAGCTGACCCATACGCCCATGTAGCTGCCCTTCATTTTGACCAGATGCTGCAGCGGTTCGGCTCTCCTATTATCATCCTCAACCTTGTCAAGGTAACATACACAAACTCGCTCACACACTTGCACCCACAAACACAAACATTCTTTTTCTTGTCCATAGCAGATGAGTTTTGATATTGAATATTGTAGGTTTTTGTACAGGTGCAACAAAGTGCAGAGACTCTCTTATATAGAGGAGAAAAAGGTTATGGAGAAATTCAGGTGCTGCTCAAAAATCAGAATGTCCCCAAAAAGTTCATTTTTCTCTGTAATTTAATTCAAAAAGTGAAACTTCCATATATCCTAGATTCATCACACACAAGGTGAAATATTTCAGGACCTTTTTTTGTTTAAATGTTGACAATTGAGGATTACAGCTCATGGAAATAAAAAATCCACAATCTCAAAACATTAGAATACAACAAAACATAAAAAAATAGGATATAATAATATAGAAATGTCGACCTTCTGGAAATGTGTTTATTTCAGCTCTAGTACTTGGTCAGAGCTTCTTTTGCATGAATTACCGCATCACTGTGATGTGGCATGGAGGAGATCAGTCTGTGGCTCTGCCGGGGTGTTGTTGTTGGTCCAGGTTGCTTTGACAGCTAATCTGTATTGTTGCTCTGGTGTCTCTCATCTTTTCTTGATGATACTGTAGAGATTCTTTATGGGAAAAGGAAATGTGTGTATGCATAAAACTTTTCAGCAGATAGAAGCATGAAGAGCTCTAAAATCTCCTGATAGACTTAAGGCTGCATTGACTGTGGACGTAATAAAACACAGACTCACACCAGCAAATGACATGACACCGATAATTATCAGAGCCTGTGGGAACCTTACACTGGACTTCAAGCACCTTGGGTTCTGAGCCTCTCCGATCTTCCTCCAGACTCTGAGACCTTGATTTCCAAATGAGATGCTAAATTGACTTTTACCTGACAACAGGACTTTGGACCTGAGCATTATTCCAGTTCTTTCTCTTCTTAGCCCAGGTGAGATGCTTATGCTTATGTCCTTAGTTTTGTGAGGATTTATTTATGTTTGTGGTAGTGCTGACCTAAGTTTCATTATTAAAATGCTTGAGTTATTGCATACTATTCTTGCAATTCTCTTTTTATTTCCATTCTTACCTAGTTTTTCAGTTGCTATTTTTGTTAGTCCTGAGTAGCCCTAGCCTATCAGGATGTAACAGGTAGCAAGAGACATGTATAACTTATTGCAAAATGTAGGTATATGTTGCTGTATTTATGTAGTAAAACTATAGTAGTGTACCTAGTTTTTTTAATTACGGGTTACGTAAGCTCTAGATAAAGAACATGCCCAGTTCGTGGCCTCACTCAACAAGTTGTTATTTAATAGTGCAGGCAAAGGTTGTGTAATTAGTGAAGGATTGGATCGATTTTGAGGGTTAGTTGTTGCTGTGAAGACTTTGACAATCACAAAAGACTTTCCCATTCCCCAGTGAGTACTAGCAGCTGAAATGTTAACTTGCATATTGATCTTTGTCTACATTGTTCTGAACAGTAGAAACACACAGCAGATGTGAGCATACACACACACACACACACACACACACACACACACACACACACACACACACACACACACACACACACACACACACACACACACAGTGATAATGACGCTTTAAAACATAATATAAATGCCCTGTTCCACCTTTAATAGATGCACAGTATAGTTATGAAAAAGGTTGCATTAGACACTGTGAAGATCCTCCTTCCTTTTCATCCCTATGTGCAGCACTGCTTTACATTTTCTCTTTGGAGCCATTGCACCAGAAGTAATTTTTGCTTTGCGTTTTCGCTCACACACGCGTGGACTCTCTTAGGCACACAGCCATATGGTCTGTAGCTTCAGTTTTCAGGCTCACGTTGTCACTCCCAAGGGGAGCCGTGAGATGAGGGACCAATCGCAGACCACAGAGGTCCGCACAAGCCGTGGCCATGTGATATGTGCAGACTGCGGGGAGTAAGGGAGGGTACCCTGCTTATACTCTACACCCTCATTCTGATCCCAGAGAGACAGAATGAAGATGGTATCGGCTATTAAGCATGAAATCATGACAATCCAGCTCTGCATCTTGGTGACAAGGGTCGGTGTGGCCATGGCACCTCCAGGATGGGCACATTGTTTTTTTTTTATGGGTTGCTGCATGTTTTTGAGTACTTATGTGCATGTATAGAAAAGAGGGGGAGTAGAGTAGGAGTGCACATGGCTAAACATGTGCATCACTTTTACCCACCTGCATAGAAAAATAATAAAAAATAATGAATAATGAATTCATTTATTCATAATGATATAGATTTTTTCCGAGAATGGGAGAGAAAAACCTGTCCAAAATGACAGCAACTACTAAATCAAGCACCAAAAAAAAAAAAAAAGAATGAGGCATAAGGATAAGAATAGTCTCACAGCATTACTCAGACACACCCTTTTATTGTGCAAAACCATCCATTTGAATAATTAGTGCTTGTTCTCTCCATTAAAACGTTCATGAACAGCCCCCTCGTGTTTGTCCATGTGCATGCGTGACTGGATCCAGGTTATACACTGTGATCTGCAGCAACACCTTTGTATAGTGACAATGATTGTCTCTCAGGGCAAAGAACCTGTGAACAGTACATGTGTACTTTCCTAGATAAGTGTTTCTAATCTCTGAAGTGTAAGTGCGCCGTGCATGTGCAAGAGTGTAGGATATGCTCTGTTTGAACAGCAGAGGAAACGCACTGGTAATTTGAGGCCAGGGTTGCTCTTCTACCTCTGGATGTGCACATGGAGATATGGAGATATGAGCAGGCAAATGATGCGTCCAAGCTGATTATCACTGAGGATGATCCGTCAAAAAGGCGTGAGGAGCAGTGAAATATTTTTATTGAGACATAACATACAGGACAGTGTGATGCAGGCCACAGGGGGAGACAGGAAGTGTGTCGATATCTCAAGGCATTTTTATTATGTCTCATTTGTTAATGACGCAACTCAGGGTCTGAAAAGAGAAAGTGCCACTTTCCACTTCAGGTAGTGGACAGTAAAAACAAACTTGACATAAAATGGGCACTGGTAAGCAAACTGGGGCCCATGTATGTGCACATTTTTTGAAGGCTCAGTTGATGAAATGTTGAACTAAAAGTGTAATTCTGATGCCTTTTAACATTTTATAAAATCATTTATCGATTATCACGATATCATCATCATCCTCATCACTAAAATCAGTTATTTTCATTTCCACATATGACTGAAGTGAGCCAAGTCACCTTCTCATTTCTTTAAAGTGCAGCAGAGAAAACTGGACTGTGTTCTTAATAAATCGTTGGAAGTCAAAATCCATAGTAACATCAAAAGGCCTGAAGCAATTTTGAAGCAGTGTCAGTAATTTTCCTTAATATCTTCTAATACTGTTCGTATTACTAAGTGTAAAATTTAGTTTGAATAAAAATGACACACAGAGACATGGCGACAGCTGCTTCACTCTTATCACATCTCCATCACCTGCACACATTTGTTGTGTTAATAATCAAAGTGCAGAAGTGAAGCCACAGGCGTCTCTCTCTCAGTTTTTATGACTACTCATAATCATAATCACATTACAACCTGCACTCACGGACCCAACTTCTAACAAATGATGGTAAATAGAAGGGAGAAAGCTCTGATGGATGTGAGCCCTGCCACTTCATGTGAAAATATCAGAGTAGGTCCTGTTACCATCTAAAAATTGTGGTACAATGATAAATGTAGGTGCATAATAATAAATGTAGGTGCACTGGCCCTACAGGACCTTAAGAATGCAACATGGAGTCACTCATTTACTCAGTATGTGGTCTTTATCCTCTATTTTGTTCGCAGGCACCATCATTACTGACTCATTTGTAAGCATAATCATTGATCAAGGTGCTTTGCATTACCATCTATACACAAAACTTGCTTGTATTGAATTTGATTCCAACAAAAGCTTTAGAAATGTTGGGATAGGCAGGGTCATGTTTACAATTATGTTACAGTAACACTCAAGTTAATCAACATTTAATTTTGGAAACCAAAGAGACCAGAGTTTTAAAGGTGAAATATTGTCTCACCCATGACTTAAAAATGGTTTTATTTGCTCAACACTATGGGGTCTCCCATCATTGTATTTTTTGTTACATAATATACCATATATTTTCTGCACTGCAGGCAGGCCAGTTTTGCACCCTGACTCTTCCATTTTATATATGCTGTTGTAATACTTAAAGAATGTGGTTTGGCATTGTCCAATCAAGGTCTGTACTGAAAATGCATTGTCTGGATGGCAGCAAACAGTATGTTGGTCGAAAAACCTGTACACATTGTTCAGTGTCCTGTTTTATTCAAGAAGTCTTCACTTCTAGCACACATAGTTTAAACTGAAACTACGAACGTAGTGTCCCTTTACGGATAGTTACAGTGTAGAACCATATGTTAAGTATTATTTAAAACAAAGATCCCTCTGTGCACAATTACATTCAACAACACTACCATAAACTTTAGAAACATGCAGATTCAATGCTACTGCAGAGGACAGAGTTTGTTTATTAAGTGAATTTGGTGAAATTAAAAATTCACCATGAATTGTTGATGCTCACAAAGCAGGAGAAGGACATAAAAATGTATTATGGCGTTTCCAAGTATCAAGAAGTGGAGTGAGAAGTATCATCAAGAAATTCAAGGAGAGCCACACAGCACAAGTCTGGAAGAGGTAGGAAGCGAAAAATTTCAAATAAACTGGAAAGAAAACTGGTGGGAGATGTGTCTAAACAACCCAGGACAACCACCAAAACAGAAGTTGGTGACTTAGCCAAGTCAGGAATTGTGGTGTCAAACAAGACAGTCTCTAGAGCCCTGAACAGAAATGGACTGCGAGGATGCAGGCCAAGAAAAACTCCACTTCTACAAAAGAGACACCTTCAAATCAGACTGAGGTATGCTAAGGACAATCTGGAGAAAGACTGTGAATACTGGAGATGTGGTCTTTGGTCAGATGAGACCAAACTAGAGCTCTTTATTCACAGACATTGCTTATGTTTGGAGAAAGAAGGAAGAGGCGTATAACCCCAAGAACACTGTCCCCACAGTTAAACATGGTGGTTGGAGCATCATGCTGTGGGGATGTTTCAGTGTATCTGGAACTGGGAATCTTGTCAAGGTTGAAGGAATAATGAAGAAAGAAGGATACGTGAAGATTTTGAAAGAAAACCTGAAGGAGTCAGCAGCAAAACTGGGTCTGGGTCGTCACTTTGTCTTCCAACATGACAACGACCCAAAACATGCAGCACTCCTGGTGAGGAGCTGCCTCCAGGAAACCAAAGTGAACGTTATTGACTGGCCTGCACAAAGCCCTGACTTAAATCCCATTGAAAATCTGTGGGCTGAACTGAAGACCAGGGTCCATGCTAGAAGACCATCAGATCTGGAGGAGCTTGAAAGATTTGCCAAAGAGAAATGGGCTGGGATTCTTCAGGAGATGTGCCAGAGCCTTGTTACAAACTACAGCAAACGACTGCATGCTGTTATCCAGCAAAAAGGACACACAATTGACTATCAGCCTCAGGGGGGCTAATATTTTTGACCCTGGTAGTTTTTGGTTTTTGTGAAACAATTTTGTTTCTGTGTGCAAAGTAAAATAATGTTAGGATCCAAAATAAAACTAGGATGTTTGAAAAAGCTGTGTAAAAAAATCATTCATCTGTTGAACAGCACTTCGGAAAAAAACTTCAAATTTCATAGGGGGGGCTAATAGTTTTGGCCTCAACTGTAAATTCAATCAATTTGGATGCAGTAAATAGTCTTTAGCATCTCTTTTCTTCTCTCAGGTCTGTGGGCAAAAGAACAGATGGTCATTCCATCCAATTTCACTGTCACGTTCAGGGGTGCTAAAGGATCTGCTTTACAGCTCCTGTGGTCTTATAGATAGATAGATGGATAGACTGACTGACTGATGGATGGACGATAGATAAAAAGATGAATGGATGAATTGAAGCAATTTCTTTCTTTCAATCGTCTTGCCAAATGGACTTGTCTTTGTTTTGAATTTATTGTGGTGTACCGCTAGGATCTATTTTCAGCCCTCCTTTTTTTTGTAAATCTCAACCCTGTTAGATTTTTATCTCCTAGCTCACCTCTCCTATGCAGATGATATGCAGCTGTGTGTTCCTCTGCCCCAGCAGCTTGAATAAGCAAGTCACTTTTCTCATAGATTTCAAATGCTGGATATTTTGACAAAGAAAAACTAAAATCATCAGTTTCTTACACACTTGTCCCTTCAGCCTTCAAGCTCAGTTCCACACAGCCATATCACACTGAAAGCAAAAAATCTGATGCATGTCTTAGTTTTGAAGCCCAAATTATGTCCAATTGCAATACATCCATCATAATAATATCATTATTTTCCAGAAACGAGAAAAAAGGAAACATGAGAAGATCCTGAGTGAGGAACTTTACCCGGCTGTGATCAACCTGAATCAGTTTCTCCCCCCAGACAACTGCATTGATTACATTGCCTGGGACATGGCACGCTACACAAAGAGGTATTGTCAATAAAGTTGCCAATGTTTAAAGATAGTTTAAATTTTCAAAATTAGACAAGGGACAACTTTTATCGCACAAGATTAGATATAGATGGTTTAGATCTAAACACAGTAAAGCAAAGGACTTTTAAGTAGCCTGTGTGTAGATTTAAATGCAGCAGAAAGTGGCGGGGTTATATGGCACTTACTATACCTGAGTATGAATGAGTGCAAAACTTTTTCCCACACTTGAGATTTTAAATCAAATTAGGTTTAAATGAAAGCCTAGAATTCTTGAAATTTTTCAAGATCATCATTTTGAATCAATTTCTTTTTACAGTATTTCTCAATTTCTAAAACACTAAACCCTATTGTCTGAACCAAAGGCTTAGATGATTAAACCAGTCACTCTTTTGGTAAAACCATAAGCACTTTTCACCTGGTTATACACGATTTGCAAACACATTCTCAATTACCTAAACACATTTCGTACTGTGATGCACTTGTGTTGCAAAATTGTAAACACTGGCTGCAACATGTGAAGACAACTCCAACATAGCTGTCATCTTTCACACACCAAAACCTAAAATTGATCACCTCTGAACTGGCCAATAATGTGAGGAAACCAATATAAGCCAGTTCAGAGGGTTGTTTCCCAGTTGACTGATCAGGGAGAATGTGGCCTGTGATGTGGATGAAGTCCTGTGGCCTGACCCAGCATGAAGACATGACACTGTGGCTGAATGATTGTTGATACTGTAAACACTTGAGTTTGAAATTGTAGTTGACACTGTAATGTGCTTCTCATTTATATTTGTTTTTAATTTATTTGTGCTGTATACAGATGCTAAATTCAGAGGATTTCTTTTTTCAAAATTTATTTAGCCTACTGTGAACAGTAATTTCTACAGCTTCATGTCCTGAGCATTGTGTTTTTCATTTTTTTTTCCGTCATGTGTAATGACTGCTCAGTAGTTTTTTTCATTTTGATTGATCTAAAAACACTGTTTGGTTTTCAGCACAGATTGAACTGTTTTTTAGGAGTTTGTTTTTCAGGAAGATTCAGAGGTTTGGTGAATGTATTTCTAAAATTGGGTTTTGAGCTTGTATTGTTGAGAAAAGCATGGTGGATATCAAGAAATGTGTTTTAGCGACTGAGAGAAAAATGCAATAGAACCAAAAAGTACTCCTCCAATCAATGTCAGCATTGTTGTTATGGCGTTATAGAGGTTGGTAAGCTTAGGATCAGGTTTTAGTTTCATTGAACTGAAAGAGAGTATTGGATTGATTCCGCACGTCATTCTCTTGTGACTGCAGTAACATCCCAGATCCATGAAATTTTAACCCTTTCCTGTGTTTTTTTTTACACAGAGTTGTAAGCACAAATGTACTCAGTTTGGCTTTGCTCAGTTTTGTTATGCCTTGAAAAAGCATGATTTAAGCATATTACAAATAACGAGATGTATTGCATGGTATCACTTTGACTCACGCACAGCTGCAGAAACACAACATATTGGCTTTGGTTTCTTGAACAGCGTATGAATCTCACCCCTCTTTCTCTCTCTTTCTTAGTAAGCTCTGCAACGTTCTGGACCGCCTCAGCATGATAGCAGAGAACGTAGTAAAGCGAACAGGTTTCTTCATTAACCGCTCTGACTTCTACTGTCACACCCTCAGACCTGATGAAAGGTGAGCCTTTTTATCTTGTTCCAGACTGCTTCAGTGTCTCTCCTAAAAACTGACGTGCACAAAGCATTTTTAAGCTTTGTCATGTTGGGTGCAGCAACTACAGCATTACATCTCATATGAAACTGAAATGAAGCTGAGTCAGTGTTTGCTCATGAATCACCCTTTGGCGTCTAGTTTTTGATAAATAGTATAACTAAAAGAAAGAGGAAAAAGTAGCAGATAGTGCACTAGTGATGGAAGAAAAAGGGAAGAAAAAAGCAAACCTTATCCATTTTTCTTTTAATACATATTCAGAATCACACGTTTATTGACACTGCTTAATTTTGCCCCCCCCCTCACATGATTTCCTAATGGAAATTGTACCCGATGGCTGTTGCGTCTCACAGAGTTTTCTGCTAATGAGCTGAGTAGATTGCCGTCCATGTACTTAATGCATGGCTCTTCCGTTTTTAGCGTGTCTTAATCTCTTTTACCCGACATTACGTCTTTGTTACATAACCCAACGACCACACAGTGGCCAGTATTTATTATCCTCCATTTGTGTTACCCAGCGCTATCTAACACTCTTTGTTCTACTCTGCCACTTCACACTCCCGCACATGTGCTGTCATACACATACAGGACAAAAACCTTGATAAGCTCCAATGTACAGTAGCAGCACTTCAGTAATGATAGCATCTGAAGTCTTCATCACTTGCAATTGTTTTGGTGAATAATGAAGATAGTACAGTAAATGAGGGAATTCAGAACATTGTGGTCTCCTTTCCATACCCATTCCTCCTCTCCACCTTGCTTATTTTCTTATCCACATACTTAAACTATATTTTTACCTTGAGAGTTTTGCACTTAACTCTAAAACCAGCCCTCCAAAGATTTAATTGTTCACCTGAACAGTTATTCCCATTTTGCAAATTACTTCAAAATTGAAGTGATGGAAGAGAGTATTGATTTTGAATTGAAGCAAATGACAAACAAAAGAACCCAAAAAACTACTATAGCCTTGCTTTGTATCTGTGTTTGTAACCTGCTACTCCTTTTTCTGTAAAGAGTTGGATGCAGATATAATTGGATATCAAGTTTTCAATCAGTATGCTTATCATAATGCTATATCCAGCTTCTCGTGAGCGAAGCTTGACTGGGTAAAACTGCAAATATGGCTCTGTACAAAAAAGTATGAAAATCGACACTTACCAGTGCCAATAAAGGTTACGTAGTGGAAAGGTCATGAGCCACTCACCTTTTTTTTGCTCTTTTCCATTTTTTTTTAACTCCAGTGTTTAAAAAACAGGACAGTCACTGCTACATATTGCCACCTCTGCCCACCATTTAGCCTTTGTTACTACCTCCGAGAGAGGATTAGAGGTCAAAACAACATCAAACATCAGTAGTCTCTGACCTCATCAAGCTGTATGCCAAACTAGGCTCCTAGCTGCCAGCGTAACTGTTAGTTATTTATAAGAATGGAGAGCTGTTCACTCCAGACTTTCTAAATGTGTAGACAAAGCATTCATTTCCAAAGTATACCTCAGATCAGGATGTGTAAAAATCCTCTGGTAAGCATAGCTGTCTGTACTTATACCACTAATGGATCGCTCTGTATTTGGTCGTCTGGACTATATGTGTTTATTTAATCAATTATATTCAGCCTTGGAAAGAATCATGTCTATATTTGTAGAAAAACATGAAACAAGAGTGCAGAAGAAAACATGTGCGATGTGCACTTTGATGCTGTATTCTGTTTCCAATGTTCTGTTCTGTAAGCTTAATGAACTGTTTTTCTTGTATTTTTCAGGTGGGGAGATTTAGGTGGACATGTCACAGCTAGTGGACGGGTGCAGGTAGGCAGCATAGTGAACAAGTTTGGTTTAACTTTAGTGTTTTGGGAGGGGGTTAGTAGTCTGTCCAGTTACAGACTGCCACAGAAAAAAACACTGTAAAGCAACAGAAGTGTTTATAAAGAGAGCCATAAAAAAGAGATTGATAAAACCTCACATCAAACCATAGCAGTGTAGTTTCATAGCCAAGGTAAAAGCTATTGTATATAATGTGTGTTTGAAATTAGCATCACACTCTATTGCTGCAAAACTAAATATTTACCTGAATAAAAAGAGGTTTTATATGTCTTTAATGAAAACCTTCATCATTCATCATTTGATTGCCTCCTCTTAGAAGGGTAAAATATGCTCTGTCTACTACCTTTTTATATAGGTCTTTTCTTATATACATTATCTGATATACTTTGGATAACAAAGTGGTGTCAATGAATCTTATAAGTCTTGGTTATTGTAGACTGGTGTGTTACGGACCAACTGTGTGGACTGTCTGGATCGGACAAATACTGCCCAGTTCATGGTGGGAAAGTGCGCACTGGCCTATCAGCTTTATGCACTGGGGATGATCGACAAACCCAAACTCCAGTTTGATACAGATTGTGTCAGGTAATGTGTCATACAACCAAAAACACCTAAGTCATATATCAGGGCCAGCTTTCAACTGAACTCTGTATGTGTGTGTAAAACCCAGGTTGTTTGAGGAGCTCTATGAGGACCATGGAGACACTTTGTCACTACAGTATGGTGGCTCCCAGCTGGTCCACAGGGTCAAGACATACCGCAAGATTGCTCCCTGGACACAACACTCAAAGGACATCATGCAGACACTGTCACGCTACTACAGCAATGCTTTTTCAGGTATGTTACACAGACACAGCACAGGTGCAAATCGGCTTCTCTTACAAACTGTGCAACATGAGATGCTGTGATTTGTTAGTTATGTTACACCAAAACTCATATACTGTATTATATAAATCCATTACACACAGGCTGATATATTTCAAGTGTTCATTGATTTATTAATTTATTTTTATTTTGATTATTGTAGTTTAAAGCCAATGAAACCAAAATTTAGAATCTCAGGAAATTAGAATATTGTGTAGAAGTTCAATACTGGAGACTCATGGTGTCACTCTCTAATCAGGTAGGTAGTTTGAAACACCTGCAAGTAGTGCTGGGCGATATGGAAAAAAATGTATATCACGATATGGATCATTTTATATCACGATAACGATATATATCACGATATAGCTATGGTATGCTTTCAGTTCTATGAAAAATTTAAGTGTATACAGCTGCACTAGTACAGTACCAGTACAAGACCAGCACTTAAAACTAGAAAAATGAATAAATAAATATGTGGCTGAAGCGCGTTCATGTCTGTGGTCACCCAAAGTTATGCAACACTCACAGAAAACCCCGATAGTGTGAGCCAAAGCACTCCATAATAATAATAATAATAATAATAATAATAATAATAATAATAATAATAAATTTAATTTGTAATGCACTTTACATTTACAAAAAATCTCAAAGTGCTACAGTACACAGTAAAAAAAGAGCAGCAACAATAAAAAAAGCAATAGAATGACAGTCACAGATTAGCATAAAAAAAGAATTGAAAAAAATAAAAAATATAGAGTTGCAATGTTAGAGGCAAGGTAGTAAAAGCATAAAGCATAGAGGAAAACTAACCAAAGGCTTTATTAAAAAGGTAGGTCTTTAGGACTCTTTTGAAGAGGTTGTTCCCACTGCTAGATGTTTCTCCTCCAAAGCTGCTCTCTGCCTCCATCATTGTTTACTTTACTCTTGAAGCACGTAGCAAGACCCGAGCATGAATCCGAGCGCTTTATTCGCCTATCAGGGGCAGACAGGTAAGGTGATTTGATTCGCCACGACTCCAGAAATGATTGAAAAACTACAGAATGTCACAAAATTACGTTTCCTCGCTGCTGGCTTGAAGGGTAGAAATGCGCAGCCGCGTTCCCAGCTGACAGGAAGTCAAACCACTGTTGTAGTTCTTTTGTGTTGCTAGCGCGGTCAAGAGTGTTGGCTCTCACTGAGAGATGACTACAAAAATGGACGCACCTATTCATCTGGTTGTTAAACACGGCTGAAAATAATCATCTTTTAATGTTGTTCCCGCTCCTGCCCACTCCCGTTGCTTTTTTTGCCGTCCCGTCCCGATCAAGGGATTAATAAAAAAATGACTCACATCCCGTGGGATTCCCGCGGGAATCACGTGACCCACGGGAATTCCCCAAAAATGTCATCCTCTACAGGGATGGTCCCGGAGCAGATGAAACAGGTGCCGGAGCGGCTGAAATAGGTCCCGGGTCCGATCAAAAGAGGTCCCGGATCGCGCTCCGACTTGCTCCGGCACAAATTAAGCACTGCTTACAACGATCCCCTCACGTGTGTAACCCAGGTAACCCGCAACGGCGGGAGACGCTGGACACGAAGAGGGCACGTAAAGCGGCGTCATGTCGCAAAATCGAAAGAGAAATGCGAGCCTACATGTCAACGCATCCTTTTCTTTGTAAGAAAATATTGTTTTCTTTCCCGTTCGACACCAAATACACTTACTGAATGTGCAATTATTGTTGTTGTTACTATGAATCATCTGATGGCACAAGCCCTATGGATAAAATACAGCCTATCGCCCGAAACGATAAAAATAAAAATGGCACGATAGACATTTTCTATCGTGCCCACGATATCTATCGTCCTATCGCCCAGCACTACCTGCAAGGGTGTCATGGGTCTGTAAGTGATCTGTCACTCTGGATCAGACGACCACACATAATGGGTAAGACTGTGGACTTGACAGTTGCCCAGAAGACCACCATTGACACCCTGAACAAGAAGGGTAGGACCCAAAAGATAATTGCTAAAGAAGCTGACTGTTCACAGAAAGCTGTATTCAAGCACATAGATGGGAAGTTTAAAAGAAGGAAAAAATGTGGTAGAAAAAGGTGAACAAGCAACATAAATTTAGTTTATTTAGTTTATTCACACACATCACAATATATATTTCACAGATATACATATATATACATACACATTACATATACATACTGTACATAGACACATGTACACTGGAAATTTCTCAGTGACTGGATGTGTGGAAAGTTTGACCCCAAGGAAGCTGGATAACCACAGCCTTGAGAGGATTGTAAAACGAAGCCCATTCAAGAATGTGGGGGAGATTCACAAGGAGTGGACTGCTGCTGGAGTCAGTGCTTCAAGAGCCACCACACACAGACGTATCCAGGTCATTAGCTTCAACTGGCGCATTCCTTATGTCAAGCCAATCTTGAACCAGAGACACTGTTGGAGGGGTCTTACCGGGGCTAAGGACAAATAGAACTGGCAACAATGTTAAAATGAAAACACCTCCATAACATCTCAGCAGTACCACAGACTGATTGACTGACTGTCAATCAGATTGCCACACTGCATTGCTGCAGTAATCCATGCAAAGAAGCCCCAACCAAGTATTGAGTGTAGTACATGCACATACTTTTAGTAGTCCAATATTTCTCTGTTGAAAATCCTTTTTTCTTATTAGTCTTTAGTAATATTAAAATTTTTAGATTTTTTTTTCACATTAATTGTAGGTTATGATCACCAAAGACAAGAAATAGACACTTGAAATATTGCAGTCTGTGTGATGAATCTATATAACATACGTTTTTAAAACAAAATCTAATAACTGAATTCAATCAGCTTTTTGATGATATTCTAAATTATTAGGTTATGTTTCGCATTTTTAAAATTTGAATTCATCCGTTTTTTTTTTCATCTCCAAACAGATATTTCTAAGACATTTGATATTGCCTTTTGTTCTTCATTCAGATATTGGTGGAACATGGAGAACTGATATTTTTTCCGTGTCTTCAATTTGAAACGTACATCTCATGCCAGTCAGTGCTTGATAGAGTGGCTGCTACCTGCATTCTTGTGATTTTAATGATACCCTTACATAGATAATATATAAGTATATAGAGTGCAGCTATATGTGTATGACTGTACACATTCGTCAGAACTCCTGAGTACATGTTCCACATCAAAGGGTGTTGCTTGTATTCAGGGGACAGAGAGGAAGGCTATTGTTAAGTCAGAGGTAATAGCACTAAACCTCTTGACCTAGTAAGTCTCAAACCCCACTGTCCCTTTGTTTTAGCTCTTGTCTTCATCTTCTTTTCAAAATGAGGTCAATGGTGAGCTGCATATCACAGCTGGAAGAGTGGTAGATTGTCTGACATGTCAAGTTGACAGGTAGTCAAATGGTAGCCAAAAGTACTCAATATTCCTTGTACTTATGCTCACTCAATAGAGCAAAAGAGTGTAATAAAGGAAAGGAAAAGTAAGACACTACAAGCTGGTGTCAGATGTCAGCCTGACCTGTTTGTAGCACAGCACCATTTCATCCATTTACTCCTGATTACCTTTTTATGACACAAGACACCAAGGGAATAGATTATCTATCTATCTATCTATCTATCTATCTATCTATCTATCTATCTATCTATCTATCTATCTATCTATCTATCTATCTATCTATCTATCTATCTATCTATCTATCTATCTAAACATAAAACTATCTTCAGTTTGAATTGTCATCATTGGAGTAATATGTACAAAGCAAGAGGCAAACAAAGAATCCCACACTAAGTCTATCACTTACAGTCCTCATGCTTATGTGGGAGAAAACTCTTTCAAGAATGCATTAGAAACTGTGAAATCCATCAATGAATTGTTGCATTAGTTTGTTAATTTTGACGAATTAGTTTACAACAAAACTTGGTAATAATAATTAAAAAAAGCCAAATATTATATGCAACAAGACAAACATCAACAACATGGCCAGCAATGGGAAGACAGAAGAGTAAAACACAGCAAAGGGGAAACAGAGTAGAAAGAGTATGAGCAAAAAGATGCAAGAAACGGAAGTAGATGAAAATAGGAAGGGGTGAAAGCAAGTGAAAGAAACAAAACAAATAAAAGCAACAGAAACAGCTTAAACATTCTCACTGCTATGGAACAGATATAGGCGGTATTGGCTGAGCGAGATTGTGTTGGTTCGTTCTACTTCAGTGGGGCAACATAAACTGTGATTCATAAAATAGCTCTATTGATAGTAAGTACTAAAAAAAAATATCTACTCATGCCATCCGGTCGATTTTTTGTAATCAGTGTTTCGGTGTCGAACTATTTCCTTTCTGCGGCGCAGTGATACTTGCACATGCGCAATCGAATATGCAGAGGGGTGAAGCGATTTTTGTCACGTGGACCAATAGGAGCCGAGTCTTGTTGCCATAGTATCAGAAATACACAAACATGACGACGAGCGCATCTAGCAGCGAGACAAGCGAAGAGGTTAGAAAAGAACAGGAAAAAAAGAAAACAGCCTTCAAAAGTGCATGAAAAAGGAACGAAACAATGCTATATGCATCTATCATCTGTCCAGAGTGAAGACGTTCTCGACTTTACAAGGACATGTTGGGAAACTTACAGAACAAGTATTAGAAAGTGGCTTTCTCTACAGGGTGAGGCAAAGATCCTTGCAGAAACTTATAAACACAGGTCGGTCGGTCGGTCAGTGGTCTGTTGTAAAATAAAACAGAAAACGGCTTCATCGGATATGGTTGATAGGTGTTAGCTAAAGAAATAGCCTGTTATTACAGTTTCCACAAAAAATATTCACAATAAAATAAAAAGTTAGCAGGTTGAGATTTTTTGTCAAAAGACACTCCTGAAGCGTGTAAAGGGAAATATATGAAAAGACTGCTTTGTCCACAAAGGGTGCCACAACTGAGAGTTCCTTATAGGAGCTTTAATGCACACTAAGTTAAGCTACAGTAAAAGTTTATATCAAAAACTTGGTTTGCAGACATATTTAAGTAAGTATGAAAGGCTTTTCTAAATTAGGTTTTAAGAATAATATGTGTAAAACCTTTGAGTGACTTTTTTTAGAACATAGTTATCAATGAACCATCTGATTTTTATACACAAGGGTAGGAACTTAAGAGTTAATATAGTCAGATACAACATGATACCCCAGTGCCTGTTACCTGATACTTGATGCACTGCTCATGATACCAATGTTCTGCAGTACTTAATAAATTGCAAGTTAGCCATAGAATTACAGAAGTGACATGCTGAGTCAAATTTGTATTTTCACTTATTTTTTTCAGTGCAGAGTCTTAACATTTTATATAGAATATGATAAAACAAAGGATACAGAACATTCAGGTCATCAAGGGAGATGAGTTTTGGTGTCTCAAAGAGAAACAAACATATAAAAATATTACTCATGAGTGGGAGAAAGTGTTAAAATACATAAATCAATCAATAAAGGAAATGCGTGTGAATGTGTGAGAGAGAGCAGGACAGGCCTGGATGGGAGTCTCGCCAGAGAAAGTCTATTTCATCTACAAAACCTACATCTACATCATCGACAAAAAAGTTTGGAAATAGTGATAAACATAAATAAAAACAGAATACAATGATTTGCAATCCTTTTTAACCTATATTCAATTGAATACACTACAAAGACAAGATATTTCATGTTCAAACTCATAAACTTCATTTTTTTATTTGCAAATAATAATTAACTCAGAATTTCATGGCTGCAACACGTGACAAAGTAGTTGGGACAGGGGCATGTTTACCACTGTGTTACATCACCTTTCCTTTTAACAACACTCAATAAACGTTTGGGAACTGAGGAGACTAATTGTTGAAGCTTTGAAGGTGGAATTCTTTCCCATTCTTGCTTGATGTACAGCTTCAGTTGTTCAACAGTCCAGGGTCTCTGTTGTCGTATTTTATGCTTCATAATGCGCCACACATTTTCAATGGGAGACAGGTCTGGACTGCAGGCAGGCCAGTTGAGTACCCGCACTCTTTTACCAAAAAACCACGCTGTTGTAACACGTGCAGAATTGGCTTGGCATTGTCTTGCTGAAATAAGCAGGGGCGTCCATGAAAAGACATTGCTTGGATGGCAGCATATGTTACTCCAAAACCTGTATGTACCTTTCAACATTAATGTTGTCTTCACAGATGTGTAAGTTACCCATGCCCTGGGCACTAATGCACCCCCATACCATCACAGACGCTGGCTTTTGAACTTTGCGTCGATAACAGTCCGGATGGTTCTTTTCCTCTTTGGCCCGGAAGACATGATGTCCACTATTTCCAAAAACAATTTGAAATGTGGACTCATCAGACCACAGAACACTTTTCCACTTTGCATCAGTCCATCTTAGATGAGCTCGGGCCCAGAGAAGCCGGCAGCGTTTCTGGATGTTGTTGATAAATGGCTTTCGCTTTGCATAGTAGAGTTTTAACTTGAACTTACAGATGTTGCAACAAACTGTTTTTACTGACAGTGATTTTCTGAAGTGTTCCTGAGCCCATGTGGTGATATCCTTTACACATTGACGTCAGTTTTTGATACAGTGCCGCCTGAGGGATCGAAGGTCACGGACATTCAATGTTGGTTTCCTGCCGTGCCGCTTATGTGCAGTGATTTCTCCAGATTCTCTGAACCTTTTGATGATATTATGGACCCTAGATGTTGAAATCTCGAAATTCTTTGCAATTGTACGTTGAGAAACCTTGTTCTTAAACTGTTCGACTATTGCTCACGCAATTGTTCACAAAGTGGTGAACCTCGCCCCATCCTTGCTTGTGAATGACTGAGAATTTTTGGGGAAGCTGCTTTTATACCAAATCATGGCACCCACCTGTTCCCAATTAGCCTGCTTACCTGTGGGATGTTCCAAATAGGTGTTTGATGAGCATTCCTCAAATTTCTCAGTATTTTTGCCACCTTTCCCAACTTCTTTGGCACGTTACAGCCATGAAATTCTGGGTTAATTATTATTTGCAAATAAAAAATAAAGTTTATGAGTTTGAACATTAAATATCTTGTCTTTGTAGTGTATTCAATTGAATATAGGTTGAAAAGGATTGCAAATCATTGTATTCTGTTTTTATTTACATTTATCACACTTTCCCAACTTCAATGGAATTGGGTTTTGTACATAGGTAATGGGGCCAGTTTTTTTTTTAAGGTAGGACTGTAAGACACTAATATGATAGAGGAAAGGTGTCTGAGCAGTGATGTCCAAAAGAAAGTTCCCGGAGGCAATGTGACTCACTCCCAGGGCTCTATTTTGGTGCCTCGCCGGAGACGTGCCTCAAGCGCAGTGTCAGTCAGATCCGCCGCGCTGACTAGGCGTTCCCAAGTACATTTTGGTATTTTGGTGAGCCGCGCAGCCCGGCGTAAGTATCCCCCCTCCCTAACTCAGCTCCTCCCAGCACCATAAGTCGTAGACGGGGAGGAGAGAGGGCGTGTAGTGTCTTTAACACAGCCGAGACCTGTTTTCACCAATCACATAAGCTCCTCTCCTTGCCTTTAAATCCGCCACAGGCGAGACGTATTACTATTTTCATGAAGTAGTCAAAGAGATCAAGAGATGTCTTAAGACAGTAATGCCACAAGATGGCAGCTCCTCAACAAGTGTCCTCCACACCCTCTCATATAAGCACAGATGGATTTGGTGTGTGTAATGTTGGACCCAGTGTTAAGACAAACACCCTTTTCCACAAATAAAGACACTCAAATAAAGTTGCTCATATTCAAACCTCACGTGACAAAGGTGGGTTGAGCGCACAGATCACAACAAAAACTCCAAAAATGGCATTAAAATCGGAACCATCTGTGCGTAAATGACGCATCGCGCTCCGTGGCCTGGCTCTGTCTTTCATAGATGTTGGCATATAAAATAAATTTGGCCCACAAAACTGAATATTATAATATCCGTATGTCGGCTTTAAGTAGATAACGCATCTGAGCACTGAAACAAATCATCTGTTCAGCCACTGCAGCAGCAGCAAGACGGACAGAGGACACGGAGACGTGTCCAGGTCGAGCTGTGCGAGAAATAAGAGGAAGAGGAAGAAAGAAAAGGAGGGAGACGAATTACATATCTTGTTAACTTCATCATGTGTGTATATTTACTAGATATTTAAATTAATTTGATGCGGTTTCAGCTGTGTTGATTCGGTCAGGTTGTGTGTCCAAACGCGTGCCAAACGCCCTCATCAGATCAGATATAGATCAGAATATATCGATATAGATCTAAATGTATGTGCTGACTCAGATTAATAGTTGATGATGATTATTTATTGCACTGAAATGTGCCTGACACTGTGGAAACCTGTCGGTGAGGCATCAGTGACGTATGTCGATACGCCGCCGGTCTACCAAAATACTACTGGACCAGCTGCGTTCCGCCTTGCGCTGAAAGCTGACCAGGTTTGAATCAGCGAGCTTTCAGCGCACGTTACACGCCAGTGGCGAGCACGAAAATATCACTGCGCCAGCTGATTCTGTCAACACCTCCCCCTGCCATGCCACCACGCCCAGCTTGGCGGATCTCGGCTCGCCTCCGTGCGACTCAGTCCACGAAAATACCAAACTCGCCTTACGCCGGGCTCCGCCAGACGAAAATACAACTGCGCGGGGCTCGCCGCCCTCCGCCGCCTCACCGGCGCGATCGAAAATAGAGCCCCCAGTCTTAAAACACTAGGTGTCAATAAACTTCAGCATAGAGAGTAAACGCAGGAGAACAAACAAGACATGATTCTATACCATTTTCATATTTACATATGAGAACCACCTTGACCAATACTTCTCGGCTTTATGATCATAGAGTCTGAGGGAAAAGGTCAGTATTTCCATTTTGTATATTTCTTTTACAGTGGCTGTCCACTCTCTCACTGTTGGTGGCTCCCCGTTAGGCCATTTCCTTGTTACTGATTTCAGGAGTATTTTCAGAAGGTACTTGTCATAGGGATTGAGTTAGGTTGGTAAATTACACAAATATACAGTTTTCAAGTCACACTCAGTTTTAAAACCAAGAATTGACTTTATTTCTTCGAGTACCTCTAGCCAAAGGTTGGATTACTGGGCAGCCCCAAAAGATATGACAGTGGTCCGCCAACACATAGTTATGCTTTTTTCCCAAACAGTTCCCACTTTCAGGTCTGCCAGTTTGTAGGTATGCTCTTTTTGGGGTTGTGAAAAACCTGATAATTTATGTGAAATTCCCTCTACTGCCCTGAACTAGTGGAGGAGGAGTTAACTTGATGTACACTTAGCCACTCATCCTCTGTCAGTGTTATTTTTAGTTACATTTAACATAGTAAGTTGTTTTTCTAGGTTTGCAGGCATACGGAAATTCTTGAAACCACTTTTGTTGAGTCAAATTTAATGGGTGACCATAGACTGTATATAGAATGGACAGCTTCTGCCTCCTTGATGGGTGAAGCCACTCTGAGAACAGCACACTCTAGTGACAGGCTGCAGTATAGGTCATAAATCCCGCCTCTGCCAGCAAAGCTTATGGAGTTGTGGGCAAACTTTAGAAATTTATTACACAGAACATATGTAGTTACTGTAAGACTGGTCTGTGCTCAAGTCCTCTTTTTTCTCTACAGCTATATTTATAAAAGTTATGAGGGGTTCATGTTTTTCTATGATTGACACTTGATACAGCTTATGGGCGTACGAAGATTGCGTAGCTCACCCGAGAGATATGCTGTTTGAGCCGAGCGTCATCACAGCGACTCTCTGTGACTCTCCCACCGAATGCATTCAACTCTACTTCGCAAGTGGTGGAGTGTGTACAATGCTACTGCATAAGTGGTGGTTTCAGGAAATAGAGAAAAAACGTGGAATTACAGAGAGCTTTTTGGCTTCAAATCCATATACTGGTAGAAGGCGGAACCAAGTTGTCCATAGTATATAGAGTCTATGAGGGTGACCTGCTTAGATAGCTGTATTATTTTTAAATTTAACATGCCAGTGCTACAGTCATTTGACTTGCATGGGTTGGAATGATATATCGCTGTGTTGATATTTTGTCCTACCCCCATTTATTAGTGCATACTCACTAATCATCCTTATCCACAGTGAATGATGTATGCTTTTGCATCCCTGCCAAGCTCTCTGACAGCTCTTGTCTGATTCACAACCACAGTTTGTACACACAAACATAAAACACTTTGCCATATGCTCTGCAGTCCACTTAAGTGCAGATTTGAATCACTGTTTTGATGAAACCGGTTAAGGGGGAGAGAAGTGTTATAAACTAACGAGACCTGTTGACAAATCTCTGAGATGCATTTACCAAACAGGCTGTGAGAGAAAAGTTTTTGCTGACCACCACCGTTCCCAATATGAATAATGTTCACAGATTAGCCAAAACTCTTATCTTATGATGTGATCACTGAATCCCAGGCTGAAAATTACCCAGAGAAAAGGTTTAGTGGCAGGCTCTAACAGAAGGCAATTTAGTAAGTAATTATCTAACGTGACTGTTGGAGCTGCACACACGGGGCCTCACAGTTGGGGGATGGATTAAATGGCACCGAACTGGGCATCATGCAAAACACGTGCCACATGCTGAACACACAAACACTCCCAGAGATTATCCAAGCACGCTTCGAAAGACAAACATACTGTAGTGTGGCGGTTCAGAGAGTTTTTCCTGGTTAGGTGAAGTGTGACTGTGTCTCGTGAAAGTTCTTGTAATGGAGGAGTTTGGTGTGGTGGGTAGTGTAGGGTAATGTATAGCACAAACTATACTGAACAAAAATATAAACGCCCATTGTCAAATATAAGAGTTTTATGAACATTTGGGTTATGGTATATGGAGAAACTCAAAATATATTTTCAGTAATTACTGATCTTCATATTGGCATTGATAACATCGTGGTATGGCCATTTGTAGCGGATTGACAGTCCTTTAAACATGATAGGGGTCAGGTTGAGGAATTTGATTTTTCAGTTTCTTGTGTGTCCACCAGCTGCGTCTCTCAGAGCAACACATCTTCTTCGCATGGAGTTGATCAGATTGTATATGGTGGCCTTTGGAATGTTATTCCATTCCTCCTGGAGTGCCACACGGAGCTGACCCACATTGCCTGGAACTGGAACACGGTCCCGGACACGCCTATCCTGTACATCCCAAAGATGCTCTATTGGGGACATGTCTGGCGAATATGCAGGCCAGTCCAGAACTTCAATGTCATCTGTTTGAAGGAATTCCATGCAGATGCGGGCAACATGAGGTGGGGCATTGTCATGTTGAAAGGTGATGGCATGCTGGCGCACAACAATTGGGGTGAGAATCTCGTCCCGATAACTTGGTGCATTAAAATTTCCCTTCAATGAAGTGCAATGGTGTTCTATGCCCGTATGTGATGCCTGACCACACCATAATGCCACCACCTCCATGGGCAACCCTGGGCATAACATTCGCATCTGCAAACCGTTCACCCATGCGTCGCCAGACACGCTGTCTTCCATCTGCACGATACAACTGGAACCTGGATTCATCCGTGAACATCACTCTTCTCCAGTGTGCCAAGGGCCATCGGACATGTGCATTCGCCCATGCGAGTCGGTTCCTATGCCGGACAGCAGTGAGATCTACACCACGGTGAGGGTCTTGTGCTGGAGTGGTCACACGTGGCCGACGAGGATGAGGTCAATTTGTAGTAGTGCCCGTTTGTTGGAAATGAACTCTTAAATGGCCTATGGTCCGATGATGGACATTGAGCCGTGCAGCTACTGCTCTGGTGGACATCCCTACATCCAACATGCCAATGGCACGCTCCCGCATAACTTTGGACACCTGAGGCATTATGACTATGAAATTTGACATTTTGGGGTGGCCTTTTATTGTCCTCAGTCCAAGGATTGTCCAGCTGCTGCTCATTTTGTCTGATCACCCACTGGACATGCCCCACCCATGCACTGAGTAAAAAACAACTCACTGAGTAATGCTCACTGACAGCAAGTTGGATTAAAAATTATACACAAATCAAGAGAAATATTACTTTTGTACAATAAAATGTCAGCAAATGCTCATTTACAGTTGTTAACTCCACATGGCAACAATATTTGACATGGGGCGTTTATATTTTTGTTCAGTGTAAATACACACCAGAAAAATAGACAAGAACCTTTTTTCTGTGTGAAACCTATTACAAAAAGGAAAATGCAGAGCTGTCAATCATGCATGATTTGGACCGTAAATATAACCAGTTACAACTCATGGTATTCAATCAAAATACTGACACTGTGGCACCAAATGGTCACCTTTGAGATGGTTATTTGCCAGAATATTCTGAACCATTGAAGGCTTTTTCAGGAGCTTTCTAATGCAGTTTTTGAACTCGTGGTCTGCTCGAATAGATAAGATACTGGAGCTTAGACTGCTAAAAATGTTGCACTGGTTTAAATGGTGTCAGAACAGACAGTGCATTGCAATTTCTTATGTATGCGACAAGCCATTTACTTCTCTAAACATCTATATTTTTATACCTGAGCATCATAACTGGACCACATGGTAAAGGAAGGTGGCTAGGGAGCACACTGCAGTTTGAAGTGCTGACTTGGTCTTCAAGTTCTCCAGTTATCAGTCCAAACAAGCATCTGTAAGGTGTGGTGGACAACTGAGTCATAACCACAGAGGCCTGATCTCGTAACTTCCAGGACTTGCTAGCATCCTGTGACAGATACCACAGTAGTTTATTCAGGGGTCTAGTTGAATCTATGTCTTGTCAATTGAGGGCCAAAAACAACCCTGATCTGTCGAGAGGGAGGTGACACAGTATTAGGTGGTCAAAGTGTTATGGCAGATGTTATGGTTTAAAGTCATTTGCACCACTGAAATGCTCTTGGTGACATTTAGTTACACAATCAAACCCCTTTGTTGATGACCTTGCTGGATCATACCCTTTTATAGTCTTTTAAACATTGCATTTTGATTTTTTGTTTCGCTGACTTTTCTGTATGTGTCTTTGTCTCCTCTAGATGCTGACAGGCAGGATGCCATCAACCTGTTCCTCCAGGTCTACCAGCCATCAGAATCCAAACCACACCTGTGGGAGCTGCCTACTGACTTCTACTTACACCAGAGGAACACCATGGCTCTCCCGCAAGACAGACGCAGGTAAACACACACTCCAACTCTAAAACACACAAATATCAACTGTAAACATGCATGAATCAAGTTATGGATACATACAGTATTTGAACAAACACACTGGGGTGCAGCTCAAATATGCATTGATAGATGCAACATCTTTTTCAATTGGTCTTGATAGCTTGAATGTATGTACCCCTGCTTTGCTGTTTTTTTTAAAAAAGCTCAGGGTGTGTAAGACCCCCACAGGGGCTGAGGTTATTCACATGTGCATATGGTTGGATTATTTTATCTTTGATTGCTTTTGTGGTCAAAACTTTGCAATTGAACCTCCTCTTTCACCTGTACAAGGATTGCACAGCTGCGACCTCGAGGTGTAATTATGTGAGTGGCACAGCTGAGGTTTGTTTATCGCTCATGCTGAATGTGAGGGCCACATTGCTGCAGATATTCATATCAAACAGGGTTTGTTCAGTAGCCCTGAAAGCTCAATGTGGCATTTTGAAATAAATGACTGCAATGAAAAAAATTCCACACATTCTGAATCCAATCCAAAGACTGGGATGCTAAAAGCTTTTACACAACTGTGTTTTACCTTCCAAAAATAACACAATTTGGGGAATGTTAAGAAATGGTAAAAGTTTTTCTACATACCCCATCCATATTCTTTATTTCCATTAATTTTCCGCAGGGGGTTAGTTGACTCTTTTAATATTATCAGAGCATTTGCCTTGTTTCTGATTATTTACCAAACTCTTGGTAATCAGGAACCATCAAATCAGAATGTGAATGAGGCTTATGAAGGTTGTTATTAAGTGTACTTCGGTAAATTATGACACATTTGGTGCTATGTTGACATTGTTTGGGAAGGCATGGTCGTCGACATAGCACCAAATGGGTCATAATTTACTGAATGACACTTAATGACAACCTCATTCATGTTAATGACAGGTGTCATGTCATGATTATGACAGCGCAATGTCAGACTTATGTATACCCCTTCAAATGAAGTGTTACCGCATAATTTGAGAATATCAGCACACTGAAATTATCCTCACTTTTGCTTTACCCTGGGATCTTGTTTTCCCTGAATGGACTCCAGTCCTGTTCATTATTGTGCTTTTTACCCAATTACCCAGCTTATAACTGAAGACATAAATAAGCTGACACAAATGATTGACTTTGAGATTTCTTTAATCAAAAAAAAATATATGTAGACAGAGGGGGGAAAAAACACCCTATGGCTGACGCTTCCACTGCACTACTTAACATTTAACTGGACATTTAATTTGTGGTTAAATCATGGTGAAACATTAGTCTGCTCAATTTTTATGTTTCAAATTAGACTGAACATTTCTATTGAAGATAATCTTAGACAGGATGAACAGGACCTCTGCAGGAGTCTTTCTGTCAAAAGCTCTGTCCTCATTCAGCTCTCTTTTTTTCTCAGAGGATTTGCAGCTGACACATCTTTGAATATAAATCACACAAATATCACTGATTTGAACATTGCTGCTTGTATTACTTTTGCTTATTCTGTAATGAAACACAAACAGAGTTGCACTAACCACTTCTGCCTAGATTACAGAACAGGATCCCTGGAGTTTTTTGTTCTCCTAATACATAAAGATAATAGTGAAATTATCTCCCCCCATGTTATTTGGCCTACTGATTTAAAATGCTAACAAAAACATTTTTGCCACAGTGTCTACAGGCAAAATCAGAATGTGCCAGATTGATTTGAGTTTTAATATGGTTGCCCCTAGTGTTGCTTTTGTTTTAAAAATTAATGACCATTGTTATGAGGTTTGATCAATCAGAACTGAGTATTCCTAATACTGCGTTTTGATTTAAGTTATATACAAGTTAAATAAATACTTTATTACATTCATAGATAAGGCTGGTCTATTTTTGAAGCATTCAATTACATTGTATTTATAAGAAGGTAGATTGTTTATGTAGCCATTTTTCTGCCTGAGCTTTAGCCAGCATCAGCCTTTACCCATAATTCACTGACTGATTCGCTGACTTTTGAGTTTCACTTTAACTTGTCATCCATGCATTGTGTTTCTTAGTATTATGGCGCATATTTGTGGGTGTGTACTCTTTTGCAATTCGAACACTCTCCTTTGTCCTCATGCTTACATAAAAGTAGACCCAGTTGTCTGCTACATGCCACTAATTCATGCAGCCACAATGGGCAAAAGTAGGTCAGCCATTATTACAAATAAATTAGCATGGTGGGAATTGAATTCACTTCCAAAGCCACACACTGCGCCTTTGCTGTAAAAGTCACCCTAATAGTTCATCTCACTCTAAATACTAATCAGAGAGTTTATTCAGATTAGCCGTATTGAATAAAAGGATGCTGTGTTCAGGAGCTTTACAGTAGGTGGTCCAATCCAACAATTTTCAGATCTAGGTTATGTTGAGGAGAGGCAGTCTGGACTGCAGAATACATATCAGTCAGTTTACAGTTTCTGTAAGGTTGAAAACAAATTCATGTATTTTTCTGTTTCTATTTTTCCAGCTACACATTTTGGTGGTCAGTGGGAATCCTGTCCTATCTTCCTGTGGCGTATGACGAAGGTATCTATGCAGAATATATTGGTGATAATACTCTCCAAAATCCAAGACATTTCATCAGAATATTTCTTTTACAAAGTAATGCCTTTATTCACTTTTTTAAAACACGAATGAGATTTAGGTAAACTGGGAAGTTTAAGGATTAGGAGTACATAGCATTTCCCACAGTCAGCATTGATGAAAGATCACATTGTAAGGGTCACATTTTTCTGAACTCTCCAACAAACTCCAACAAATACACACCTGAGAAAAGTGTGTTATTCTGTTTGTTTCATGATTTCAGGCTTCCTCTGTCTGTGTGTGGCACAGACTTGTTACATTCAGGCCTTTTCACTAAATGTTTTTGTGTGTCTCCATTCATGTAATCACACATTGATGCAGTCGCCTGTGAGGAGAACATGAAAAAGGTCAAAGTGAAGAGAGTGAACCGCTTTGATGAGAGTATCGACATCTACACTGAATTCTTCAAACCATATGAGCTCACCTCATTTGATGACACTTTCTGCATTGCCATGACTAACTCTGCAAGGTGATTACGCAGACACACAAAACACACACGGATATACAAATGACTTCATGAAAAAGAGATTGTGTGATGTGTGTGATACTGCTTCATCAACAGTGTTGAAGTCAATGACAGTTCATGCAGCGTTGGCTGCTTAGATGTCACAGAATTAGTTTTTAAAAACATTGAAACTATATTTTATTTTACTTTTAATTCTGCTTTTATTTTATCCATTGTTTTAATTGTTTTTTGATTGTTTTTTATCTTGTTGTTTTGTCTAGTTATGTACAGCACTTTGTTCAGCTGTGGTTGTTTTAAAGTGCTTGACAAATAAAGTTGAGTTGAGTTGAGTTGAGAACTCATGATAAGAAACACATAAAATATGGTGTACCAAAGTTTAATTATAGGCTGTTGTTGTGAGAGCACTGCAGGATTTCTGCTAATGGATGTCCTCCTCTTTTTGTGTTGAAAAGGGAATTTATGCCCAAGACAGTAGGAGTGGATCCAAGCCCATTCACTGTGCGCAAACCAGAGGAAACAGGAAAATCTGTGCTTGGGTGAGTGCACAATCTTAGGCTATGTAGATGACCTCATCATTATTATGATGTTTTTGGCATGTAATACATGCAATGTCACAGTGCCCTGGTGCACACCACTTCATCTGACACCCTGTGCTCAATCAACCAAAAACAAGCCTCTGTACCTTCCTCTTGCCTTTGTTGGGAACATACAAAGTTGTTTTTACCTTTGATGAACTGTGTGTGTGTGTGTGTGTGTGTGTGTGTGTGTGTGTGTGTGTGTGTGTGTGTGTGTGTGTGTGTGTGTGTGTGTGTGTGTGTGTGTGTGTGTGTGATCTGTCCTCCACATACATTTTACTGCTTAATTCACAGCTTCTCCTTTGTTAAACATCTAATGGGCTGATGGCTCAAAATTGCCTCCACATAATGGCAGTAAAGCTTGACTGCCAATATGCTACACATGGCTGATCCAATGTTCTGTATGCTTAAGTGTTATCCTTCAAAGATAGTCCTTTATTCCATATAGAACTGCACTGGCTTCCTTAAAGCAGTCTTTAAGGGTCCACTACACCCTAATTGATAAGTGGTTCAAGTGTGTCATTAAAGCTCTCAGGTACCTTAGGTTTGTGATAATTTCAGCATGTGGTGAACCAGACTGTACCTCTTACCTTTTGGCTGCTTTTGTCCTGTCAATGTGCAAGTAGCAGTGAAAAACCTCCTCCTGCTTCCTATTCACATTTAGTCATATCTCTCATTGTGGGTATATGATATGAAAACAAGAAACAGAGGCTGTTCCTGCAGCGTGACTTAGCTGGTTTAGTGCAATCCTGCTGTACTAGTCTCAAGCATTCAAAATGTTATTTAAGCATGAAGTGTCTCCCTTTTGTTGCTAACAGTCTTATTTGCTTTTGTAGTTCATGGAGAAGCAGAAATATACATTTTGGTCTGTTAAATAAAAAACTCTGTCAAACTGAACCTTCAATCAAAATAAGGTGGTAGAGTCAGACATAAGCGGGGGGAAAAATGTCATACTCGTTTTTACAAGGAGTTCCATAACTGTAAAGATATGTGGCTGTCTTGGCCAGGACTCCCATGGAAAATAGATTTTATATCTAATAATAAGAGTTAAATCACATAATATATAAACGTAAGAATCATTTGGTTGGCTGAAGATTCCTCATTAATGTTTGGAAGTGAAGTCAAATCTATTGCATTGTCATCTATGAACGTTTATAACATAAAGTCAGAAAATTTTGTTTTGTTCTAGCTTTTACAAGTATTGCCTAAACTAACAATATGTAACTTCTGATTCCTCAAGACATGAAAAACATCTTTTTTTTTTTTTTTACTTCAGGGACCTCACATTAGCTCATGAATCATGCCCCTAGATGCTCAATGCCACCTCTGGTTTAAGTGCAGTGTATTATTCCCGGTGACATTTTGCATGAATAACAGAACAAGAGGCTTTAATTGAGCCTCCACGGTTAACTATGATAATCGTTTGTGCATCCGACAGACAATTGTGCCAAAAGACAATAAAGGGCTCATTTGGCTGCTCTATTTAGTGTAATTTGATTTCTTTTATTTCTGTAGCACAGCAGCACCTGGCCAAATGACTGCACGATGCCTCAGGTGTGACTGAAATACGTCAGTGGAGGACAGATATACAAAACCAGCACGTGTACACACATGCTTGCACTGACCGACACACAGTACATCTCTATTTTCAGACATCGACTCATCTATTCTCTGAGTCATTTGTCATGGTCACAATAGAAACTTGGTGAGAAACTCAGGGATTTTTTTCTCTCAACATCTTTAAGGAGTTTGTCAAGATCCTCCACCAAGGAGAGCAGTCTTGAGTCATGATTGAAAATAAAATGGTACACTGTAACTGTTATCAGAGGCAAAGAGCTGTGAAGAGCTGTGGCTTCACTAAGACATATCAGAGTACTATTTTTACATCACACCTATAACTCTTTGGAATGAAATGGTAACATCATTAGATTTCTACTTCTTCAGTAAGATAAGATAAGATAATCCTTTATTAGTCCCACAAGGGGAAATTCCAAAAACCTTGTAAACCTGTTCCTTTCGCATGCATGGGATTGAACCCCTTTTTTGAACCCCCTTTTCATTTTTTTTATTTTTTACTTTTTTATTTATTTTTATTTTTTTGGGGGGGGGGTCAGACCATGTCATTTTTAGATTTTCACCCTGTCTGTATGACACTCATCTCCAGGCCTATCATGTATCAGGTGAATAATTGTGTAATTTTTACAACAGCACTAGTCTTGTAAACGTCTTAACCGTGAACTGTGCCCATTGTGTAGACACAGTGTATTCAATGACTTTCCCTTTGGGGATAAAGAAAGTTCTTGTGTTGTGTTGTATCAAAAACCAGCAGAAATCAACAAAGAAAACTAAAGAGGGGATGTGAATTGAGAACAAACCCTTCCCTCCAAATTACACAGATATGTGTGCCTGGTGTTGTATCAGCAGAATGTGTTCTCCACTAACTTAGTTAGGTTATAAAAGACAAAAACACTGACAGCCAATCAATGTACATCCAAGACAAGAAGAAGGAGTGAGACCTGCTGACATAAGTCACATAACAGGTCCTTTTACAGATTTGCTATCAGACCAGAAGAAGGTAGATTACAAGGATCCTCATAGACACAGATCAGCCAAAATCAACACAAACCAAAAGTTCCTTGTAGTTGCTCCTTTATATACATTTGTGTTACACTCTGGTTCCATAACTTACTCTATCAAAGCAATGCAAAATCATCATTATGTAAGCAACTACATCTGACTTTGTTGTTTGGAAGATGAAAGACATTTAATATTTAAACTGGTGAAGTTCTGACCTTTCTCCTGCTGAAAATGTGTGGTGCATTATGACGTATAAAATTTGTTTATGTATCACAGTTAGAATTGGGAAGGGGAGAATAATATCCGAATGTCCTCCACTCTAACACTGTTGTATTTCACCAACCAGAATCTCAAACTTTTGGAGCATTATTTCTAAGTGGGCATTTTCCAAACTGCCATCAAAACCCAAACTACAGGGAATAAGAGGCACATTTTGGCCGGTTTTACAGAAGCCGGCACGTGGATGAAGACAAAGTTTGGACTGGTTGAGGATTGAGCAGTGACTCAGCCAGGCTTTTCTTGGCTGTTTTATGAAACAATTATAGTTGAAGAATAAAGGAGCACTTTAGATTTGTTTGTTTCAGTATTAGTCAGCTCTCTTTGGTGAGGAGCTGAGGAAGCATATAGAGAATTTTCCACTCTGATATAAAAACCACTCCCAACTGCATTTTTATAAAAGAAAAATTTATCACTCTGAAATGATTCATGAAAGTATATTGCATTAAACCCACTCGTTAGTTTTAATTTCTAAGTGGCCTCTTTCACCTTTTTTTTTCTTTTTTTTGGCAGCAACAAGAGCAACAAAGAGGAGACAATGCTGCAGAGGAAGACTGCAGCCAGTGCACCTCCACCCCCCAGCGAGGAGGCCATCAGTAGCTCCTCGGAGGACGACTCAGAGGAGGACCGTGATGATGACGGGTCTGTGTCACAGCGCTCCACTCCGATCAAATTGCTAACAGAGTCTGGAGACAGCAATCGCACACAGGAGGTACGGAAGAACAAAGCACTACACAGTTAAAGATGTTTACATCAAGGCAGTCTTGGGACTAAATAACCATCTTCAGACCCTACTATGTGTCTTTATGTATGTTGGCCAGCTTTGGGCATTCTGATGAAACTAATTAGGGACAAACTTTTTCTGCGCACCATGGTGTCTATGGTCCTGGTAGCTCTTTGACCGTGAAGAGCTACTAAAATTGAAATTTCCAATACTAAAATGTAGACCCTGGCCCACAGATTCTTGTTTTTATGTAGAATCTGTAAAATAGAAATTACTCTGAAGGAAGCACAGTTTCACTGAAATATTTGGTAAGAAATGAAATGGGATGTAAACACTATGGGCTCTGCCTCGCCGGAGACGTGCCACAGGCGCGGTGTAAGTCAGGTCCGCCGCGCCGACAAGGCGTTCCCAAGCACAATTTGGTATTTTGGTGAGCAGCGCAGCCCGGCGTAAGTATCCCCCCTCCCTAACTTAGCTCCTCCCAGCGGCGTAAGTCGTAGTGAGGGAGGAGAGAGGGCGTGGAGTGGGTTTAACACAGCCGAGACCTGTTTTCACCAATCACATAAGCTCCTCTCCTCGCCTTTGAATCCGCCACCGGCGAGGCGTCTTACAATTTTCGTGAAGTAGTCAAAGAGATCGAGAGATGTGTGAAGACAGTAATGCCACATGATGGCGACAGAAGGCAGCTCCTCAACAAGTGTCACTGTAAGCGCTGCATTGGGCGTCTTCCACACTCTCTCATACAAGCACAGATGGATTTGGTGTGTGTAATGTTGGAACCACTGGTAAGACAAACACCCTTTTCCACAAATAAAGACACTCACATAAAGTTGCATATATTCAAACCTCACATGACAAAGGTGGGTTGAGCGCACAGATCACAACATAAACTCCAAAAATGGCATTAAAATTGGAACCATCCGTGCGTAAATGACGCATCGCGCTCCGTGGCCTGGCTCTTTCTTTCATAGATGTTGTCATATAAAATAAATTTGGCTCACAAAACTAATTATTATAATATCCGTATGTAGGCTTAAAGTAAATAACTCATCTAAGCACTGAAACAAATCATCTGTTCAGCCGCTGCAGTTGCAGCAGGACAGGGAGAGAACACGGAGACATGTCCAGGTCGAGCGGCGCGAGAAAAAAGAGGAAGAGGAAGAAAGAAAAGGAGGGAGACGAATTACATATCTTGATGACTTCATCATGTGTGTTTATTTACTAGATATTTAATTTAATTTAATGCAGTTTCAGCTGTGTTGATTCGGTCAGGTTGTGTGTCCAAACGCGTGCCAAACGCGCTCATCAGATCAGATATAGATCAGAATATATCTATAGATCTAAATGTATGTGCTGACTCAGATTAATAGTTGTTGATGATTATTTATTGCACTGAAATGTGCCTAACACTGTGGAAACCTGCCGATGAGGCATCGGTGATGTATGCCGATACGTCGCCGGTCTACCAAAATACTACTAGACCAGCTGCGCTCCGCCTGCGCTGAAAGCTGACCAGGTTTGAATCAGCGCACTTTACACGCCACTGGCGAGCACAAAAATGTCACTGCGCCCCCTGATTCTGTCGACACCTCCCCCTGCCACGCCACCACGCCCAGCTTGGCGGATCTCGGTTCGCCTCTGTGCGCCTCAGTCCACGAAAATACCAAACTGGCTGTACGCCGGGCTCCGGCAGACGAAAATACAACTGGGGGGGTCCGCCACCCTCCGTCGCCCCACCGGGGTACTCGAAAATAGAGCCCTAAGGAGCAATTTGAAATCCCAGTCAGTACAAATCTAAATGTATCTTGCTTCAAAGTTATCTTGTTTAATGAATATGGCACAAAATAGTCTTAAAATCTTCCTCTCATCCAAGGTTTTGTAATCCCCTCCAGGGACCACAGGAAAACATCATCAAAGCTGAGGCTGAGTCAACAACACTTGCTTGTATTTTGGGCCACAAAATTCATTAAGCATTCCAATTTTAGAGTGTCCTCCTGATTGAAATTCTTCCCCGAGTCACTGAAGAGAAATAAGCTTTGTTTTTTATTGCGTCAGACGGGGTAGTCTTCCTTAACTGAGGTTTCTGTCAGGGGTCTCATTGGTGAGGGGTCTGTGTTGACGAATGAAAGAGAGATGTGGTCTTTAAACCCTTTATTTTTTTTCTCCCTTCCTCTAACTTTTACTGTCATTCTTTTCCTAGAGAACAAGCACACTCCACTCCCCCATACGATCTCTTTTAATATGCTTTTGTCATAAAAGGAATTATCAATACTTACACACTGTTTGATCTCACAGACTATATGCTGCATCAAAGATGTACTGTATTTCTTATTGATCTGTTTTTATTTTTAGCAAATCATAGAGGATGTTTTTTAAACTTTTGGCCTGGGGTACCAAATAACCTACTAAGCAAAAAATCAATCAATCAATCTAACCTTCTCCTTTAAGACAAAGACATCAATAAAATAAACCTTTAAAAAGGCACCTGCTGATTTGCCCCCATTTAGGCATTTCTTGCCTGACTTAACTTTTGAAGTTTTTTGTCAGAACTTCCATCTTATGCCAAGACCACAGAAGATCTAAAGCTCTTTTTGCAGTTATATTTTCTAGATCTTGTAAAGAAATAAGTGGTTTAGCATTCAAAATGTTGTTCCTTTTGCAGACTTGCTCCTGTAGTAAAAGTGCCCCCCTTAGAAATCAGTTCTGCTCCACTGCTGTGCTTAAAACTCGTGTGAGGATCTCAAAGTCTTGTCCTCTACATGCTTAATTAGTGTCTCCTGACAAAAAATCTCATACTGCTGTGATAGTGAAATATAATATCTACGGAAATTTTTATGTGGAAATTGTGAAAACGGGGCTGTGTCTTTAGCTGCCAGGCTGAAACTTATCCCCTCACATTGATTGTGACTGATTGTTAGAAATCAGCAGGATGAGATTTTTACCAGTGCAGCATATGGAGGACAAGATGATCAAAGACTTCTTTGTCCACAGGGGGCGCCAAAATAGGTACAAACCGAAAGCTCCTCTCAGGAGCTTCAGATGTTTGTGATTGGATTTTATTTTTTCCTGCGGGGGTTTCGCCTGTACTTGAGACAGTAGAGCTAGTGACAGAGCAGGAATTGACTCTCAAATAAATGTTTTTTTCAAGTCTTACAGAATTTGTCTCTCAAAATAACATCCTTGTTTTTATTCGTTACCAAGAAAAAAAGACTAGGCCCACTGTACAATCTGTGATAAAAACAAATAAACACTCAAGTCCAGTTGTCTCACTATCACAGTTATGTGGTTAGAAAATATTTGTTGTGACTGACACAGAATTCTTGTTTTTTTTGCATCTACCTTCAGAGACTTTTAATGTCCTGCAGTAAAAACAAAGTATTTATTTGTCTCCCAAACATCAAGAATTAAGACCAGTTTTAAAAAGCAGATAGAAACAAACACTGTGTGAGTGAGCTCATTCTGTCACTCTCAACAGAAGTGTAACACTGCCAAGTTGTAGCAATGAAAACAAATCAAGACGTTGTTCTTCTCATTTCATAATTTCTCTGTAACTGTCTTTTATGTAATGACCATACCATCCAGGCATTGTTGCTGTTGTTGTTGCAACTGACTCTTCACTGAGACTTCCTTTTCATTTTATGTGAGAATCTGTTTACATCCTAGCTTAGGTTTTATCACGGTGTACAAAAGGGTACTTGATTGAGGAGTACATGATTTTTAAGGTGGTGTCACCAACCATCCCATGAGCTATTTAACTCTGCCTGACAGCCACTTACTCTTGTGAAAGGTTAAAGGTTAAGATCCAAGTCATGTGAGATTGAAGATGCTAAGCACAACATGCAGAAATAACAGCAAAACTCAAGTCATCTGGATCACAGCTTGAAGCTAGTCCATCAATCAATTACTACAACATATTCCCCTTTCTAGGGCTCTTCAGACCACTTCTCTCAGATCACTTATATTACAGTCCATAACAATAATCTCAGATTAGTTGATCTTAAAGTATCTAGTTCAAAAAGTAGTTGAAGGCGTACAGACACAGTGGTCATGCTACCCCTGCATGAATCCGTGCCACTGCTGGGCCAACCCTGTTGAAAAAAATTTGGACACATCTCTGTCCATCACCATGTATCCATTTCATGCCCCAAGTGGTGGTAGATTTACACCCCTGTTGACCCAGATTCTGTATCACAGTTCAAGTAACGAGCCCATCTATCAGTGTGGGTAGTAGGTCAGTGTGTCAAAAAGATGAATCGAAAGCCGGAAATGACTTTCACTCAGAATTGTCTCACGTGGTGCTTAAGGAGGTACAAAGGTTGGTTTGACTGTTAAGAATGAAACAGCCATTTTGTAACTATTGAAACAAGTATTGTTTCCAGGCATTGTAAAATGTGAAGGGTGGAGGTGTTTCCATCCACTGTGCTTCAGCTCTCTGCAATAAAACATCAAACATGTAATAACTGATTCACTCTAATACAAAGAAAATATCATACCGGGATGTCTGTGTTTGAGCCACAGCGAGGAATGGCAGCTAAGTCTTGATTCAAATTCTCCTACGAAAGCAGCGTATTGAATTTCACTCTCTGATTTGTTTTGTTCAAAGATTTGGGATTATGTTATTGATTGACATTATGGGCCACTCAAAGTCAATCCCTCGTAGTAGGCTGTATTGGGACAGAGGAAATAGTGCTTAGAAAGTGAATCTTGTTCCACTTCAAAGGGGCAACGTAAGCTGTGATTCATAAAATAGCTCTATTGATAGTAAGTACTAAAAAAAAATATCTGCTCTTGCCATCCTGACGATTTTTAGTAATCAGTGTTTTGGTGTCGAACTATTTTCTTTCTGCGGCGTAGTCATACTTGCACACATGCAATCGAATATGCAGAGGGTGAAGCGATTTTTGTCACGTGGACCAATAGGAGCCGAGTCTCGTTGCCATAGTATCAGAAATACACAAACATGGCGATGAGCGCATCTAGCAGCGAGACAAGCGATGAGGAAGAAAAGAACAGGAAAAAAAGAAAACAGCCTTCAAAAGTGCATAAAAAAGGAACGAAACGATGCTATATGCATCTATCATCTGTCCAGAGTGAAGATGTTCTCGACTTTGCAAGGACACGTTGGGAAACTTATAGAACTAGTATTAGAAAGTGGCTTTCTCTACAGGGTGAGACAAAGGACCTTGCAGAAACTTATAAACATTGCGATGATATTGACTTTGACAATGTTCCTGATGATGCTGGGTTTCACATGACATGCTACCAGCAATTTATTTGCAAAAGGCGTTTGAGAAACAAGAACGTGATTCAGCTGCGGGTCAGTCAAACCCTTCAGCCAGCATCGCAGATGCATCCACGTCCACGGCATCTGAAACTCCGCGAATGAAACTTTGCTTGAGGTCATGGGCTGTATTGGGACAAAGGAAAAAGAGCAGAGAAAGTGAATTTCGTTCAACTACGCTGGTGCTACTTGTTCAATGCATTTTTGCATAGACCATACCATTCTGGACTTTGGGTTAAAAAATCTACTCAGACTATCTGTCAGACTTTTGTCACCAGCCAGAAATGTACATATATGTGAGTAACCCAACAAACAATTATATGGTGCTGCTGTTTTTGCTTGTAGAAACTGCGATGTTGAGTCTGGCAAGACAAAACCTTTCTCAAATGTCATAAATACATATACCTAACATCTGAAACAGTTATTGGTGCCTTATTATATGCATAACTGAATTCAGTTTATGAAATGTAGCAAATTTCTTGAAGAAAACGTCTCAACTCAAGTGATTTGCACCCAGCACAATGAAATACACTGTAAGTTTAGCTAAAGGCTTATGTTTCATACATAAAAATGACACAACCTACTGTGTAATAAAAGCTCTATTGCAGAAAGGTCTGGAGACTGAGGGGGCCAACCCATCTTTTGAAGAACACATTCCTCTTCTTTTTTGTCTAGGTAATCCTGACAGAGTTTCGCAGAATGCTTAGGGTCACTGTCTTGCTGCAAAACTCATGAGCCACAAGTCTGAGTCCAGCTGGAACAGCATGGTGCTGGAGGATGGAGTGGTACTGTTCCTTCTTCATGATACCCTTTACTTCAAACAAATCTCCCACTCCATCACCTGCAAAACATCCCCATACCATGGAACTACCACCTCCATGCTGAATTGTGGGTGTAACACACAATGCTTTCAGACGTTCACCAGTTTGTCTGCGGACATTGACTCTGCGTATTAAACCAAATAGTGCAAGCTTGTTTCCAGTCATCATAAGTCCAATTTTTGTGAGCTTTTGCCACCTCACATCTCTTTTACTTATCCTGTGGACGAAGTAGTGTTTTTTTTTTTTTTTTGCAGATACACAACCCTTCAGACCAGCCTTTCTCAAACGTCTTTTCACAGTTGTCAGAGATATGGGTTTCAATTGATTTCGTCCCTTATTTGTGGTGCTGTCTTTCGCCGATCTCTCTTACTGGTGACAATGCTATGTTTATCCTCTGCTTTTGCAGTAACTCTCTTTCGTCCAGGCCTTTTTCAATCATCATAACTTCCAGGTTCCTCTTGTCTCTTCAGAGTGTAGTGGACTCCTTTGTTAGACACCATTAGGTGTTTTGCAATTTCTCTTTCTGTGTATCCTTCTTTCTAGCCATTTCTGCGGTAGTTTGATGTTGTTGAGATTTATTAGGGTTTTTGTATGCAGACTCTTAAAAGTTCAAGTGAATTATCCAATTGTGATTTTTTTTTTTTTTTGCTTTTGCACTGAAGTTGTGACTCTTGCAAATGTTTTCAACCCTAAAACTAAGCCCTTATTATCTTTGCTGACATTTAGCAATGGTCTGTTAACATCAATGTATATCTAAAGGTAAATGGAGTAAAATGGTGCATTTCCATGAAAGCAACATTTGATCATGGATTGAATACATCCCAAAATACATGCAACTCATGCTGGACTTTAATAAAAGCATTGTGAACAAAAAGTTGAAGTTACTCCCAACTGTTCGGCCTGTAATGGCCTTGCTTCCAAACTTTTGGCCTGTAGTTGTATATCTTTATTTGACTGGCAATCATAGCATTTTCTAAACTTATACTTTACATGTCAGAATCATAGACTGTATATAAGATGGACAACCTGGTTCCGCCTTCCGCCTGTATACGGATTTTAAGCCAAAAAGCTCTCGGTAATTCCGGGTTTTTCTCCACTTCCTTGAAACCAGAGCTGCGCAGTCGCCGAGAGTCCCTGTGATGATGCTCGGCTCAAACAGCGTATCCCCCCGGGAGAGCTACGCAATCCCTGAACGCCCATAGGCTGTACCAGGTGTCAATCATAGAAAACATGCACCCCCTAATAACTCTTAAAAACTGAGCTGTACAGAAAAAAAAGGACTTGGGCACAAACCAGTCTTACAATAACTACATGTCAACATCACAAGCAGGGGGGAGAAAAAATTATGTTCTGTGTAATAAATTTTTAAAGTTTGTCCACAGTCCCATGAGCTTTGCTGGCGGAGGTGGGATTTATGACCTGTACTGCAGCCCACCATCAGAGGGTGCTGTTCTCGGAGTGGCTTCACCTAGCGAGGAGGCAGACTCTGTCCATCTTATATACAGTCTATGGTCAGAATCCATCGATAAGGTTCTGTCTCCTCTGTCTCTCCTAGTTATTGTTCTCCGGGCATCGGGTCCTCACGTTGCACTGGCACAGCCAACGGCACTCCATTGGCCAGTGCAACATTGTGCAAAACTTTATTGGCTCAAATGATGTCCAACACCCTTCAGGAGTGTACAACAACTTTCCCACTGCTGGGCCAAGACAGAGACACCTGCCTTTTAGGGGTCAAATGCAGCACCCCACAGTGCCGCATGTGCGACGTGCGTGTGTGCGCAATGTTAAAACGGTGCTCCTGCTCTGTGGCAGTGTTTCTGGGCAGAGTAATCAAATAGGCCTATTCACTAAAGACATGACAAATTTATTTTATTTTATTTACATCTTAATCTTTAATTAAATCTGGCTGATTGCGCTTAGTGACAGGTTTAAGGTTTGTTAATCAATTATTTTGAGACAGACATTTGCTGCACTGCAAATCTGCACTTACTCAAACTTGCGTACACGATGTCAGACCTGTCGTGAGATTTGGTCGTAGGGTATGCTCACGTTCAGATTGATAAATGCCGATCCTCACGTCGCAATTTACATATGCAAGGTTTACTTTTAAGTTTTCTGCCGTACGCAAGCTTGATAAATGAGGGCCTTTGTCTTGAGACCAGGAGTTTCAAACATTGAAAATAACCAGATAGAAATATAAGGTCTGTAGGAGGGTGGTCTCATTTGCTTTGGTAGGTCATATAGAGGCTTGAGCGTGAATTACAGCCTGTTTGGTAACCAGCTAAGAACTCCTCAGCAGCTTTAATGCAAAGTTATGTTTAACCTACAGAGATGAGAGTGGTGGTGGGTTACTCATTCTTTAAAAAAAGGGAAATTTTTAAATTCCCAAATTCCAAGCCAATTTCCATTTAAATGAAATAAGAGAGAGATAAATTTGATTTTTACAAAAGTTAACTCGATTACTTTGGTGTCATTATTGAAAGGGAACTGAGGATCTTATTTGTCAATAGATTCCTAACATTATTCTGATGGTAACTGTCAATTTGAACAGCCATAATTGTCCCTTGTAGCTGCAATTCTCCACATAATTGGAAAATGAAGTTGCTGTAAAATGAGCCAAGAATTGGAACAAGAAAAATTTCTGCTGCATTCTTTTTGATCTTCAGACTTGAAACGAAGGCTGTCCCTTTCGTCCCATTCATCCCTCTCCAATTCAGATTTATGATGTATTTTCTGTACATTTTCTCTGACGTGTCTTCCCGAGGGCCTTGAGCAATGAGTCCTTCATTAATATTTCTGGCTGTACTGCTAGCTCACGTGTTGAGTGCACACACTCCCTGTTGTGCGTCTCATGTGGCTGCCTTGGAGCCTGTCTCTAAGGATGGATTGCCAGGGTGCCAGCACAACACAAAACTATTAAAATATTTAAACATCAGATCATTACTATGTTTGCCATGTAATTACACATGCTCATTTCATATTCCTCTCAAAGTGACTGTACGTGTCGATGCATGAACATGGATACATTTATGTTCTTTTTGGGAGTAAACAAGCATTTGTGTCCACATCACCTGTGCTCTTGCGTGTGTATGTGCAGCACTTGGTGTGTTTTTGCATGTTTAGTCTCTGATTTCTAACTATGTCCATAACCCTTTGTATTTGTGTGTCTGTGTGTGCGTCCGGCGCGTGCATGTGCACACAGCTGCTGTCTCTTGGCCTTGGTCTGGAAACACCCTCATTTTTCTCTCCTCTGTGCAGAACAGATCAATACAAATACAGTGGAAATGGAATACATTACTTTACGCATATTGCCTTGTTACAGTGAAAAGAGAAAATTGGTGTTCCAGACTGCTTCACTATTACATAACAGGCTTCAACCCATCATGTTGGTCCAGAGGGTAAAACACACAAATTATTGGGGATTTCACTTTTGTACAAGAAATAGTTCCTGAGGACTTTTTTTTAACAGGTTTGGTAAGTATACTGTGAGACAATAAAAAAAAAGATCTGAGAGTATAGATTAATGCTACTCTGTTAGTCGTGCATTAACTGAAAACTATGCCTCACAACTCTTCTCCAGCGCATCTTTATTCTCCAGAGGTGTAGCACTCATCATACGTGAAGTATATGGAGTAATAACATTATGAACCAACATTCGAATGTTGGTGCAGGGTGTTTGAATGTTTTTTCTATAATTGAATTTCTACAACACTTTCAAACTAAATGAACTCTGATACTGAATTTGCATTAGTTTTTCTAGAGCGTGTGTGTTTCTCTGCAGCATTCAAATCATGCTCAGCTGCTACCATGTTGGCTGTGGAAACACTCAAATCAACAATATAACACCGTCCACGCAATCTCACACCCGACACAAGGCAAGATGGATTCATGCCGTTTGCGTGAAACTCATGTTCCACCACCAGCATGTGAACACAGACACTGAGATTAGTCTGACTGTAAGTGTTTCCTCACTCCTCACTTGTCTGACTCTCCGGAGCATGTGAGCATGATTTAATAGTGCAGTAAACTCACAGATGTGTACCTTTTCATAAAAATTGGCAATTGAGCAGAGGAAGAGCACAAATGATGTTCTATCACTCAAGGCTTTAGTGCCAGAGCTCACTGTCTATGGATGCCATGCCATAAAGAGCCTTGAACTTTGATCCTTTTGCTGAGGAAGCTTCCTGGTTTAAGTGGTTCTACTCTGAAGTTTCTTGAATGGAAATGGTGAGCTCTGTCAGGGCTGAAAAAGAGGGTTTGTCCTTTATTTATTCAGTGTCTACATTTGCAGTAAGGCACCGATTTTTTTTTCTTTTTTTTACCTTCCCAAACACTGTGTTACATTAACTAGTCAACATAGCAGCACAAAGAAAAAGTAGGACCTGGTAAATGCTGTCAAATGTGCTGGACAAAAACAGCCGGTACTACTGCACCCATACTGTTGGGAAAGAGTCAAAAATCACCTGGGACTTGTTGAAATCAAGGTCCCAGAGTCTGGTGTCTGGAATCCAAGGTGCTTGAAGTCCAGTGTGAAGTTTCCACAGTCTGTGATAATTTGGGATGCCATGTCAACTGCTGTTGTTGGTCCACTGTGTTTTATCAAGTCCAGAGTCAACTAGTAAATTTTACAGTAAGTCATTCTTCCATCTGCTGAGAAGCTTTATGGAGATACAGATTTCTTTTTCCAGTAGGACCTGGCACCTGAACTTTTTCTTTGTTTTGCTTTCAGCTGCACCTGTATGTGGCTTGCAGTTTTTGTTTTTTGGTGTGGCCCCTCTTTAAAAAAGAAATGATGGCACAGCTTCTCTACAGTGCTGTGACAAAGTCTGTATGTGAAAAGTGTTTAAGGAGATACAACAATACACAAGGGTGCCAAATTCTGGAGGGTATTAGTGTTAGCCCCAGAATTTTTAAATATTATGATAAACATTAGTTTTCTTGAAGCTTTTTACCTCTGCTATCATCCCTCCACCCTGCTCTGCTCAAACTCACTCTGTCTTTCATAGATTGCACTATTAAAGATACTTCTTACATAAAATACCAACATGACTTCAACAACACCTTTCTTGTCCTCTACCCAAGTTATCCTCGTACTTTTCAATGTCCTCATGAGACTCTACACAGGAGCTCAATCCTGACCCACTTTACCCAAATCTCTGTTTTCAAAGAAGTCTCTCGCTACACCTTGCCGAGCTGTTATTTGATCATAATCCACCTTTTTAAGAAAGGATTATTTAATAACAGTGGTACTTAATATCATGCTGCTTGGATGGTGAATGCTTGAACACCTTTCCAAAAGAAAACACTGAAATGCTTTGTTTGATAGATTGGGTTGTATGGGATTGAATTATTAATTTCCTTGAGAAGTTTTCATAAATCATAGCTTGTCCTAGAAAACAACCTTAGGATATTAAATTGATTTTGTTTTTTCATTGCTACTCTCCTAGAATTTTGTAAGCCTGAATCTTCCTCTATAATTGTTTATTTCCTGTAGTAAGAGTTTTAAAAGATTAACCCACTTTAAACTTATTGGTTAATCCCTGTTTATGATTGAATTCACTCTTTCATTTGTTGTGCAACAGTGTTTGTTTCCTTACACTTATGATCAATGGTCTTCAGTTATAAATTCATCATCTTCAGGAATAATAATTTGCCTTCCCTGAACTGGTGTGCCCTTATGTTTGAACTGGTCTGTTGTTTTTTCTGTTAGGCCTCGACAGACAAGGACACTGAGTGCAGGAACCCCCAGGAGGGCGCTGAACATAAAATCACCTCACCAGACATCAACAATCAAATTACATTCATAGTTGCCTGGATTTCAGTCTGTAGGCCACCATAATTAATTAATCAGGAGTAGAGAAGCAGCGGAACCCAATGACCTTATCTGCATGATTCTTTATTTATTGTTGCAGACACTTAGTTTGCCAGTTAAAGAAGCTGGCTGGAACAATCTCTCTATTGTTCTTATAAATACTTAGAGAGTTGTGGTAAAACTTTCATACAACACTTTCTTCTGTCACATTCATATGCACCTGTAATTATTTTCACCTGTCCTCCTCTTCAACTCCTCAGGAGATCCAGCAGCAACAGCAGGCAGCGAAGGAACCATATGGACTGAATCTGGCTGAGTTTCCTGCCAAAGAGGACTTGCACATATATGAAAGGTGATGGTCACACACACACACACGTGCATAAGTGCATTATATGTTGATGCAGTCATATATGTAATGATGATGGAAGATGCTTCATGTCCTGCAGAGTTAAATGAGAGAATCACCGACAAGATTGGTTATTTTTCTAAGTTTTCACCCTGTCAGGATTCACCCTGAAGTGTTCATGTTAAGAACTATTCTTTTCAGGATTTCATGTTGCTATCATGAAAAAAACGACAATCTTTAGCCCAGTGGTTCTTAACCCTGTTTGAGGTACCGAACCCACCAGTTTCATATGCACATTCACCGAACCCTTCTTTAGTGATAAATCAAATATGATTTTTTTCCAAATTCAAGACATAGGTATATGTTTTTTTACTGGTACACAAAATGAACCGTGCATGAACATCACCTTGATCAAAGAACAAAACCAACACAGTGCATGAACTCACAACAAACTACATACCTGCAAATCAGTGTGACTTCTGCTGTTGTTTTTGAGAGACCAGTTCAGATATGCGTGGCTTCACCTTGGCAAGTGCTACTCTCATGTCATTTTCACAGCAAAGTCTGTTCCTTTTCTTTGTTTTTATGTCCAGCCTCCTCGAAAAGGATTGTTTGCAGAGATTTGTTGTAACAAATGGTATAAAAAATTCCAGGGCTTTCTTAGCAATAACTTGGTACTTTTCCAACTGAAAAATCGTTTATATCAGCAGAAGACGTCGGATATAAACAATTTCTGCCTACTTTGCAGAGTCAACTGCAGAATTAACGGCGTTCTGAATGAACGGGGCTTTGAACGTCACCACTACACATGGACCAATCAGGGGCTGCCTTTCCCTGTTGTCCGGGTAACAGTGGAAACACGGTCTCTGATTGGCCCGGTTATTTTCTGATCGGGAATACACGCTCTCTATGGGCCGAAGTCCAGACTGTGGTGGGAAGGAACATCAAGTAATTCACGCAACAGGATGGCCCAGCCAGGCTACCGTGGCGGAGGCTCCACCGAACCCCTGAGACCGACTCACCGAACCCCTAGGGTTCGATAGAACCCCGGTTAAGAACCACTGCTTTAGCCTATTTGATGTTGAAAATCTGAACTTAATCTGTTTCTTAATCAGGTTATTTCGAGAAATTAGAGTTGTTCTGATTCTGATACCAGTGTCAGTAATTGCTTAGTAATTGCCGTTACTGCCGAAAATGCAAGCATCGGTATCGGCAAGTACAGGAGTCCAGGCACGATCCAATACCACGTAATTCATTAAATTAGTAATGTATTTATTGGTTAGCCCTGTTTTTTATTCTGTTCTATTTAAAAATAAATGGCTTAAATTTGCTGTATTTATTTGTGTTTTACAAAGAGTTTAACCTGAGACAGACCTTACCACAATGATAATCATATCACAGTCATGAAGGCCTGGTGTGATATTTTTTTTATAACATACTGTATCGGATCGGTACTTGGTATCGGCCGATACCCACAGCACAAGTATCAGAATCGGTATGGGGAGGGAAAAATTGTTATCGAAATATCTCTACTGACAAAGCTAGTAGGCTATGTTGAAAGAGAGCCAGCTCCATGATACTGAAATCTCTGACTTAGATATAAACCGACCTGATTTTTGCGTCAGATCTTAGTCCTTAATCCATTTAAACCAGGACAGCATGTACGCATTTCAACCTTCCAAGCCGGGAGCGTGGCTGTGCATTTCTACCCTCAAGCCGGGACCGCGGATATGTCATTTTGTAACATTTGGTAGTTTTTTAATCATTTCTGGAGTCGTGGCGAATCAAATCATCATACCTGTCTGCCTCTGATAGGCTAATAAAGCTAAATAAAGCGGATTCATACGCAGATCTTGCTGCGTGCTTCGTGAGAAAAGTAATTAATGATGGAGGCACAAAGCAGCTTCATATATGAAGCATCCAGCAGTGTGAACAACCTCTTCATATTGAGTGCTTTGGATCACACTATCGGCGATTTCTGTGAGTGTTGCATGACTTTGGATGAGCACAGAGATGAACACACTGTCAGACACTTATTTATTTATTTATTCATTTATTTATTTATTTATTAGTTTTTAGTGCTGCTTTTGTACTGGCAGTATACTAGGGCAGCTGCATACGCTTTCAACACTTTATTTTTTATATTTACATTTGTATTGATGGACACTTTATTATGACTGCCACTTGTTTTACAGAAAGCAAATTGTTTTTTTATTCTCCAGTGCAGAGCCTGTTTGTACAGCTGCTTTATTTCATTTGAGTTTTTTTGTTCAAGGTTTTCAATAATGTGATGAGGGTTTGGAAAAATAAAAAACAGTCATCTTGAAAGCCATGTGTGTAAGCTCTCAAATACTTTTTGAATTTTGTTTCTATCTGCAACAGAGGCCGAGATATCAGTTTGTTTTGTAAACCTCAACACTTCAGAAAACCTCAGGATCTGGGAGCACTTCTCAAAATTGCCCTCAGGATTTCAGAGGCGTGTCTCAGACAGGGTTCAGGTCTTAATGTGTTAATACACCCTAAACTTGAATTAAGAGGCCTTTTTTACATTCATACTGCATTTACCAGACACTACTGACAGTACTGTGTTGGATGTGACTGTAGTGACTTCACCTGCAGCAAAGTGCACAGTGATTCAAGATTTATTCGCAGGGAGAAGTTTTCCCATCCCGAGAAACTCTTGCAGGCGTACACATAAACAAAGCTGATTGAGGGGGAATATAAGTCAAGGAAAGTGCTGATCACAAAGCCAAAAATACTGCACTTCACAAGCTTGTATTGAATTGTGGAGATGGTGTTTTTGAAGAATTGTTGCTCTTTAGTGCAGTGGAGTGTCCACAGTGCTCTGCGGTACCCCACTGAATATTAGGGGCCTTTCTCACCCAAAACCCGCTTAGAAGGTCCGGATCAGGGACCAAATGTTTACATTGTTGCATTTTGTATTTGGTCCGCTTAGCGTTCACATGGGACTTTTGCTAAACGAACCAAATGGGTAAAAAAAGAGGGAAAATTACTGTCTGTCGCCTGCTTATTTGGGACACAATCTTCATTGTCCCACAGCGCACAGAAAGTAGCCAACCAGAGAAAACAATAGGCATCTTGCTTCACGTACTTCACCAAAGAGATGTTGTGCGAGGAGATGCCGGAAAGGAATGCCTTTAACACATTGTCAGCATGTTTGTTGAACAGAAGAACACCCAGGTATTTAATGTCACCCAACTGTCACCCAACTATTGTATTAGAACACAAACCCTCTGCCATTTGTCCAGTTTTACGGACCCTCTGGTGTTTTGACTGGCTGTTCTTTGTCTGCTGCAACCTCCGGCCAGGCATAATTTCCCGGCTTTATGGCAGTGTAAATGTGTTATTAGTTTAAATTGACATATAAAAAGTCTGGCTGCATCAGCGCTGTGTTCACACCCACCGCGGACCATGGTTCGTCTGAAAGGGGACCGAGCTCAGAGTTTTCAAGTTGTTTGATCTGGACCATGGTTCGCTTGCGCGTTTATACCACCCGGACCAAAGGAGTAAGGGGACCATGGTCCTTTTAGAACAAACCAAACAGTCCTGGTATGAATGCGCCCTTAGTAAGCAGTAAGAATTTTATACAGTCTTAATTTGAGTTTCTGGATCCCCTAAATCCTCTGCTTGTTTGTGCATGGAAATTCATGGTGGATGAAACCAAGTGTATTATGCTGGAGTTAAGCAGCAGTTGGTCATACTGTATTTGTTACAAAGAAGAATAATGAGGAGATGTCAGAGGAGAAGGAACGTTCAGCTGCTGAATCAGTGTAGGCAGAGGATGATATAGATAGAGGATGAATGTTGTAAATGCAGGAAATACAGAGGAACGATTACAGGGTTTACGGTCTGTTTTGAAGCATATTTACATTTTTTAGGAGGTGTATATCAAGCCATGTTTGTAGGCTTCTGCATAGATACAAAGGATGACATGAACCAGGTATGCTTCAGTGTCAATTTAAGAAGGCCTAACAAAGAGACAGTCATTCATAAAGAGAATTCTTGGTCAATTTTTATTAACGGCCAATATTTTTGCTTGGCCTTCAGCTCCTGGTGTACCGTGGGTTGAACATGTTTTTAATGGGTTTTTTTTAATTTTTGGGTGCATTTACAAAACAAAGGCCCACCAGTTGAACAGCATAAAGCTGCTTTTGTGACTACCTCTTCCTATTAATCTGCTCCTGAGGAAAATTACTGCATTTCATTGTTATGCACTCAGTGCTCGGGACAGAGCGGAGAAGAACAAGCAGTCAGTGTCACCAGCCCCCTCGGGCTGATAGGGATCATTTTGCAAAAAGGACATTGTAAACTCTGGCCTGCTGTGTGCATCACACGTCTGACCTCCCTGCTCTGTGTCTACCTCTCCCTCCATCCACCTCTGAGAGTCATTTACTCTCTGTTCTCCAGTCTGTCCTTTCTCCTCATTTGCTCTTGATGATGCTGATGAGTGAGGAAAACTTGTCTGGCTCTGAAACTGAACACAACTCTCTGTTCTGTGAAAGAAAACTGCATGTTTGAGCAAGTGTGATTCATTTGGTTGAGTTTTAAAAGTTTTTTTTTCCCCACACTAAACTGTGTGTAAAACTTGGTGTATTCATGGACTCATAGAGAACTCATTCACTGTTATATAAGCAGATATAATTTCTGATTATATAATTATAATCCAGGTATAATTCTGGAAATTTGTTATTAGTACTAACAAGTTGCTATAGCTATAGCATGACTTTTGGTGCTGTAGGTGAAGTGAAATATAAACTAAAAAAAACATTAAAGAAATCAATCAATCAATCTTAATTTACATAGTGACAATTTGCAACAAGTGTTAACCCAAGATGTAAGAAGAGAAGACAAAAGAAAAGCTGGTCTTGACCATACATCTGTTTGCACAGACACAGTAGAAATGGGATAACATTGAGCCCCCTCTTGTAAGATCAGACCCACTATCATCTCATTTTAAACCACATGAGTGAAACACTTTGCAGCATTTAGCAAGTTATAATGGAGAGGACGAACTTCCTTTAACAGGCAGAAACCTTGAGCAGAACCAGACTCATGTTAGACAGTGATCTGCTGAGACTGCATCAGGTTTAGAGAAGGGAGAGAGGAAGATGAAGAGAAATGAGAGTGATAGAGTGATGCATGTAGTTGAAGCAGCTGGAAAGCAGGCAAGTCTACAGCAGAAAAATGTCTGCAGCAGTGATCCAGAGGAACTTATGACATAATGGAGGATGGAGAGGGAGGAACAGATGTTCAACATGTCAGTAGCCCTGACAGTCTAAATCTATAAATACAAGGATTTCATTACAGTTGTGCTGAGTGGTTTAAACATGATACATCGCTAATTTACTCATAACTTTGTTTATTTGCCATAACAAAGTGTAGCTGTAACTATGTACAAAGGCACAGATGGACTTGCTTAACTTAAGACAAAAAAAAGCTTTCAAAGGCCCATAGTCTTAGATACACTTTGTAAGAGTACATAAAAAAAGGTATTCTGAAACCAGGAATTTAAACGTTGCTGTTGTTAGTTTTTCATTGAGGTGTAATTTATGATGAACCATACCTTAATAAAGTATTATGTCCACTGCTTATATACTGCTTAAACATTACAATTACTTTTTTTGAATGCTTATAATCACTTAGAAGGATTGGTATAAAGCCTTATAAATAATACTTGATAGATTTGCTTGTAGGGAGATGTAAGTGTTGGGTTTATACTAAACTTTTTATTGTTAAGGGAAGAATTATTCTGTTGAGGGAAAAACAAAACAAAACAAAACAGGGAGTCTGATAATCACAACAACAACAAATTAAGATTCAAGGCAGACACCAGACTTTTTAAACAGATCGCAGTGTTTTTCAAAAGTGCCCTGTCTTTCTGCTGCTCTTCTTTGATATATAGAGGCACTGAAGGAAATTAGGAAAAACGTCACCTATGTGGAAATAATGTAAAGAGTACAACATGTCTATATTCAAGCCTCTGGATGAATCAGATCAGATTTTGTGATGGCGATTTGAACTAGACAAGTCACAACAGTCCTCAAGGTTCAAGACAGACTCATGAATCTGTCTTAGACTTTTCTTTCTAGCTTTCATAAGAATTAAAAAAAATCTTTTTGAAGAATGACAAACTACATGCAAAATTGTTACACTGAAAAAACTATCTGTCCATGTAGATTCTCATTCATCCAGGTCATGGTTTTCTTTAAGACTTAAAAAACAGGCAACTGGACTGTGTAGAGTTGAGAAGAAAAGACGAAAAAACTATCTTTGTTTCTAATGAGACTTCTTATTTTCCTTTTTTTAACCTTCAGTGTGTGACTTGTGTGCAACTGAAGCAGGATGATCAACTTAAAATTAAACAGATTGTATTGAAGAATGCTGCTCATATGCTCCTGCTGTGACTGCACATAAAGGGAGTGAAGCTGTGCTCATTATTGAGGCTCCAAAAGATGTTTGCTGCAGCAGGAGCTGTGCTAATCAATGCATTAATATTAAAAATCAGAAGCAGGAGCCAGAGGGGAGCTTTCAGCTGTTGAATGTTATTGTGTCTTTGAGAAAAATACTCCGCAGGGAAATATAAGATTTGATTATGTTATTTTGTGCATATTGGAGATCTCTACATACATATTTGTACCATCTCTGCATCTAAGTGTTAAAATTTTGAAAACATGGTTCAGAAATTTGATAGTCTCTTTTGGGAAATAGCTTCTTGGGTAGTTAATCTTTGACTAATGGCCTCTTTTATGGTTAGGAAGCATGCTGCACGTACGAATGAGCCAAATGTGTGCTTTTAATGTTGACTGGCTGGTTCAGAGTGTTTTTCATGTTGATTGTTTTCTTTTTTCTGCAGATTTGCACATCTGGGCCAGAGCCAGCACAGGGTGGAGAGAACTGAACACATCAACTTGGCAAACATCATCTGTTTGTGAGTCAAACATGTGACATATTAACCTCAAAACACGCATACAGACCAAAGAGGATACTGGAGGCACTCACTTCCACGTAATGTTCAGTGCTACATTGGGATATTAGTCTGTAACTTTAATTTGACCCTTTTGAAAACCTCTCAATATTTCCAGCAGCCTTGGGAATAGAGAACACAGTGGCTTGCACTAAGTGGTCTCAAAGGAGGCTTCTAGCTGTGTACTGTTTAATCTTCATCTTTTATAACCAAACACTCTGTCTTCACTTCTCGTCATCCCTGCTATTTCCCAAACAGTCCAGCCCTCTCCCTGACCCAGCAGGTCAGAGATGGAGTAGTGTTGTCCACACACAGATTCAGAATTCAACCACACGTGGGTTGGCAATGTGCAGCAGCAGTGCAGCATCACAAGCAATCTTTCCTCTGTGTATTGCTCTCTGTCTTTCTCTCAAACTCCCTCATCCAAAGACATGCACTCACAAATGGCCTCTAGGTGATAAAAGCATCTGGCATTGAAGGAAAACAACATTCATTTTGAAGTCCAAGATCAAAAAACTTACATCAGATTCAACATTGAAAAAAAAATAGTTTTTTTTTTCTTCTGCATTTGTCCATGCAATAAGTATGACAACATTATAAATATGAATATTGTTATACCGGGAAGGAAAAAAAGGGACATTCTAGAAAGCCTAGAGCCTTAAATTTAAACTACAGGGGTTTTCTGTCTAAAGAGAAGAAGGAAAAAACAAACAAACAAACAGTGAAACCAGTACATCTCTGGCATTTAACATCATGCATACAAAAGGCATCTGGCAGTTTAGGTGGGAATAGTTTCTTCGAACACTGCTGTGTTTGTCCTTTCTCACTTCTACCCCAAAAACCAATCAAAATAAATAGGCGGCGGTACTTCCATTGTCATATTTATGAACAGCAATGACAAAGGAGAAATTTCTCTCAGATTATCTAATACACCTAGTCCTTATTTTTTCAGTTCATATCGTACATTGTCTGTATGAATTTTAAATTGTTTGTTTTTTTATCTAATCTTTTAAGTTTTTCTCTTTTCTGTAAGAAAAAAATTATCAGTAAAATTCCAAACAAGAACTTGCAGATGTGTAGATTATGACAAAACAAAGCAGCAAAATGCTGTAGAGGCAGAGGGGAAAAACAAAGGTTTGATTCTCAGGCTGTAAAATTTCCTTCAGTTATGACCTTGAATTGTAGTTGTATATTTCATATGTGCATTGAATATAAATAGAAAAATATTCGAGAGAGGTGAAAAACATATCCATGTTCCATTGCTTATCTTCCTCCTGTGATACACTGAGCTGTCTTAAAGCATCAAGGGAAAGAGAGTCCAGGTCCAGAGAAGCGTTTTGTTTGCACAAGATTTGTCTGTTAAGCAGCAGGAGCATATGTTTGGAAGTTGCTCATGGTCAAACATTTTCTAAAGACCCATGTGGAGCCCAAAGATGAGTATTCAAAGTAAGTTTGAAGGTCACTTGAAATGGAAGGACTCAGATCACTGGCAGAGTGATACTGCGAGATTGAATCCTACGTGAGAAAAAGAAAAAAAAAACTGAAATCAGTTTAGGCAGTTTAGGATGTCAAAACGAGATTAAAAGGGTTCTCTTGTTATTAAGAAGTACAGAAATACTAATATTAACTAAATATATTAAAGCAACAAGCCCTTTTTCATTCATACCATTGTCATCCAGTAATAAACAATACAAATAGGCTGAAGTAAAGTGATTGATCCTGTGAGGATGTTCGAACAACAGTCGTTTGTTTGAGCGAAATGATAAAATCAGCTAATGCACTCACAATGACAACCTAATAAGTCATGTTCAACAGGCACTTAGCAAACTGCTATGTTTGATACTGGATTTCTCTATCACATGTTCTAATGGAATTACTGTAATCATACAGTAAGTGGAGAAGCAGGCTAAAACTGATGCCAATACCTTTTTGGGAGCTTCCTAAACCAAAGAGACCACAACTTAACACTTCTATGAATTGACAAAAAGCAAAAGTTTCTCACAGCAGTTCTAAGAGGGCTACAGAGTTAGCTATAACCACGGACACAGCTCAAACTGTGAGGTTAATGGAGCACTGACAGAAACATAACCATTTTTTTTTTTTTTTTTTTTTTACCAATAACATCATGTCCAAGGGAATCTTGGTGTGGAAGTATTACTCAAAGCTGTGTATTAAGCAAGTTAATGTGGTACAGGTCTGACTGGCATGTCAGTCATTCCTAATCTTCTTGAAATGATGCTGATCCTTGACTTAGAGCAATGTAGATGAAGATTATGTATGCAAGGTCTTAGATTTGTTGTTTTTGTCTCCAACTCTTATCTGAAGAGTTCCGTCAACAAAACATGATTATAAGTGGCTCTCTTCAGACACGTGACACAAAAGAAAATGTCATGTCTGAGTGCAGGTGAATAGTGATTTTACCTGTGCTGAATAAGATATGACATTTTCCTTTTTGTCACACAAAGGTGGCAGATACACATGTTGTTGGCTTTGTAGAAAACCTTAGCCTGCAGGGAAGACCGACATCTTTTCATCTGTTTTCGGTTTGTGTCATTGCTTTCTCATCTATTTTTTCACCTTTCTCCGCCCTGGTCATTCATTAACCCATCCATCCATTGTTGGCAGGTCCACAGGGTCCAGCAGGTGTGTCTGTTGTTGTGCAACAGGGCTATTCTAAGGGGCTGTTACACCACCAGGAAACGTGTTTCTAGTGTTAGAAGTCTGCCACCTCCTACTGTGCAGTTCCTCTTTTGACCCATCATGAAAAGGCAAAGATGACTCATATGATGGTGTTTAAAATGACTAGGTTTTGAATAATGTGGTGGATTCTTGTGCGGAAGTGTTAATGAGGTGTAGTGATAAGCTTTAGAGTCAAGAGTCAAAATGTATGAAGCATAATGACAGTCTGTCTATGTAGATTCTCATTCATCCAGGTCATGGTCTTCTAGAAGACTCCAAAATCAGGCAACTGGACTGTGTAAATTGAAAAGATGTTTCAGGTTAACGACCCTCAGGGGGGGACACCCAGGGATGGGTTTCTACGACCCATTCTTTCCAACTCCTCCCAGTTGTTGTCTGTCCCCTTCTCCAGTAAGATAAATATCTGCTCCTCACACTTGCAATAATTAGAACTGAAGAAGCTTCTTGAATAAGAGGCGAAACGTCTTCTCAACTCTACACAGTCCAGTTGCCTGATTTTGGAGTCTTCAACATAATGACATTCAATCCTCTTAGGTGTGTGCTATTGCTTCTCTGTTTTTGCAGAGATTGAACGTAAAATTGTAATGGCCATTAACTTTACAGCCAGTTACTTAATCAAAAAAATTATAAAACATTGATTTTATTAACTTCATAAACTTTCAATAATTTTGAGGTTCAGATTTATTTTGTGGATCGAATTTGACAGCTCTGTCAGATTTTTTTAGAAACATTGACATCTTTAACCACTAAAATATACTTCTTTCCAGTCATTTAATCATTATTTCTCAAATTATAGCTCCCCTGTTTTACTTAACATTTCACTCTACTTGACATGTCTCAGTTTAAAATAGTAATCCATAATAGTAGCCTGCAAATGTCAGCTGTGTGTGAAGAGTCACATGGAGTCATCAGACCAATCAGAAGTCATCAGCGAACCCTGTGTTTAGCAATCAGTTATGATGTAGCATACTGCGAGTGGTTCAAGTGTGTCTCTTTGGTACATACCAGATCAATAATGTGAGGGCAGATCAACTTTTCCTTCAAAATCCATTTTCACATTATGTTGTATCAGTGTAGAGTGTATTATAGTGTGTAACCCAAGACGAGAAGATACTGTGACCGTTCACTTGTTTTGTGCCCTTTAGTTCAGAGGTCCTGTCATAGTTATTATATTTTTTAGATCTACACTGAATATGAGTAACTCATTCATCTTGAAGTAATGGACCTTTAACTTGTAATAATAGCTGTGTTTTAATCACTCAATTCCTGTGCCAAATCTTGGTGTAATTTACAACTTTTCTCTCACAGGCTCAGAGGCTGTAAGCCAATGCTCCAGGGCTCAGTATATCAACTCAATGATAATAAAAGGTACTTTACTGGCCCAACCTGGGTGAGAAAGTGATGAGGAAGGAAATAAGATAGTTATTTGATTATGTAGCCTGATATGAATCTGAATATTTCCATCTTCATTTTTACTTTACGACTTTTCCTGCGGATTGTTTGTGTACATTGTGTGCATGACCGACTTTTGATCTGATTTTGACAAGGGCTGCATGCCTAACAGTTTAGGGTTTCCTTTATATTTTTGTTTCATGATGTGCCAAATGTTTTCAATGTCAGGACTGCAAGTAGGCCAGTTTAGTAACCAATCACTTATCAGCCATGCTGTTGTCATGTTTGCAGAATGTCGTTCGGCCTTGTCAATGTCTTCTCCTTAAAAGGTATCATCACCCTAACGGCAGCATGTGTTGCTCCAGAACCTTTGTATTGTTCATTATAATCATGATTTTATGGAAGTGTTAGCCTTCCATGTCATGATTTCTAAAAAGGATAACCAATTTTCATTAGTCAGGCCTGAAGACAGTTTCTTACTTCACCTGAGTCCATCGCACATAGGATAAGGCCCAAGTGAAGTCATTGCATTTTTGTATGGTAGCATTTAACATGCATCTATGGATGCAATGGCAAAATGTATCCATCTGCAATGGTTTCTGGATGGGATTTTGAGCCACTAACTTCTACAGTCATGTCTATTTTTAATGCAGGGCCTGAGGGCCCAAAGATCACAGCCATGCAGCATGAGTTTTCAGCATTTTCTGTTTTGCTTATGGATTTCTCCAGATTCTTCAGGTTTGTCAGTTATATCAATTACTTTAGATGTTGAAATTCTATATGCATATACATAATTGCTGCTTAGTGGATGTTCCTCCAGGTAATTTCTTTGCATGGCACAAGGTTTCCAGTGTTTTTTGTCTATTGTCCTACTGCCAAAACAGGTTGAGGATATATTCCATAACACAATACAGTATTCTGATTCTTAAGTTTTTTTGAAGTTGTGTATAAATTTTTTTTGCCAAGTATTTTTTCCCCTTTTTTTGTTTAAAAATTTAAAAAAGAAGAAGAAAACATAAATTACTAACACTGTAGTAGCATATACAGTATTTTTACCGGTACAATCATCAAAGTCCTTGTTTGTGACTAACAATGTTTAAAAAATAAGATCTTTTCCTGGGCTCTTCCGGTGAAATTTGACACAAATCAAGATTTTTTGCTGCGTTTTTAGTTGTTTTCAATGCACTGAGTCTGTGATTATGTCGGTAATCATGGAGGTGTATCTACAATGCTGCCATGTGACTGAGCAGCCTTCACTGGAAGCTCAGCTGCTGGACCAGCTGACTGAGTAAATGACCTGATAGACTCACAGTTTATAATCCACTCTCAAGATGATGAGACATGCTTATGGGTCTAGTTTCCTTGAAAATATGAGTAATTCTGTTTCAATAGGGCCCATCTCTGCCATCCTCGTGTTGATTCTATTAGCAGTTCTCTTAATGACCATCCACTTCAGCAGATTTTCACCAGAGTCTGTTTATTGGATTAAAGCATTATTTTACAGATATGACTACATTTTTTTCTCTCATTTTCTTGTATCCTCTATGGTGAGCAACCACATGATTTATCTATACAGTCTGTTTCTAATGCATCCCTTATTTGAACTCTTCTCCTCCTTTTTTCTTTCCCCCTCAGAGAACAAGTGTCCTGCTTTGAAGAGGACAGCATCTACGCCGTTACCCCTCCACAGGTGGATCAAGACAGCCAGGACGAGTTCGAGAGCCACGTGATGACGGGTCAGGGTCAGGTGAGGGTGCTGTGCCGGGAGGACATGTTGATGTACAGGGAGTATGTCAAAAACAGATACATGTGAGACAGGTGACAAGTAAGAACTGGATCACTGGTACTAGATCAAGATTGTGTGCTTTAATTCTGGACAAAGCTCCATTTTCAAAGCTTCTTGTAGTCTTCAGAGCTTCTTTTGTAGCTGCAACCACAAGCCCACAAGCTGATCTGGGGCTTTCCAAGAGTCTTATTTCTCTTGATTGTTTTCTCAGAAGGAGACAGCCTGTAATAAAAATGAACCTTTCTTTCCTCTATTATTAAGCTTTACTGCTAGAATCCTCTGTTTTTATATTTTTTTAGCTTTAAATGTAGCAAGTAATGCCTGATTTTTTTAATTCCCATCAGCCTAACTGGCTAACTTTGTTTTTTTCCTTTCTGTCTTGAATTAAATTTTAGTCCTAACACTTTTAAGAAAGTTTATTAACTTTTGTTCGTTTTGGACATTTAAATTTATGTAAATTTTTTGACTCTTGTATATTATAAATCTCAAATGTGTATTAAAATGCTATTGTTTTTTAATTTACTTTTATTTTTTTATTTTATTGTCTCCCTGTCTTTGGTTCAAAACTGTAACAGTGTTTTAGATTGCTTAATAATGATCTCAACCAAAAATCTGCAAGATCATGCACTGTCGATATAAACTCAGAAACAAAAAACACATCTTTCTTTTACAAATGTTTGTAGATTTTTTTTTTTATAAATCTAAATTCAGTTTGCAAACACACAGTGTCACTGATGTGTTTTTATGGTGGGTTTATCAAACTGCTCTTGTTTACAGAAATGTAGACTTATTCTTTTTTTTTTTCAAAGGATGCACTTTGAAGCAACTTTATAGCAACAGCTGATCTTTTCATACAACATAATTCATAATTCAATAAAGTGATTCAACAGATATGATTGCTTTTGCCTACAAATGCTCGTGCATTTCCTTATGCTAGAGCCCTTTTCTTCTTCACGTGTTTTTTACATGCAAAAAATGAATAGAGATCCTTTCATGCAACCACTGCAATTGCTCTTTGTCCCTTCCTTTTTGCTTTGCTGTCTGTCTTTCATTCTCTAGTAACCCATTGTGCACCCATGTCCATCATTTTTTGCCCTCTCTCTCCTTTTACTTAGTGCTCGGTGTCCAACAGTGTCAAAAAAAATTCAAAATCTGGCAAAGACTGCCGTTTTTAAAACACACATACACAACTTCTGTCAGCTTTCTGATTGACCAGTGGCCTCTGCATCTGTGCCTCGTGAGCCTGAGGATGGGCGGGGGTGGGGAGGTGGGGCACAGGAGGTGAGTGCTCCAGCATGTGACGTGTTGAGAGACCAGCGCTGGAATTAGAGAAAATAACTTTAACACTAAACTGAAATTAACCAATGAGGAGTGGTGAGTGAACATGTGACATCCATCTTTCTTCTTTTTTAAGCCCTGAAGCACAATCATCATTATTCAAGAGTGGCAGAGATGTTCAGAAATTACAGCTTGAACTACAAAACAATCATGTAAGAGCACCTCATCACCTCAGTGTGTCTCAGTCCCCCATCCCCATCTAAAGCATCTCAGCTGACTTCAAAAAGCTTCCTCTACACATGACATGGCCTCCTGTGAAGAGCCCCCGCAAAGAGCTGCATCCATTGCCGAGATATAAAAATCCATTTATCCACCTTTTGTCCCTTTTGGGATTGGTTCTAGGAGACTGGAGACAATCTCAGTTGTCATGAATCATAAGACAAACACCCTAATGCAGACTTAGATTCCAATAAGAGTTAGGAATTAACCTGACAAGCGAGCATTTGAACGCCCAAACCTAAAAGCTCTCCCAATGTCATCTGTTGTATAGTTGTGCAACAATTTAGTGGCAATTTTTGTCAGAAGTTAACACTGACCTTCTGTCAGTCTCACTTTTCAAATCACCTGCCAGATGGGATGTTGGCCTACGCATCACCAAAACTATTTGGATCACCCCAGGCAAGACCCAAATTGTAACAGACCCAAATATTTGACATCCTTTCAAGTGCAATAGGGTCTGCATTAATAAAGCTCATTGTCAATGGTGGCAAAGTCAACTCCTTAAACTCTTTGTGCTGTTCTTCAAACCATCCTCAACAATATCTACAGAATGAAGGGTCACGATATACAACTGAAAATGAAACTGCCATTAGGGGCTACCATGTTAATGTTGGGATGGACTTTGTCTGCAAGGCTATCAAGGCTGGTGTAACACATTAAAATACCACCCATATGTTGACAAGGATCTTGGTTTTCTTGTTACACATTTCATAGGAAATCATATTGCGTTCAATGACAGTCTTTCATCAGAGCACACCAAATTCCAACATTGGTTCATGGCTTTGTATGAAACTGCTATCTTTCATGTAGAGGCTATTGGTGGCTTCTCCATCAGATTGGATAACATCTGATGCTAGGGTCAAACTACACAATTTTTCTGTTTGTCTGGTCTTCTACCAGTGGGAAGTGCCCTGCACACCTCACCAACAAGGCATCCGGGAGGCACCCTGATTTGATGCCCAAGCCACCTCATCTGACTCTTCTCAACGAAGAGAATAGTAAACAACTCAGTCAAAACTGCCATCAACTCTTATGTCCCAAAGGTCCCTTATTTTGGCCTTGTTTCCACATTGTGGTCTTGGGGTATATCAAATCCCAAAAGATGAAAACTGAACATGGTCAAAATATTCACCAACTTAGGATACAGTCAGAATAAATGTATATATGGCTGTTTAATGAGCACCCTTTTAATTCCCTCCTCAAAATAATCACTGGCTCCTCTGTAAGCCCTGGAAATTTGGCTGTCTTTCTTAAAAGCTACACTATTGTCAAACAACAGCAGAAAGGTTCTCAAAATGGAGGAGACCAGACCGCATTGATTTCACTCCTCGGGTGCATCAGTGAGCCTTAAGCAAAGTGCATGGTTGTCAGTTGATTCTTGTCTTTCCGTCCTTTGATTTGTAGAAACTAAACTAGGTCAGGGACTAGGGGGTGACACAATCCCTATAACATCTCCCCTTTTATAGGTGACAACTTATACATTTCTTAAGTCCTTAATGCAGAATGCAGACATTGTAAAGAGTCCAAACATTAGTGCAAATCAACAAAAGTATTCAAACATTTCACATCCCTTTTTTTTTTTTTGAGTGTGTCAGTAATAAGAACATATCGTAACATACCAATCCAAGGCGCTCTCCCTCCAGTAACAAAACAAACAGAGTTCAGTCCCATGTAAAGATCCAGTCTAACAGGAGCTCTGACCAGCCTGCCATTGGCCGTCCTGTGCCCCGCCACAGGTGGTGGTGGTGGTGGAGATGGGCCAGCCCTGGGCTGGTGCAGGTGAGGCCCAGCTTGAGGCCTGACTTCCTGGGCACCCGTGCCTGCGTTGTTATTAATGTCGATCGTGTTGCCGGGTGGACCACCGGATTTCCCCTCGGGTGGGCCATTGCTCTCCAGGGGGCTGCTGTGCTGCACATTGTGTCAGTCAGAGGGGCGCTTGGTAGTGTCCCTCTCCACTGGACGCAGGTCCACCTGGTTGCAGCGGTAGAATGTCCCTTCGACATCAACCAAGTATGATCTGGGGCCCACCTGCTGTAGGCAGACTCCTCTTCGCCACCTGCCCGTCCTGTCCCCGGGCAGGGGTTTCATCCTAATGTCCTGTCCGATACACAGTTCAGGCAGGTCTCTGGCTGATTTATCATACCCGAGTTTGGCTGTCTGGTGTTTTGCACGCAGTTTTTCTGGGACCCTGTGACCACACTTGGCTCCAAGAGTGTGTCAGTGACTGGGAGCGGGGTTCTCAGTCTACGAGACATTAGTCTCTGTGCAGGGCTGCTAAGCATGCCCTCCGTGGGTGTGTTCCTCCACTGTAAAATGGCCAGCCATGGGTCGTTTCCCACGCTGGCTGCCTTCTTGCAGATGTTCTTCACTATCTTCACGGCTGACTCAGCCTTTCCATTCGATTTTGGGTGTCGGGGGGAGGACTTGATGTGTTCAAAGTCCCACTCCTTTGCGAATCTCTTGAATGCATTGCAGTCAAATTGACCGCCACAGTCTGTTATTACCTGCCTGGCTGTCCATGACGGGAAAACTGGGCCTTGCACCTCAACACTGTGGTCTCTGCTGACAGATCTGGGAGCAGCTCTATTTCCCAGAAATCTGAACAATGGTCAACGATGATCAGAAAGTCTTTGCCTGCTTGCTTGAACAGATCCATGCTTAGGATCTGCCATGGTCGTGTTGGGAGTGCATGGGACATCATTGTCTCCTGCTGCTGCTCATGTGAGTATTCGTTGCACGCTGAGCACTGGCTCACGTAGTCTTTGATTTCACTGTGCATGTTGAGCCAGTACAGTGTGTCCCTGGCCTGTCTGTAGCAGGCATCGCCACCTACATGGCTGGCATGGATGCACTTCAACATTTCAGCACGCAATGACTTAGGCACTATGACTCTCTGGCTTCTGAATAGCACTCCATCCTGTGCGCTGATCTCGTCCCTGATTGACCAGTATTCCCTGATCGCCAGAGGAACGTCTTCCCGGCAATCTGGCCATCCCCGGAGAACTACCTCTTTCACTAACTGAAGGCTCCCATCGTCCTCAGTGTGTACTCTTATCTGGTTAAGCCGCTGGCTGGTGACGTTGAGGTAGTCAGCCTGGTTTATCAGTTTGGTGGCCTCTTGTGCCCTCTGTAGGCTGCAGATGGTATGCTTTGTGTTCTTCGTGTCAGGCCCCTGTGACGGAGCCACGGCCCTGCTCAGCGTGTCACTAATGTGCATATCGGGACCTGGCTTGCACACCACTTTGAGATTATATGCCTGCAGAGTGAGCAACATGCTCTGGAGTCGCTTGGGGGCTGTGAGGAGGGGCTTTGTGAAGATCGAAATGAGCGGCTTGTGGTCGGTCTCTGCGGTTATCTCTGCACGCCCATACAAATAATAATGGAACCGCTGACATGAAAACACAATACTCAGGCATTCCTTTTCGATTTTTGCATAATTCTGTTCAGTTGGGGTCAGCGCCCACGACGCA